GCGTGTCGTCGCCGCTTGTTGTCGATTACATGCGCGGAGCGGGGCAGAGGGATGTTAGCAATGCGACGGCTGCTCCTGTTGGCGGTGTCTATGGCGGAGTCGATGGTGCGGGCGGCCAGGGCGACGCGGGCGAGGATCGGAGAGCTCAAGATCGGTCGCAATTCACGGGCCCATTGCGCTGGCTGGGGCGGTGGGTGGGGTTTGGGAGGGGGAGGCCGGGAGGCCGGGAGATGGCGGTGGAGGGTGAGCCGCCGCCCCATGGATAGATAGATAGATACATTGGATTGAGTATATGATATGATAGGTCATAATTTGGAAGACCTCGGGTGTAGATGGATGCGCGTTGATTGCTTGCTTCCTCGATTGTTTGCCTTGTTTGCTTCGTTTATCCCGAGATGCGTGTAACCTATGTTATGTTCGTGTTATGTCTATACGGCTTTCTGCATCCGTGCATAAGGGATTTACGGGGGTGTTTGATAGTTGGCCATCAGGGCGAGTCATGTCAGCTTATCGTCGTATAGTACTATATACATATATGCCTGGTTTTTTTTTGGGGGGGGGGTGCGGGGTGTTTTCCTTTTTACTCTGTCCAACCCCCTTGTACTAACTTTCTACTTCCCTTCCCTCTGTTCATTTCCTTCCATTTCTTCCCTCAGCCATTTCGAGAGGGGATAATTGTATGTATAGTACATACAAGAAGGAGAGTAGAAGACATTCAAATCTACATTTTGCAATACAACCAAAAATAAAGGATACCATCCATATACTCCAAGAAAATATAGCGACGAAGCCGACGGAAAGGAACATGAGTATGTCCATTGTGTATGTACTCTGTATAGATAAGAAGCCATGGCTCAGCTTGAAGAAAAAAGGCCTCTTTGAAACTGCACCAGCTGCCCCTTTCCTCTCTTCTCTGCCTTCTCTATTTCCGTGCCCCGATAAACACATAGATTGTCGACTCACCGGTCGATGAGAAGGCAGACCGGTCTATTGACCGAAGCATCAATGACCAAGCCTCATTCTACATGGTTTAAATCTCATTAAATCTCATTAAGAATTCAAAAACTACATCGCAATAAAATTAAAAAGATAAGGTTAAAAAAAAAAAAGATTCTCATAAAATAAATAAATAGAAAAAAAACACATAGATAAAAGGCAAAACAAGTCCGCAACCAGACAAAGTAGTACAAGACAGACAGCGGATTGGGCGAGACAGAGAGAGAGAGACGGATAGAAATTAAAATATATGACCCATCAATATCAATATCAATATCACAAGCCAAACGAAAAAAACCAAAGCCCGTTAAAATAAAATAAAAAAGCAAAAGCAAAACAAGAAATCCCAGCGAGCTAGCTCTAGCTCCCTCCGAAAAAACTTCTTTTTGTTAGTTAACAGACAAAAAAAAAAAAAAAAAAAAAAAAAAAGAAAAAAGAAAGAAAAAGAAAAGAAAAAGAAAAAAGAATAGAAGCCTTCCATAATTCCTCCCTGCCTTGGTACAACGTGTAGAAATATTTCAATTGAACACCGCAACGGACAAAAAAAAAGGGAAACACCCTTCCTCCATCTCGTTTTCCTCGTCAACCCCCCCGGTTCTCCTCTCCAACTCCCATTCCTCGCAGCCCACGCATACACACACCCCCCAGTCGCTTGTCAACTCCTACCCTCCCCCTCCCTACTAGATCTAGAAAAACCTCGGTCGCGTGCGTCTAGACGAGGGCACACACACGATGACCTGAACCGAAGCGGACAACACCAAACTAAAACAGGGCAGAACAGGGGAAGGCTGGGTGGGGCGGAGGAAAGGGAGTACAGGAGAGCGGGATGGTCAGTTGTGCTGCAAAACGATAATAAAAAGGAAAAAGGAGGAGGGAAGAGATCGAGCACAAACACACAAACACACACATAAACACACACATACGTGGTACAATAACCATAAAAAAGAATAACGCCTCCTCCCTGATACTCCCTGATAAAAGCAAAGAAAAAGATAAAAAAACCAAAGGGGAACGGGGGGAAAAAGAAAGAGAAAGAGAAAAAGATCCTCTCTTCTTTCCCTTACGCTACCGTCACTCTCTCACTCCTTTCCTCCAACCCAATCCGTGAAGAGATATTGTCCGCCTTCGCTTTTCTCTTTGTTCTCCTTTTTTCATATTTCGTTTGTCGTTCCCGCGCTTTATAACACCGCATAGTATATATACACGCATATATATCTAGAAGTTTCCTGCCTTCCATATGGGTATTATCGTTTTTTTCCTCCACAGTTGATTATCCGATATCCATGTATCCCATGTAACAATATCCCAATCCCCACATATTCCATAGGTTTTCATCCCCCCTCTATATTGTTCTGTGTGTGTTTATGTTATTCTGTTGACATGGGCACGTTAGTGGCCATGATGGACGTTTATCTGTGTGTGGGGAGATGTGTGTGCATATGGGTACGGGTTATGTATTATGTGTAAGGTGTAAGCAGGGATATGGGATGGCTGGCTGGCGGGGGGCATTTCAATGGCGAAAAAGCGGGGTTTCAAAAGAAGGGGTGAGATATGCAGCAACGGAGGCCACTGAAACTGAGAAAGGTTGAAAAATATAAAATAAAAATCAACAGAAGAAGCATATTTGATAAGATCAGCAAAGTCATGAAGCTAGTTCATGTTCTGTTCTGATTTGCCTTCTTTCGAAAATATTCTTGCTTGGTTTGTTTAACAAAAATCGTTCATCATAATGTGTTTGTGCTTGCGAGACAATCGCGAGGGATGAGAGTTAGAGAGGGTAGTGCAGAGTAATGATAAAGAGCAACGCCACGACGGTTGACATGTTTTCTCCTTTCTCATTCTCGTTAAACCCTTGAGCATAGCCTACCGTAGTGGACGTGGACATGCTCAAGGCATCACGTTTTGCCAGTTGGGTATCAATCAAGGGGCAAGGAGCAACCCATGCGCGAAAAACAAAAGCATCAAAGCATCAACATAGAAATAGGGAAAAGGGGATGGAAAAATACATGATAGAAGTAAAGAAAAAGATGAGAAAAAATAAAGGCAACTTGCAGTACATTTTTACGCCAGCCATTAAGGGACAAAAGGAAGCCAGGAATGAGGGAGCGCGACAAGGATAAAAATAGAAAAGAAGAACGAAAAGATAGAAAGGAACCTATGCAGCGGGTTGATGTTGCTGTGGTAGGCGTGCACCAACTGGCATACCTGGATACTGACCTCCGGCCTGTGCTTGCTGTTGCTGTTGTTGGAGGTTCTGGTAATATGCAATCTGTTGCTGGTGCTCGCTGGACATATATCCTGGATGCATGCCACCAGGACGGGGAATATTGGGCTGCTGGCCCGCGACATTGGCATGGCTGACATCGTCTGAGGTTTCGGGGGGTACTTCGGGGACTTCGACGCCATTCTCGTTAGTGGTGGGCTCTGGAGCATTAAGGCAGGCCTGGACCAGAGACAATTAGCTTCCATGTTCTATTTTCTAGTGGAGCAAAATATGGGGTAACACACCTGGATAAGATTCTTCCCTTCCGGCTTGGTGACAAGAGGTTGGAGTTTCGGAGTGGTGAACGTGTAAACGAGACCCGTTTCGGATACAACTAGGAGTAGGACTTGGGTGCCAGTGAGGACGGATAATTCGTACGCCTAGATTGCAAAGAGCGCAAGGTCAATTACTATGTCATAGAGTAGAGAATCGCAAAGAATGAGACGATGCGACCGTAGAAATGTGACAAGATGGAGAGGTAACAAAGTTGTAGAGCCATAGTAAAGGCGTAGTGGCGGGTGGTTGTGGTGTGGAGTAGGAGTAGGAGTAGGAGTAGGAGTAGGGGGCGGTTGGAAGTAAGAGGCGGACCTTCTTCATAATGCCAGCCTTTCGCTTGGAGAAAGTGATGTGGCGACGCGACTTGTCCTGGATGAACTTGATTTCAATCTTCCGGCGTTCACGGCCAGGCTTATCCTCGTCATCATCATCTTCGTCGCCCGCGTTGCTGGTTCGAGGACGCTTAGTACCGCGATTCTCAACGGCAGCGGCGACAGCAGCGGCAGCAGCAGCAGCAGCGCCATTGCCCCCGGAGACTAGATCATCCTGGGGAGGAGAAGGATTTTCGTCGGAGACAGCGGTGATATCAGCCATGGCGGCGGAGGGACAGGAGTTGGGGCGATGGCGATGATAAGAGGTTCGAGCTTGGAAGATGTATCGGTTGTATAGGGTTAGAGGATGGCCGAAAGAGGAATGATGTTTGCGAAGATCGAAGGGCAGGCCGAATCGAGTAACGCGTTGGAGACAGATGCCAGATGGAGAAGGAACGGAACAGGTTTGGTTTGGGGTTTGGGGGGTAAGGTAGGGTAAGGGCGAAGGGCGAAGGGAAAAAAGGCCAGTCGAGGGGATGACTAATCTCCCGCTGACTCATGGCTGACTAAGGATAGAATTAGAGTCAATGTACCCCCCCTTATATTTTAACTCCCGCCCCCAGCCAGTCCCTGCCTACCTATGTAATGTACATGTACATTAGAATATCGGAGATCTGGATTGGCAGTCCTGATGCGCTCGATGAGATCAACAACTCACCAAGTGCGAATAAAAAGAGGAGAGAATTCTTCATGATGAGGTAAATTGTTAAAAAATGGGATAGATAACTGCTAGATGAAGAAATGAAAACCATATTTGAGGTTATATATTCTTGAGAAAATGGTCACTAGTGTGCGACGTAAGAATTGGGTCGCAGTCAGTGCACCGCTGAAATACCCTCCTCACTCATACACACATTATAAATTCGACTATTTAAAAGTCTCCATTACCATGATTAAAAGCAAGAGAAAGAAAGAGAAAGAAAGAGAAAAAAAGTGAGAAAAAGTGTCTATCATCTAGTATGCAACTCCAAGATAGTCTCCCGACATTGGCTGTATGCTTCGGCAGCGCAGTTGTGGTTTTCGGTTCCCCTCCTCCGGCGCCTTTACAAAGATGTCATGGTGTCCACAATGGAAGATACGTGACCAGAAACACAATGGCGGACATCATTGAAAAGCAGTTCTGTCCCAACGCGGTGAAGCCAGGGTCATCGAGAGCAAAGACAGCGGTTCAATCACATGGCTGTACAATGACGGAACCCCGGAAACTGTCTCGGTATCGATAGGCTGGAAGAATACACCAGATTTTAAGCCAAACTACAACGATTGTCTGCGGAATCTGCGTGACAGGGTCCTGGATGGCTGTGATGGCAACGACCTAGAAATCTTGATCCACTTGGCGCGCGCTAGCTAGCGCCCAAAAGAAGCGCATGGTGACTGCATCGTCAAGCACTATGATCACTATCATTATTTATGTTCTAATATGGGGGAATGGCTGGGCCAATTCTGACAACGGCAAGATGTTTGAAGATAAACTTCAGAACTGCGCTCTGCTTCCGAATACATTCCAGTTTGTCTATGAGCTAGGTGTTGACGGTCGTGAATATGCTACGACGTACACTACAATCTGGGAGGACGGCTGTGTCACTGCTGCTGCTAAGCAGGCGGGTGCACAGAGTGTATTTGATTGTCGCAGGGGAGATTGAACGCTAGCAATTTGCGGTTTTCCAATTAATGTATCTAATTGCACGCTTTTTGGCTAGGAGATAAATAATTCTCATGAGAGTTTGAACAGAGCGCCTAGATAAGTAATGAAAGTAAAAGCAGAAGCTTAAGTGATCACAAAAAACCCAAACTACCAGTAACAATTGTACTCAGGTTCTGCCCGTAGGGATCGCAAGTGTAGATTTTGATTTAGCCTGTTTATCATCAATCTAAGTATCTGTTTAGCGTGCATCATCTGTTGATACGGAGTTTGGAGTTGAAGGGCGCCTTGACTGCTTCCAATATCCATATGATGCGACAGTGCCTCTGCAGAGAGGACATCCATTCGCTAAGGAACCTTTGAGGATGCAGGATAAGTGGACTCTGTGGCCACAACCCGGCAGAACTTTAAGGTCGATTAATGTCAGCATTGAAATGCAATTGCATGTCCTGTCGATATCATTCAATACTAGAGGACTCATAGCACCACGTTTAATGCACTTCCAGTGAACGGTATGTCCACATGGTAATAATCTTGCAATTTTAAGAGGCCTTTCACACGAGCAACAACTCCCCCTTTCAATAACTCCCTGTGTGGCTCTTGGAAAAGTAGTTCTCGTTTTCTGTGAGGGAAGTTTATTTTGATCTGTTTCAGGTTCATTGATTCGACTGATTGTGAGCCGTTGTAGTAGCCTCATGATTGAGGTGACTGAGATGAAAACTTCTAAGGAAAAGATGTCGGATTGGGTGTCACGGATGAATATGTTGAAGACATATGAATCTTATCTGTATCAAGATCTGCTTGTTTTCTTATTCATACACTATCTAATATATCTATTTCATACAAAAGATGGAGCTATTTATAGTAAAATATATGTGTGAGTCAAGAGAGCTAGTATAAGCAAGTATTAGACAAGTGTTGTAGTAAGCTGATGATGATGAGAAATATTGTAGTAATATGATGTTGATGATATTCAGTAGTGTATAACCTCTTTTTTCTGACACACTCTCTTCAGTGAATATAACAAGTAAATGAAAGTGTAAATGAAGCTGCAACAAAAAGAGTGTAGATGAATCTGTAGAGATTATATCAAGATAGATCATTTATATCATCATTCAGCTTATGACTTGATGATATCTAATATATCAACTAGGCCTAGCATCTTGACAAATTCTGTATATTTCTGGCATGGCAGAGCCTTAGTGAGGCCATTCACTGGCATCTGAGTCATAGACACTCAATCAACTGTAATATCACCAGATTAAACATGTTCTCAGAGTCAGCTTTCATATATATCAATGTAATGAAGCTTTGTAATTATAGAGAAGTCTTTCTTTATAAGAATGTTAACAGTTTAATAATTATCACATTAAATATGAATCTTGTGATCAGATTTAAATTGAATATATTGAAAGAATCTATCTCATTAAATAGACTTCTTATCAGCTTATAAGATTATAATAAACTCAGCTTCTGTAATAGATATAGTTATAATTATCTATTTATTTAATTTTCAATCAACAGTCTCACTGAATAGTTTAAAGATATATTCTTATATAGAGCAGTAATCTGAATTATCTGTGAAAGAGATATCACTGACAGCTTTAATAATATCAGGTTTGAGATCAAATTATAGAGATCTGTCAATGTTATTATTATATTAAATAGTGAGATTCTTTGTATTATATAGATAAGATATTATTCTATTCATCTTTAATAAGTAGTGTTCTGATAAATTTATTATGAATGTAGCTAGTTTATTCACTATATATATAATATCAGAGTGAGTCATCATCACTGAGTAGATACAGAAACTGATATATTATTAATAATAATGAATTTTTGCAGATATAGCTGACTTATTAAAAGACTCTAGCAGTGCATCAGTTAGTGATGTATATATCTTACAGATATGTATAAGATAATATATATTAACTATCTTATTAATATAGACATTCTGACATAGTCAGAGCTTCAAGTTGAGATAATTATATATTATTTATATATTAAGAAATCATTTCAAATCTCTTATCTGTCAGATCTCATATGCATTTTTAAGATCTTTGATTAGTTAATCTCTTTCTTTCAAATCTTCTCATTGTGATAGAATGACAATATCATTCATATAGAAGAAGATAATTAATTAATTATTAGAGAAGAGATATTAATTCTCTGATATAGAGATGAAGTCTAATGTTCTCAATATTAAAGATAGTTTATTTAATCAGAGAAGAAATAATCTGTGTAATTTATATAGTACTTATAGAAGTTTTAGTATATAATTTATACACTTTAAATTTTACACTCTCTTTAACTTTCATCATTTATTAAATAGTTTTATATATACTAGCTTATCAATATCACTATTAATAAAGATATTAATTTCATCTAGCTGTTTCACATCTAGATTAAATACTGCTATTAAAGCTAACAAGATTCAGAGATCTCTGATAGCTAGTATATAAGCTTTTATAGTAAGATCTGTAGTTAATTGAAGATCTTCTCATACACAGATATAAGCTTTATATTTTAAAAGAAAACCTTCATCATTGAATTTATAGATGAATACTTATTATAGAGAGATAACTGAGACATTTCTCTGTAATCTACTAGTAATTTCATATATATTCTGCAGAGATATACTATCTTATTCTTATTTAACAGTGTTTTCAAATTCTTTATAATATAAGTGTTTTTCAATATCTGTTCAGTGATTCAGTGAATCTGATATTTAAGATCTATGAATTCTTGAAGTTGATATGAATACTGTTGATATAGCTGTATTATTGATAACTGTGAAAACAGTATTTAAAAATAAATATTAAGACTTGTAGAAGTCTGAGTGTGATTGAGAGAATATCTTATTAATTATTCAATAAGAATTGTCTTTGATAATTGAAACTATCATAAGATAAGCAGCTCTGTGTTTTCATATTCTGTAATCTTCAATGATATTAACTTTATTAAAATCAGTACTGATATTATAAGCTCTAGATACAAAGTTCTGTATTCAATTATCTATCACAGCTGAATAAGTATTAATATCAACATCAGAATCTATTAACTCTGACATTGAATCTAGTGTAGAAAGAATTGAAATATTAGAAAGAATTAAAATATTAGAAGAGATTGAAATATTATAATATTTATACTTATTATTCTTCTTCTCTATTTTTTCAGAGTTTTGAGTATTTTCTTCAGAATGAAAAACATTAATATCTGCATCTATAATCTCTTTCAATTGATTGATAGTAGTCATTGATAATTCTTGAACTTTTATATATAGAAGCTTCATCTTCTTAAATACTCAATCTCTTAGTTATCTTTTAATGTAGAGATCTTCTGAGTTGAATTTTCTATTCTTATTAAACATTACATCTCTTACTCTTATCATCTGTTCTAAGTATGAAATTCAAATTCAATAGATGTTTGTAGAATTATATTTAACTAGATATTTAATATATACTCAGAGATTTAGCTTCTGTGAGCAGTTTCTATTAATAACTTCATTCAGTATCTTTGTATAGATGTGACATCTGTAGATTCAAAGATAAGTATAGAAGTAAGATTTAATTTATAGAAATTCTTTCAATACTTATAGAGATGACTTTCAATCTAGAATTCTAGTAGAGATTCAATTCACTAGATAGATAACAGTTAGTACAATCTTAGAGAAAAGTGATTATAGCAGAAGAAATTCTATTCATAGAGTTCTTATCTTTGTTATTAATATTGCTTCTGCTCACTCTGCTATATTATTTTACTTATAAATATATTCTGAAGAATACTTCATCACTAGATCTTTATTATTTACTTAATTTATGAAATTATCTGCTTTCTTGATTGCAGTATTATTATTAATATAAATAATCTTTATAGTAGAGTTGAATTAATATTTAATTTAATTAATAGCTTGTCTAAGAGCTTTTCAGATTTCTGATTTTCAGATAGCTGTTATAGCTATATGAAAATGTAGATAATCACATATAAAATATATGAGATAATACTCATTATTATAGCACTGTGAAGAGTTATATGTAATATCTATATATAGACATTCAAATGATATTTGAGATCTAATGTGAAGATGTCTAGATATTTGATTTTTTATATTAGATAGATGATAGAGTTTGCAAAGCTCAGTGATAAGCTTATTCTCAGCATCTTTCAGATTAATAATTTAAATGTCAGTTGCATTATTTATAAGCTTTTAAATAATGATTTTTAATGAATATTCTAATCTCTTATATCATGTTGATTGAGTAGCTATAGAGATCTTAGGTTTTTAAGAAGATTTTATATATATTAACAGATTGAAAGAAGAATTTGTAGAAGTTGAAGAATTTGAAGATATCATTTTTTCAGATATAGTAATGTTAGATATGTGTGAAGTGATAACTGTATCAGCTTCAGTAGTGAATTTTTCTGATATAGTTGAGAAAACAGTTATATCACTATATTCTGTAACTAGCAACTTCTCAAATACTTCAATATATACAAAGATTGTATTATCTGTGTATTTTTACAATCTGAAGTCTTTTTCATTATAATAGATATCTTCTATATGAAAACACAGTTTTCATGTGATAATATTTGTATGAAAATTCAGAATGTAAGCTGTGTTAATGAGTTTGATATTGAACTGCTTTTCTGCTTCATTTATTATAATAGTTCTAACAGTTTTATAATCTTTAACTTTAGTGCTGAAATTATCTGTATAGACTTTCATATTCTCATTCATAGATATAAAGAATAGAAAATATGTTTGATTATTGTATATATACTATTCTGCATCAGTATCAAAGATTCAGGAGTTTCAGAAATAGAAGTGAGAATGTGAAGAGTTTATTAATATTTTTCAGATTTACTGATTAATAGATTGATGATTGATAAATTAAGAAACTGATTACTTCAGAATTATTTCTTCTATAACTGCTTCATTGACATCTATCATATTCATATTTATAAATGAATCTCTAGATATCACATAATTAATATATCTCTTCAATTCTTGATTTTTAAAAGCTTAATCAATCTGAGTTCTCTTCTTCTCATTTTTCTTTCATTCAGATGACTTTCTTAATGAATTGAGATAGTAGTATTAAGTGTATCAGTGTCAGGCTCTGCAGATGCAGTTTCTGAATATTACTGATAATAATTACTGAGATCTTTTATTAAGAGTAGTAAAGTTCATAGATTTATCTTCTTTAAAAATACTCATTTCTCTATACTGTTTCTTGAAGTTCTTAACTAACTCTATCAAAGATATAACATCTTTATCATATCAGATATTCTTAGTTCATACTTGTATATAATCTGCATCAATAGCTAGATTTGTATTTAAGAAATCTTTTTTCAAGTTGAACTGTTCAGCTATATCTGTCTCTTTGATATTATCTTCAATAAGAGATCAGTCATTTAATCACTTCTCTATATCTCTGTTTTTCAGTGCTTTACAGAGATTATAATATTGAGTTCTCACATCATTCTGATAATCTGTAATTGTGAATGAGAGTTAATCTCTTAATAAATAAATAATCTTCTTCACATCTTCATTCTTGCTGTGTATATATTGTAGCTCTGTGACATTCACTGTTCTTTATATAACATCTTGTATCTTTGTCATATCTTCATTCAATTTCTCATATTTCATATATTTGATTTTCCATGCAGTGATCTTGATATCATATACTATCTTAGTCTCTGCAGTGACTTCTTCTGAACACTCTGATTTCAGAGGTTCTTCTAGTTCAGAGAAGATATCAGATTTATCAAGATTAATGAAGTCTGATACCTTCTTGTTCTTTGCATATTCTAGTATATACTTGTATCAAAGTTTTCAATCTCTAGAAATGCTAAGGTGTACAGTTGCACTAGACATTGTCTTGTCTGTCATATTGATTGAGTATTTCAGATAGATATGATCAGAATTCAGAGTGTATAACAGTCAATTATATTGAAATGTATACAAGTGAGGATCTATCTTCTCAGTTTAAATGATAGTTATCAGTTTGAATGAGGATTGGGATTGGTGTATGATATAACAGTCGAGTATTTCAGACTGTATACAAATGAGAATCAATTGTCTCAGTTCAAATGATTGTTGTTAAATTTGAATGAGGATTGGAATCAGTGTATCACACTTCTCTTCAGATGCTGCTTACCGGGAATCAGGTATGGTATAACAGTCGATTAGATCGGACTGTATATGAATGAGGATCAATTGTCTCAGTTTGAATGATTGTTGTCAAATTTGAATGAGGATTGGGATTGGTGTATCGCGCTTCTCTTCAGATGCTGCTTACTGGGCTCATAACTGTTGGATTGAGTGTCACAGATGAATATGTTGAAGACATATGAATCTTATCTGTATCAAGATCTGCTTGTTTTCTTATCTGTACACTATCTAATATATCTATTTCATACAAAAGATGGAGCTATTTATAGTAAAATATATGTGTGAGCCAAGAGAGCTAGCATAAGCGAGTATTAGATGAGTGTTGTAGTAAGCTGATGATGATGAGAAATATTGTAGTAATACGATGTTGGTGGCGTTCAGTAGTGTATAACCTCTTTTTCCTGACAAAAGAATATTCAAACTCCAAAAGAAACCCATAAAATAAGTGAGCTGCCATACTTATGATTTAATAGTACACTATGGTAATATGTCCTAACCTGGCGGCAGGCAGAATCTACATTGACAGAACCTGCGTTGTGCGGAAATCTACATCATTGATGTGCTTTATTCTCCCTGATTGTGCATAAGGCTGGAACACCCACGGCGCCGCTATCTACGGATTTTGGCAAGCTGAAAGCACGGTTAAGATCGCCTTCAGGAGCGGCGGTTAGAAGAATGAAAAAACAATATCAAATACTGACTAGACAGCATCAATTATTACCGTTGTCAAAAGTTTAATGAATATCACAAACAGAATCTACCTTACGGGAAGAATTACATTACAGCTTAGAGGGGTCATAGTTCAGAACCCATGTTGAAAAGGGAACCCCTGTTGCAGAGTTGCAGAGGGAAATAAGAGGGAACCTATGTTGCAGATGGCAGAATTTTCATTACACCTAAATAATCAATTTCCCACGCTTCGATTTTCAATAGGACAACTGCGTGGGCTCCATGGGCGCCACCGCGCCCAAGTTGGATCCGAACTTCTACCCCCCATCGACCGTTGGTGGATGGTGGATTTATATCTAGATGGTATGTCTTCCATCGACCGTCCATTTCATCACCTGTGTCCCTGACCATTTCGCTAATCACATCCGTGTGTAGATGTTGGTGACGAACTCAAGATCACTCTGCTTGAGTATGAAGGAGAACAGAACGAACCATTTCGACAGCGGTGGCTCACACGTTTATCAAAATGTAATCGAGAACGCCTTGAGCAACTCGACAACCACAGGAACCGTCGACTCCGTCAAGGGTTTGATGCATTATTGGCCGTCTCAGGCCTTTGGGGTCGTGGAATGCGGATCAGTATGATCCATCGCTTGATCGCTGTTGGCTGTATTGAGGTACCTTCCGGCGGCTTATTATTGTTTGATATGCTACATTTTTTCTGACATGCTCGCAGGAGATCTTAAACAGTCTTAGCGATATAGGAGAGTACTGGTCTTCCCTCGTTGACTACAGTCCAGCTGCGATGACAAAGATCAGCTCAGACACTGTGGAGGAGCTGCAACTGATGGCGCCTCACACATCTCGCATCGAGGCGAAAGCTGCGCGGGGGTATGTCCTGAGCGGCCAGGCCTTTGTTGGCTTCAGTGAAAGTGAGAGGAAGACCATCTGGAGCCGAATGGAGAAGTTTGATGGATTGATCCCTTCTGTGTATACATTTTTTGAGAACTTCAAGTATCTAGAAAGTTGCGCCCACTGCGTGAAACGACTCTTTGGCCCTTCTAGAGAGTCAATCTGGAGCACCATGAAGCATATGTTCATCACTGCCCTCAACACGGAGGAAGATTGCCTCATTCAGACATCAGAGTCTACATTCCGGCAGACACGTATGATGAGTGCTGAACGTCTCAATTTGGCGTATCGACAGGTGTGGCTCTATGCCATGCGACACTATCTCTTGATGCCAGCTGACCCAAAGAACGATGATGACCTGCTAGCCAAGCCGAACCGTGCCAAAGCTGACGAGCGTGTGGTCTACGAGATGGCCAAACTGGCGCACCGTCTCGGATTTCACTCCCCTGAGATTACAGCATTGATGAACCAGTCTCCTGATCAACAAATTGCACGAGCCGCTCTGCTCCGGGTCCGAATACAGGGATATCAAGTAGGCTAGTTATACTCAAGCCCATGAGGTGGAAATCATATAACTACGTGTACCTTCTTTGAATAAAAATGACGGCAAAACATCCTATCGTTTAAAACAACTGATTGGATTGTCTTCCCTTCTTGTAGTCGATTGTATGCAGGCTATAACACCCCCGCCATGGAATGTCCGAAGTTATCCGTCCACTCAGCTTAAGCGATTCAACCGTCCAGCCAACGAGTGCATGGAAACACAATGTTATGCCATTGATACTATCCAATAAGGCATGATGGGGGTCATCAATAGAATACAGCTGGCCGTTCTTTGAGTAGGTAAAATGCTAAGTTGCCTGTCCCAACCCTCCTAGAAAGATCAAAACGCAAGTCATTTCAGCTATCTTTTACTTCTTTCGAAATCCCGATCTCAAGGAATATTGCAGTACTTGATCACAATGTTTCGTCCTACTCAAGTCCTTCAAGCTCTTAAGCAGATCATTTGGCTGCATAACCACTATAGCAATTCCATCGCTATCCGTGCCGCCGGTGAAGAAACCGTGAGAAAGCATTTTGACAGAAATAATCTTGAAAATCGCGATATTGAAATTGCTAAAATCAAGTAAGGATAGACAAGCGAGAAGCGCCTATAGTTAGATACACTAATAATAATAGCTCTCAAGGTCCAGCTGGCATTCAACTCCTCAAGACTCTGAAGAACATTTGACGTTTGAATTCGAAACGGGAAGCAATCAGCATGTCACGACTCAACATGTCTACAGGTCTACAGAGTAGATTTGTAAGTCATTCCTACTTTCCACGTTATTTCGCCTGTTACAAATGAGTTCCTTCGTATATAGATGAGCCCTTTTCTGAGTTTCAGCTCAGCACAATGCGCACAAGAATCTACCTCCTTTCATTGCTATGTTGCCAGTTAGCTATTGAGAGTTGGAAATGTTATCGCGCATATAACTAGTAGCTGTTCAAATCTTATGAAATTTTAATCATGAATATTACGCAGCGCAGATAACACATCAAGCAGTTGGAATTCAAAATCCTTGTGATATTAAACGCATCAATAAACCAAGTGGAACAGCGGGTTGTAGATGTAAACTCTCACTACAGAGTAACTATAGTTAACCTTAATACAGTCTCTTCCGTGGTGCCAAGCCTCCCAGTCATCGGATTTCCCAAATAACTAACTTAACTTATTAATGTTCAACTGTGAGCTAACATAGTTAGTTACCCTCTATTATTGATAATTAAAATTAACCTTGAAACACATTCGTTCTCCGTTGCCATCGCCGTAATGAATTTCTTGAAAAGCTTACTCCCTACCACTCGACGAATGTCAAACTCGCGGAGCCACATTAGCAAGCTATCAGAAGAGCCGTACCAAAAGTACAGCTCAGGCGGATATCATCCTACGAGGCTGGGTGATGTGTTTGATGAAAAGTATCAGGTCGTTAGAAAGTTAGGTTACGGCCAGTATTCAACAGTGTGGCTAGCGCAAGATATAAAGTAGGATCCCGCTTTTCCCTCTCAAATGATAATTTTCTGACTTATAAACTGTGAACTAAAGGACTAATGGAGTTGTTGCCTTGAAAATCCTGCAAGCTGATTTTAGCGTTGACGGGATGAGAAATTATGAACTCGAAATGCTACGGTTCATGAAAAGTGACGGATCTACCCACCCTGGGAAAAGGCATATTCTCAGCCTTTGTGATGATTTTCAACACCACGGGCCGCATGGAGATCATATATGCCTAGTGCACGAGGCAACAGGCCCAGACCTAGCAAAGTATCAACGTCGCCTCCCAGAGGCTCAGATACCTGTGCCAACGGTCAGGCAGATTGCAAAGCAGCTCTTACTTGCACTTGATTATCTCCACCGTTCTTGCAGCATAATCCATACCGGTCTGTAATTCTTCCCTTTGAAAAGTATGTAAGGCTAAGATTTGAACAGATATCAAACCAGGGAACATTCTTATTGAGATGGATGAAAACGAGCCGATTGCCCTACGTGCCCTACCATCAGATGTATCTAAATCTTCGGAATTTTATATGGCTTCTGAGCCTCTTCCTATGAATAGTGATGTTTCAACCATTAATGTTTTTTTAGCTGATTTTGGTACTGGTAAGCGAGCTCTGCAACATCTTTATATGTGCTATTTTAGGTAGCTGACACTGGCAAAGCTAGTTGGGTTGATAGGCACTTAACAGAGTTTATCCAGCCTCGCTGCCTACGAGCACCCGAGGTTATACTGGAGGCTAAATGGGATGCAAGTACCGACATATGGAATGCAGGATGTGTTGTAAGAATTTAAGATTTCAATCCACTGATAAAATTCTAGCTTACAACAGGCCTTAGATCTATGAGCTTTTAACAGGAAAATACCTGTTTGATGGCTGTCCAAGTGCAGCGGGTTCTTATGCCCCTGAACATCATTTGTCCCAAATGGTCGCTCTTTTCGGCCGTTTTCCTATAGACCTACTCAATAGAGGCCAAGCGTCAGAGAAATACTTTGACTCGGAAGGTAAAAAACTATACAATCAGTGTTTCATTAGAATTATCTAATAGAAGTTGTGATAGGTAATCTTAAAGGCATCCCTGCCATGTCTGGATTCTCATTGGGTGGGTTCATCGAAAACGGGAGCTTCCATTCTATCCAGGAGAAGGAAGACTTTATCCAGTTCCTTCAATCCATACTTGTTCTTGCCCCGGAAGAGCGAAAGCCCGCTCATCTGTTGCTTGAGGAGTCGTGGTTAAACAAAGAATATCGCTGAAGCTTGCTTTTCTGAAGCTTTTTTGAACAAAGCACGCTCTATGACGCATACGCCATTTTCTGCTCAGCTCACCACCCACCGAATAAATCAAGTTTATAAAACCTTTCCATATACTACAGAGCAGAAATTTATAGCAAATTATACGAACAGGGATAGATCCAATTGCCTCTTCAAAGTCTATCCCCCATTTGTTGAGCTGCTAGGTTTGACTGCGTTGAGGTGACCGAAGCGCCATCAATGTCAAACACTGCCTGGCATCCTACCGCGGTATAAGGAAAACGGAAGCCATGTCCATCATTTGCATTGGGTTCAGTATCTCTGCTAGGCTCGAGTAGGCAATAGTATAATGTCATTGGATCATTTTCAAGCACCCGAAGAATCACTTTCATGCGACCATTTGTCAGCCGGCTATACTCATGGCCTCCTTGAATCATATGATATTCGAATGCTTGGGTAACAGCTACACAAGATAGAAATGCAGAGTCATAAACCCGCTTTTCATCCACATTCGTCGGTATAGTCACTCATTGGACAACTTCTTCTAGCATTCTGAAGGAAGCGATGGAAGTAGCTAGAATCCAAGTTACTTTGTCCTCTCCATTTTTGGACAAGTTATAGATAATTTCTTTGACAATCAAACATCCACATATGAAGACCTGAGTCTGTGGATGACCTCAAGTCAGCCATCTCAGGTGCATCTTCTTGCATAGACATGACACAATGCCATCACTATAGTGCAAGATATCCAAAATTCCCGCGATTCATTGTCCATTCTTCTTCACTTTCCTTCAAATGAAGAAGAAAGGCCATTTCTACATCTATAACAAGCTTCTCAGCAGCTACCACATGAACATCTAACACTCTAAGAAAGCCTTGACGCATGTCGCACAAGACTCCCTGATTGTATTGAAAGCTGTCCGCATGGGCTATGATGCCAGTGGAGTAAGGTCGGGCAGTTGCAATGGCTTCCCGTACGCATAACATTCGCCTTATTGCTTCACGATAGCCGAATTTCCTCTGTTGTCACCAGCCTGACCTCCGCGCCGTATGTGTGGAATGCCTGAAGAGAAGACGTTGATGTATTAGCGTTGAATGCTAACGGACTGGCTTAAAGGACAGAAAACTATTACTAGAGCAGACTTGTAAGCCATCTTCTCAATTTCTAGAAGATAATAGTCTTGTGTCTACCATGCTAAGCATCGTGTAGGATTCGCAGGTAAGATACCAGACAAAAATATCTTAATGCACACGAGCCTCTGTGTGCAAAGACATTGTGGAGCTAAGCTCAAAACAGAAGGCCCTGCAAGATTGATTTTACAGCTTATTAGGGCCTGTTCGGTGCGTCTGTACTTTTTGAACGCAATAGTGGATCTCATTAAAAATAGTGTATTTACCAATTATTAGTAGCAAGCTGGCGTTGTGCCATCACACTATTCCACTGCTCTGAGATGGAGAAAGGAAGCTCACAAAAATGCATTCTTTTTGAATGAAGTCCAGAGTCAGTTCAAAAAGAACATATTTTTGTGAGCTTCCTTCTAATTAATATTAGTTAACTATCTTCACTATCTTCACTATTCTACACTATTCTACACTATATTATCTCTAAAAGTGCTATTCTACACTATCACACACTGTTGAAGTTAAATACTGCTTATTCATAAGATCTTGATAAGAGATGCAAGTACAGCCGCTCAATCCACTGAACATCTGGCCATTTTCATCTGTACTTTGTAAAAAGCAGCTGTATTATTAGTACAGATGCTCTGTCCACTGAACAGTCATGATATTGGGGCTGTACTTTTTAAAAAAAGTGGAGATCCGTACAAAAAGAACGAGTACGGAGTACACATGGACGTGTGAGAGAGGTTGAACGTGGTTGGTTGTTGTTGTCTAACTAGTAGCTAGTGAAAGCCAAATATATGTGTGTGGGTCACGTGGGTTAGGGCTTGTGTAGTAGCTCCAACACCCCCCCATGCTACGCAGGCCAGTTAACCCACGCAGCCAAAAGCGCCCAAATCATTCAAATCTGCAATAATAATTAATTACACAAAGTAGAGTCTAGTTTTCTCATAAGGACTAGCTCCATACATGCAAATACACGCGAATATGCAAGAAAAAACGCTCAAATCCATCCTTCCTGTATCTGTATTACCCCCCCAGTCATCTGAACACTGCGGGGTCTCATTTCTCATATTTTTGTCATTTTATTGTTATTGTTATCGTGGTTATCATATAGGCACACTCGGTGGCCTGGTTATCGTGGGTTATCGTGGTTATCATATAGGCACACTCGGTGGCCTGGTTATCGTGGGTTATCATGGTTATCATATAGGCACACTCGGTGGCCTGGTTATCGTGAGTTATCATGGTTATCATATAGGCACTCGGTGGCCTGGTTATCGTGGGTTATCATGGTTATCATATAGGCAATCGGTGGCCCGGCATCATATAGGCACTGGGGCCTGGCATCGTAGGCACTGTGGCCTGGCATCATATAGGCACTGTGGCCTGGCATCGTAGGCACTGGGGCCTGGCATCATATAGGCACTGGGGCCTGGCATCGTAGGCACTGGGGCCTGGCATCATATAGGCACTGGGGCCTGGCATCGTAGGCACTGTGGCCTGGCATCATATAGGCACTGTGGCCTGGCATCATATAGGCACTGTGGCCTGGCATCATATCGGTATTTCCATCGTTTTGGCGTCGATATTGGCGGTTATGGTTATGATTATGTCCGTGACATCGTTGACACCACGGGTTATGGTTATATCCATGATATCGCTGATACCACGGGGTTATGGTTTTGATTATGGTTATGGTTTTGTGAAATCTGACCTCCGGATCCACAGTATTTTTGATATTGGTATTGTTATTGGCATTGTTATTGGGCATCATTATCAGGATTTTTTTTTGTGTTCTTGTCATTCAACTGAGCAATATGCTGTCTCAGAATGGCAGCTTCATTGCAGTCTGTCATATCTTCGCGTTCTGGAGGATTATCTTGGGCTTGATTATTCTTGTTGTCTTCGCGCGGTTATTGATGTTGGAAAGAATCCAGCTATCTGATTCTCTGAGATCTCTTCGCGGTTGATCGATCTAGTATTGACAGGCATTTGATATGAGGTATTTGAATGAAAGAAGCAGCTATTTGAAAAGCTTATTGTATGATTATTGCATGGTTATAACGCTTCGTAGAAGTGCAAGGGCTTCATAACCTGTGAGAGAGGTTGAACGTGGTTGGTTGTTGTTGTCTAACTAGTAGCTAGTGAAAGCTAAATATATGTGTGTGGGTCACGTGGGTTAGGGCTTGTGTAGTAGCTCCAACAGGACGCACCGAACAGGCCCTTAGTAATACGGAAGAGGAAAATCCAGATCTCCGATGTTCTGTACATTATTGTACCTAGGTGCCCTTCCAAGGCGAGCACACATTATCACAATGGCCCCCACCCTCGCGCTATGCCATGATCTACAGATTATTAGTTACCCCATCTGGGTATACGAAATATTTTGATGATGATAACGCACTGCTAATATACGCATGAACCAGCTGGCTAAATTATGTGCTGTCAATATTCTCACAGAGGGGTAGCTAGAACCCCCTCACAGCTGCATTTAATTCACAGACCATTGAAGGAGATCAGATGGTTAAAGGGACTTGGGATGATTATCATTACAGTTCTGTACCATTTCAATTACAGAAATATACTCGGTAGGTCAACGCTCAGAATCAGATTCAGATGGTTATCTGTCTCTGCTATTTCACTCAAAAAGAAAATTGCATTTATTAACTACTTATTTAACAGAGACTTGCCAGAATTTTTTCAAACTTTTATAATACTTCACCTTGCTTCTCTTCAAAAGTCTCTTCCGCTTCAGTGCGGCTTCACAGCCTTCAATCTTAAAGCACTCAGAAACCTAACCTGTATTTTATTTAGTTATTTCATATCAGAAGTGAACCAAAATTGATACAACAGAATCACAGCGAGAATGGTTTGGATTTGAACATGACAAATCTTAACAGGCCACCTCAAATAAGAAACTAGTTGGGATGATTGCTAAGAAGGAGCCAAAGGCTACATGCAGTATGAACCAACTAGACATATCTATGTGGACCGCTATAACTACTCAGTGAAGGATCGACTGGGTCTTCAGTCTTCACAACAGATAGAACCGCAATGTAAAATTCCGCTGTACTTCCAGCAATAATCGATCTCGTTGGCTGAATCATGTTGAAGGATTCTTTCTAAGCCTTGTTCTCGTTCAGTAATCGTAAGGGGATGAAATATTGGGGTAACTCCTATAGGTATCATAGCACGGTGGGATTTTAAATGCACATGTACATGTACTATGCATACATATACATTACCTACAGATGCGGAGTATGCCTCTGGTGTCTATATATGCAACGGGAATATCGATATCCATATTTTGCTATAAAATACTGGGGTTCAGGAGTAGTATAAGAGAGATATAGTTGGTCCGGAGATTTGATAATGAAAATCACCAGCCGGGCTGGGTATTGCGCATCGACGAGATTGCCCTGGGTTGGTGACAAGTAAGGATCATTCACTCAAGGAGAACGTATATATATATATATTCATTCATTTGAGAAACATCATGAAGTAAAAAGAAAATAGGAATGGCATATGAAACTAACCTCATAGGGCTAGCTCCCATAATAGGAAGATTCCAACCTTTGCCCGAAAGCTGATGATCCCATATCAAAGCCCAGAGCGGAGACCATTTAACTATAACGGACAATTATGAATCTCACAGATTAAAACACCGCCTGCTTGCAAGTCAATGGTGATTAAAAGAGAGGCAAAGGAAACTACTCCGCCCAGCACTTCACTCACCCGCGATCTTCGGCTTCACCTCGGCGCCTGTGTGTAGAGTACATTTTCAGGCATCACGGCGCGACCGCATAGGATGTCGGCCGTGGATATGATATAACCACGTTGCAGAGATAAAAAACACAAAAAATAATGGGTGGTCGTAGGTCGCATACCAAATCGCGGAATGGTTGCACCCAGTGTAAATCGCGGCGCATCAAAGTCAATAACCCTAAATATCCGTCTTTTATCTTAGCTCTAACCAAGGGGAAATCATAAAGAAAGACACAACCGCTAACACCAGGTCTGTCTTCCCGTGGAGGGAGGTGGGCAATCTAGTGCGATGAACAACCTCCACAATGTTCCAATTGCGCCCGCAGAGGCATCGCCTGTGACCTGGCCCATCGAACACTCTTATCAAGATCCACATCGTCCGCGACGATAGCCTCACTGTCTCCGCAACTATCAACGACTACAACGCATTCCATTCTCTCGCGTTCTCCAACTGCATCTTTCATCGGGCCATCTGCAAACGGCTCCACCATCCCAAGTAACACAGGCCTGGATGTAATCGACCTCGAACTCCTCCACCACTACACTACCTTCACCTACAAAACGCTCCCATCAGGCGCGACCCCCGACCAGCACGAGATATGGCAGATACAGGTCGTCCAGCTAGGATTCCAACATGAATTCCTCTTGCGTGGCATCCTCGCAGCTGCTGCCCTGCACCTCTCCTACCTACTTCCTCAGCGGCGGGAATCACTAGCTCTTCGAGCATCCACCCACCAAAGCATAGCCGTGCAGTCCTTCCATGAGGCGTTGAACCGCGTCGACCCATCAAACTGCGTGGCCATCTTCGCATTCTCCTGCATCCTCGTCGCGCTCACTTTTGCCGCGCCCACGAACCCAGCTGTGCCGCGCGACCAGGGGGGATACCAAGGCGCCCAAAAGGAGATTCTCGACTGGTTTCACATGGTCCGCGGCTGCAACTCGGTCCTGCAGACGCAGTGGGAGACTTTGTCCCAGAGCTTCCTGGCACCCTTGCTAAATAAGGCTATGACCCAGCAAACTGCCCCGTCTCATAACGTGCACGACTCAGACCGCGTGACGGACCTGCTCCGCCTTTGTTCCAGCGAACGCCTCGCAGCGGATAGAGAGACGGCCAATGCGTACGCGCTCGCGATACACCAGCTGCTCAATGCCTATACGCAGGTATCCATCCTGACCGAGCGCAAGCAGGATTTTGTCCCCGCCATCTTCGTGTGGCCGATAGCGATTCCGCAGACATATCTGAAGCTATTAGGCGAGCGCAAGCCGGAGGCTATGGTGATTCTGGCGCACTATTCGGCACTACTACAGCGGTTGGATGACCAATGGTTTATGAAAGGTTGGGCACGGTACTTGGTGAAGCAGATTGAAACGGCGCTGGGGGGAGAGTGGCAGCCGTGGTTGTGCTGGCCGAAGGAAGTGACAGGAATATAGGCTGCTTCGGCCCAGTGAAATTTTTCTGGGCGGGGGGATTTGAAACTGGTCACAGAACCTGTCGGGCGAGGAGAGGAACAGGCCGTGCCCAGCTCAGTTTGGAGAAACGAGACTGTTCCATCGTCGGGCTGTCACTACGCTGCGTCGTCTCGAATTGCCACGGGTGAAGAATATCTCACGCAGATAGTGGGGGATAGGTCATATTATCCTCTTGTTCCTGGTTCTCGGTTCATTCGGAAGTATCATGTTGTTTTATGCATGCCCCTTCTATCTTATACCTGTATGACCACATGGCGGGGCCCACCCACCAGAGACATCATATTTCCTTTTATATGCGATTGGCCGCGATGGGACATCGAATATGATTAGCTATTACTCTGAGGGTAATTCTTACAATATTTTGTCCACAATCTCAAACATGCCGTGAGGAATCTCTGAGGAATAATTTTCCATCATATTGACTATTATCGGCTTATTAATTATTTTTGAACGATATTCTGTCCTGTTTGATCTCTCGACTACATAGAATGTACTCTGTAACTACGCTGTATGATGATTTCGGTAACTAAAATCTGGACTTGGCAACCTCCCTTTTTCAGCCTCCAACCTCGACTTCAGCATCTCAACCTCAACCTCAACTCTCTTAAACTCTCACGCAGTCCAATCCAACACACCAAATCTCCTCTCTTTACTGAATAAAGAAGCCATCTCCTACCTAAATATGATCGCTCTCAGCTAACCCTACCAAATCAGTGGGCATCTGGAATATTGTCTTGGCTATCTACTCATGCTATACTCTGTATTTAACCACCAGCTAGCCGCCGACTTCAAGAGGCCCCCACTCAATCGGCGCATTGCCAACCCTGAAACTTCAATGGTTGCGCTTCTGTATCAGCCAACGCCCGCGGTTCCACCACTATCAACCACTCATGCGACGTGCTTCATGGGCTCACCCCGTCATGAGTAATTGCTCACTAGAAATGCCCATTGCGCCTGTCAGTGTGGCCCACTGTTATCCTACTCATTTAGCGCCTGGCGCAGTCGACTCCGTTTTGTTAGAGTGTCTATGTAGCGGAATGCTACGTCTCTCAGGCCTTTTCTCTTATTCTTTCTATTTCTCAGATGGAAATTTGATGGTGGAGGCAGGAGATTCAAATGGAGTGCATACACGTTCATTTCCATTCATATCCATATTTTCACTATTTTCTATTTATTTCGCTGTACATCATCGTTCGTTAAATACCTTTTAATTACCTTTCGTCACCGCCCGCTGTTGTTGTTATTACTTCAACAACTCTCAAGGGACATTGGCGCTGGTCGTCAATAACCTATTTCGTTCACTTCTCAACTTTTGCGGATCTAGATCTTGCGTCTTCACGGCTTGAATAGCTAACGCCACTGTTTTCTTCCGTGTGAATTCGGGGTGCATTAGAAAGGAGGGAGGAGCGAGATCACGGAAGGGAAGGGAAGCGGAGGAGTTCGGGCACTCTCAATTTTCGCGCGGAAAAGAGGGTTAGCTGCCCTCTGTCACTTGGAAATATCTTGTTAAGAGAATAGGGAAAAGGGAAAACAATATTTTGGAGAATTTGAGTTGAGATAAAGGCCGAAAAATCGAAGGACATGGTCGATAGGATCCTCGCCACTTTCCTTGCGGCAGACGGACTCTTTGTCCTTGGCGGCGCCCTCATTCTCGCTGTTGCGCTCATCAGCAAATCCCAACTGGGTGCCGAAGCAACATTGGATAATGTCGCGCACATCTTGCTGCTGTCGCACTGCCCTATAACCCGTTCGTCTTGGCCCCTCCCCGGCTGAGCCAAATTTATACATCGATTTTTATACACATGTACTTTAGAGAGTTGCTGACATTCCTTTTACGTTGTGTTTCTGTTCTAGCGGCGATCGTCAATGCTGGCTTCATATTTTTCACCTTCATCCTCTCATTACCTGCGATAATACTGGGGACGGACAGACTGTGGCTCAAAATCCATGGCTGGTTCGTCGTTACAAGCGGTATCTTCACCCTTTGTCTAGGGCTTAGCATTTGGTTTGAAACGCTGAAGACGCGGTCGAAATTGGGGATAATGTGGAAGGAACAGCCTGCAGCGGTACAGAGTTTACTGCAGCAAAGGGTGCGTTCTATATATATATCTTCTTGTCTCACGTTGAAAAGGCGAAGAGGCTAAAGAGACTGGAGGCTACAAGTATGATATACTGACAAGATGTGGTATTTTCAGTTCGACTGCTGCGGCTATCTAAACAGTACTTCTCCGCCATTCCAAATCGATCAAACATGTCCGAACCCCCTTGTCGCTGCGCAGAAAGAAGGTTGCGTAGGGCCTTTCTCCGATTACGCAAATCACTTCCTGGACGTTATTTTTACGGCAGACTTTGGTGTTGTCGGTGAGTCATTTCCCCACCCCCTTTTCCTCCCCTGCTCGTTCAGTCTCTATAAATCGCAATAAATTATCAAAAGGAGAGAGAGAAAAAGTGTGTCTTTAAGTCTAACCACTTATATCTCCACAGCCATTGATGCTATTCTCCTCCTCTGCATCGCGATTGTCCTCAAAGACCGCAAAGACCGCGAACGGTACCGCCAGATAGATTTAAAGAATGGGTTCGAAAGTATATAAGCAAACAGATTGAAATATGTATTTACCGCCCAGTAGCTGGCAGACATCAAGCATTACTTGTCCGGTTTATGTTTTTAGAACTGGTAAAACATACTAATTTGAGAATTTGAGGCATACCCGCCAAAAACGAACCTGGACTGAGGATGGATGTGTTGGGAGGACTGGGTCGGTCCTTTTGTCAACATCTAACGGCGTACAAAGATGATTATGTCTTGCCAGCGTTCAATCCTACCGGGAGGCCCAAAATGTCAACCATGCCTGCTTTTGAAAACTCCTTCCGCTATGCCCCTGAGACACCAGCATAGCAACCAAGCTCCTATCGCGTCAGTGGTCAAATTCCACCGGCACACTTCGTCGTTGCCTGAACCCAAACTATCTTCAAGGTTGTGGCCGGACTTTTGCTGAACCTTACTGTATGACTCGCTCATTGTATTTTTCCCTTTCTTTCACGTACATTTTTTTTTATGTCGTTCAATTTTTTCCTCAGTTCTCCCTTGCCTTGTCCATCCATCCATCTCTTATGTCAAATTGTCCCTCATCAACTCATTCCCCTTCCACTTCTTCATCTATCTCCAGTTTCAATGTTGGTTGCTTTGGCATTTGATATACATTAGATCGTACAGTACATTTTCTTCTGTGTCATACATTTATTTTATTCAATTACTATCTTTTTCCCTTGTAGTATCTTCGTTCTCTACGTTATACCCGTGTTCTTCAACACAGCTGACACTAGTCCTCTTCAGCCCCGGTGATATTTCCGACATATATATCGACAGATAATGTACAGCTCATGCACATACCTACTTTACTCACTTTACTCACTTACTTGCTTATTTGTATTGTAAACGGCTGGATGGGTGTGGATATACAACTTTGGTTCTTTGATTCTTTTTTTTATGTATTCATGTTGGTAGGGAAGAGAGAAATAGTGCAGGAAAAGTGTGCAGAATAACAAACTATAGTCAAAATTCTTCTCCGCCTAAGAGAGAAGGTATAATTGTGGAGTGAAAAAGAACTAAAATGTAGGGTTAGAAGAGCGGATAGTATCAAAGAAGGGAGTGAGGAGAATGGAATGCATTCTATATTATACATCATACCTTCTACTCTAGATTTATTTTTTTTCAACAAAAAAGGGCCAAGCGAACCAACCCACCGGATAAGAAAGCCAGCTCAGGATTGATGGCATTTCTATTGAGTTGTAAATACATATCCATGTAAAGTATATCGAATTGAAAATGGAAAAACGAAAAGGGCCAAACCCTACCAAAACAGGATGAGAAAGAAAAGAAAATAAACTCCGTTTTGATGCCAATGAGTTCCCGTCTTTCGTCGTATGTATGTCTTTCCGAATGTAAATGATATGTAAAGTGCATTTGTTGTGATAAGAAAAAGAAAGCAAGAAACAAGAAGAGAAAAGGGCGCGGAACGGGAACGGAATAATGATAAGAAAATGCGTGGTTTCGTTAGGTATGGACGGATAACAGTCGAAGGAAAGATTAGTGAGTGTGGAATGGACGTGATGGGATGGCGGGCGTTAAGAAATAGAGGATGGATGAAAATGGGGATTTATCCCCCCATTTCCCCCCGGAAAGGAACGGAACATTTCGTATCAATCATAGTATAATTTTACCTGTCTTCAAAAATGTCATCTCGCTTTTAGCTTGCCTTGTTTTCCTTCTGTTGGGTTCAGTTTCTTCTTACTCGATGTTGTTGTGACAGTAGTGGTAGTTGTTGTGGTGCTTGCAGCATCAATATCACCGCCACCGCCCGCCGATGTGGGGGTTGAATCGGGAATATCCATGGCGGCTGCCATGTCGGGCGTGGTTCCGATCTTCAGTTTGCTTGGTGGTGTGGGCTTTTTGCCGGAATATTTCTTTGGGGTGTTTAACTTTTTCTTTTTGGTGATGGATCCGGATGCCGCATCGTCGTCGCCACTGGGAAGGGCACGTTTGAGAGTTGAAGGTTTCATTGGAGGTGGCGCTGGGGTATTAGTTCCGTTATCCATTGGGGTGAGGTTGCGTTTCGTCTGCCTACCTGATAGGCCTAGGCATCTATCGAGGTGTTGGGCGACTCTGGTGACGACGAAGTAGCGGGGGCAGTTGGGGCATTTCACGGTGGGGAAGGAGATTTTTTCGGCGACAACGTGTTTGAAGGAGTTTGAGGGTGTTGAGGGTGTTGATGGTGGACTAGATGCAGGCGTGTTTGAGCTGGTTTGCTGTTGTGGCTGTTGCTTTCTCTTTCTGTTTATCTTATCTGTGGCGAATGGATTGCCATGAACATCATGGCCAGGCATGATGATCGGGGGATGCTTTTTACAGTATTCTTTATATGGATCCGGTGGTGGTCGAGAGCCAATACCGGAGAGCGGGTAAAGAAGACGGGGGAGACGGCAGTTCGGACACAGGATTTCTTTGGTCACTTGAAATGGATTCCCTTTCAAATAAACTTTCCCACTGTCATAGGTTGCACCGTCTGTCTCTACCCGAACGGGATCGTGGTCTTTTTGCTTCACACTTGACGGAGCAGTGGCACCAGGTTCGACCGATCCGCTCTCAGGTGCTACCAGATCATTTGCTTGGAGGCGGCTTGCTTCTTCCTCGCCAAGTTTCTTTGCCAGGACGACAGCTGACCTCATGCGCGCAATTTTCTCTTCACGGTGGACTTTTGCAACAATGTCATGTATTATATTGTAGAAAGTGTCGTCCAGAACACTCCGGATCTGCATGCCAGTCAGACCACGCAACCGTAAGCTGCACGGAACAGAGAATGCTATCCATAGCCACGAAATCAAACAAGGGTGGTTGGGCGCTTACCAATTTAGACATGGTCGCAGAGGGTATATCGTTGTTCGCATCCGCAGTCCCAGCCATGCTGGAAAAAAAATTTCCCCTGTTCTAGTACCCTAAATCAGTTTATATGAATCAATGAAGGGCCACCAAATCCATTCAGCACCATTTCGGGAAATAGTGGTAAAAAAGTTCTCAGGTTGACGCCTTGCCACCTGCGCAAAAGCCCTCATCGCTAGTTTTCGTGGGGTTTCCCGGGATTTTCAAGTGCATATAGAGGCCATGATGCGGTGACGGAGTGACTTCAACATGGGCAGAGAAGGGCCTGACCTAGTGCTTACAATGGACACAGCTGGTTCACCTCAGAACAACCTCCGCAAGGTGCAGCCCTTGACCGCGGCGATTCCTTTGTCCCAAATGTATATAGCTTATTCTCCATGCGTTTAATCCAACACGAAAGCTAGCCGATAGGATGAAGACTGTATGCTTCTGCAATGAAACTCGCTGGGTGGTTCTTTTTTCTGTCTCTGGCGCCTGCCAGTTCCAATTGCAACTTCTGGACTGGCGAGCGGCGTCTGTTTGTCTAGTGGTGACGAGGGCTATCCAAAAACAAAAAAGAAGGAGTAAAAGAGAGGAACCCTATGTCTTTCACTAGGCGCTCATTTATAGGGAAATATGTAGGAAGCGGCGTCGATGTGAACCTGGCCTGCAACCTGCTGGTATAGAGTTAGCCGTTAACTCAACGTCAACTCGTGATTTCCCGCACGAAGTCCTACGGGGAGGCAAAACTAACCTCCGCTAAGCAGAACTGCCCAAAAAAGTGTACGCTACTCCGTCCGCTGAGTGGTACCAAGTTGTGAAGAAAGCGGTCTGTGAGTAGGCGTCGTTGTAGCTGCACGATGAACTGTCCAAATGAAGCTTACAGCTTTCTGCCGTCTGTCTTTGTTGGAGAAATCCGGTAATGTTACGGTATTTCACGGAACTTGGCGTACCTCGAAACAGGGGAAGGTCTTATCTTATCTAATCTCATCTCCGCAATCTTATTTAAGCCGCATCGCATCTCCAACGACGCCAATATCAACACCATCAAGCATTCTTCTCAACTAGACAAGGTGGCCCGTTTACTTTTTTGTTATATATGGCGACTGGGTTTTCCTTTTAATAGAGAAATGTAGCGACAATAGAACTCTTCTACCCCCTACGCATCAGAACTTATGACATTCCCGTTTTTTGCGAGGACCACGGCGGCCAAAGCCACTCTTCCTCCTCCTTTCTCCTCACCATCTACAGCAAACAACAGAACAAACAATAGCAGACCAAATGCCGATAAGTCGAGCTTGAGAAATAACGTTCCCTCCTTTCAAACTACTCCCTCGGCTCCTCCACCATCTCTAGCCTCGACGCGCGTTGACAAGTCGCGTAACACCAACCCCGCTTTGGAGCCAAAACCCTACCCCAGCTCTCTCGACACGGTTAACACTCCACACCCAAATGTCACTGTCGAGCCAGTCAGGACAGCGCATGTCCCGTCGTTGATGCGAATTACAGGCCTCCTACTTCCAGTTCGCTATCCAAATTCGTTTTACACGGCCACAATCACAGATCCCATTGTCGCCTCCGTGTCACGGGTTGCCATTTACCACGACCACCCCGTCGCCGATGTAACGGCAACTACCTTCTCCACACCTGCCAAGGTACCCTTACTGTCGAGTTCAGATAAAGTTATCGGTGGGATACGATGTAGATTAGAACCGCTACCCACATCCCCTGATTCGCCTGCTTCACGCCCACTGCGACAGGCGACGAATTTATACATACAAACTCTACACCTACTATCACCCTATCGTGGTAGGGGCATAGCTGCGTCCCTACTAGACTCCTTGCTATATGATCCAGGAGCCCCTCCAGGAACGCCAATGCGGCCGGTATCCACCATTGTTAGGCATTACAATATCCGGACAGTTACGGCGCATGTCCACGAGACTAACGAGGAAGCGCTGCTCTGGTACGTTGCACGGGGATTTACGGTCCAAGAACGTGTGGTTGAAGGGTATTACAGGCGGTTGAAACCTGGTGGCGCGAAGATAGTCAATCTCAAGCTGGAATGGGACGAAGATGATGAGTGCACTAAGTCTAAGCCACTTGACGACGTCGAGAGCAGTGACAATGAAGGCGACGATGACTGGGAGAAGGTTGAGCTGGAGGAAGACACTGCTGCTGCCACAGAGAAACTGGAGGACTATGACACCATCGACATGCAAGAGTGTGTTAGGAAACGAGCGAAAAACTCCTGAACGGTTGGCGAATGACGTAGAATTTAATTATGCCTGGAGTTCGGCGAAAGATGTTTGCTTTACGCACGCACAGCCCAATGCCGTTTTCTGATCCTCTGGGAGATCTCTTGCATGGGGGTTTACCGCACATTATTCCTCCTGCACAAACTCAACTCAACTACCCCTTAAGGAGCCACGAAAGACCGCGTCTGCGTAATGGTATCGACCATGTACCTTTCATCATCCGCGCACAACCGCGTCCAATGCAGGTGAACCAGCTATGCATCTCCAAACGCGTAACCGCCTCGCACACTCCATTCATTCTTAATGAGGGTATTATGCCGAATCGTACCTCGCCCTCCCCAACTATATATACCTACAATCTCATGGCATCTCATTAAATATATATATATATATATATATATATTCCCCCCTCATCTCCCGACCCGCGGAAATTTGCTGAGAAAACGAGAACTGCCATCTACATCTCGTCTACGAGGTGAAGGATTCCGCGTTTCCCTCAACATTATAACTTCTGTCGCTATTTCTCTTACGGACAAAAAATCCTGTTGAAGATCCAGCGTAGAAATCAATATCCAACTCCGAGAACAAGTGAGTGTGTGTGTGTGAAGGGGGGGCCGGCGAATTGCCTATACCACTCTAAGGATTATAGGATAGAAAAACCGCAGCACTATCTAAACGATTCAGAAGTTGGATGTACAGTACCTAATTTCTAATACATATATTTTCTATGAGAATCTGTCTCTTTCCATAAGAAGTTTTATGTGCAGAATACATGCTTAAAAGACGTGCGGGCGGCTCTATGTGTAAACTAATAGACTTAGTTTTGTAGAATCTTAATCTGTTGGAGAAAGGTATAATTGTAGTACCTAATACGCAGGTTATACATGTTATTAGCTAAGTAGAAAGCGGCCGGAATTTGGATATATATATATATACTGTAAGAATGCAGCCTTCACTATGCAGCCTTCAAAATGTGGAGAAATGGAGGAAGAAGGAAAACGGGAGAGGAGAAAATAAATATATATATATAGTGGTAGGATAAAAAGAGAGGTTTTCCCCGCCTCTTCAGATCCTTGACAGGATGCGCAGTGGGAAAAACAAATGTAGCCGTCCTTCCCATCGTTCTGCATCCAAAAGATAAGAATTTTTTCAATCCAAGTAAATCACAATCCTAACCCGGGTATCCGTCTTTCATCCAAACATGAACATAGGAAAAGAACAAGAAGTAAGGTATGTCGACGCTGGTAAAATAACAAGAACAAAATATAGCGATATGCCAATCACTCTCACTGGAACAAAAAGCCGGCCCACAGCGCTCCAGCATCACCCGTCCTCCTCAGATCGCATAATTCTCCGTATGCAAATACAACTCATCCCTGCCAGGATCTTTCATAACAACCCTCTGCAACTGCGCAACCGTTCTTGCCACATCAGTCCGCATGCTAGGCGGCCCGCAGACAAACACGCACGTACGCCGGCCAAATTCCTTGGAAAACTGTCGTAGGATGAAAGGGATATCCGGCCGGCCGTATTCGGTGCGCCAGCCGTCGCGTTTCTGTGTCGGGAGGAAGGCGAAACGCATTAGGTTTTTTTGAAAGAGGGTGGGGGTGCTGGGGAAGCCGAAGTCGAACGACCGTGGGTCTTCTATATCTCGTTGTTGGTGTTGGTGTTGGTGTTGGTGTTGCTGGTTGAAGTAATCTGGGTGGGAGAAGGGGAACGAGGGGAATGGATGTGCGGGACTAGGGATGGGGACAGGGGCGATGATTTCAGGGCCCTGGGAGCGCGAGTGGTGGTAGTTTTGGTGGTGTTCATGGAGATGGGCAGGCGGGAGGGCAGCGACGCCGTCCTCGTTTTCGCGGCGGAGCTCTTTCTCGCGCTCTGAGTCGCCGCCGGCTTCTTCACGGATGTAGGCGGAGTTTCGCTTGCTGGCAACTCCCTGGAAGACGTCGTTTATCCGGTCGTGCAGGACGGTGCTATGGGGTCTCGAGCGTGTCATGGTCGTGCCATCGTAGCGCTTCGCGGCAGTGAGGTAGAATTGGCAAAGGACAGAGCCTGGAGGGGCGTATTCACGACATATTCGCAATTCTTCCTTGAACCATTCCAGCGTTTCCGGACGCTTGAGGGCCCAGATGACCCGCACCGTTCGCGTGAGAGCTTTGCCATCTCGCATTCTTTTGATTAGATCAAGAAGTTGGCTAGCAATGGCTGTGATGCCGCTGCCTCCTGCAAAGAATACTACGTCATCGAATGAGGCTATTTCCCGCCGCATGCCTCCGTAAGGTCCATCTATAAAGGCGCGATATGTCTTATAAGGACCCTTTTCAAGAGCAGTGTCGAGTACTTTGCCGGTGAAGCCACTGAATGGTCGAAAGACAAGTGTCATATCTCGGTACTCCTCGCCATATTCGGATGGGAAGTCGTCACTACATAGAGAGGCAACAGTGAAGGGATGATTTTCGAAGAATGAGATGCCCGGCATCCTTAGATAGACGTACTGGCCTGGTCTCCATTTCATCTGCGTGGGAACCGTGACTTTGACCGCAGTTTCGGGGAGAATTGTGACTGCGGACTCTTCTCCGATCAGCCAGGAGAGGCGGAAGGGATTCGTCCAATTCAAGAAGAACAGTCTGGCAAAGTATGACACTACCCAGATCGCCACGGTAGAAAACAGGTAATGCCAAGAAGTCAAGAAATTTTTGCAGTGCCAGAAAAGCATACCGAGAAAGATGACGCTGACAGGGGCGTGTAGAGTTACAAAGAGCTCATACAGCCTGTTGCGTAGCAGGGGTAAGGAATGGACGCAGAGGAAACAAAGCGGTGCGAATGCAGCCAGTCCAGAGGCATAGATATACAAATTCCCGGTGCGAAGTTTCTCATATATTTCAAGTCCGTCGTTCTCCCAGACAGGGGTAATGTAGAATGGAATCATGTGGACAAGGCTCAAAAAGAGGCAAAGGTAGCCACCCCACCGATGGAGCACATTAAGCCGCTCATGGCCAATGCCAGTCATTAGGGAGATGAGATTTGCCTTCGAGCTCAGCGCGATTATCCACGGCATCAGTGCAACGGCTATCATTCCGGCACGTATTGCTAAGGGAGGGGATCCGGCTCGGATGCTGCTGTAAAAGAGAGGTTGGGGTATGAAACAATAGAGCGTAACAAAGATTAAAGCCATCAACACAATAACAGTGGCACCCATCGACGGGGGCACGATCTTGAGTTTCCATATTCTGATAACGGGAATTGGTCTGTAGACTAGCCACCTTATAAACGCTGTCAGGTAGTTAATAAGCCATAGATTCGATATTGAGGATTCTTGTCTACGCGGGGTTGTGGATGGAAGTGGGCCTTCTGGGGGGAAGAAGTTGCGTGAAGAATTGGCAGTACCAGGGCTTGTCATTTCGAAATCCGATTGTGGCGATGACGTCTTGTTATTGAGGACTTCTTCCTTGTAGAGGCCTGTTCTTATCTTATCGCACCAAACATTGTAAAGATAGAGCAAAGTCGTGGCAATGAGCAGGATGATGGAGAAATATACCCAGCCAAGGGCATATTTACCTGATTCTGCCCATGGATCCCTCTGGCTCTCTTCTATTTCTATTGGAGATTGGTGGACGTCGGGAGGAATTGAGATGCGTTTCGCCAGTGAGACCAATGATTCCAGGCCTCTAGGAAAAACTCCCGAAGAATCCTTCAACCTGTTTAGCGGTGACATAATTTCGTTGATTTCGAAGGCGCTCTCCAAATTGCGGTATGCAAACCACCTATTCCTGATCCAGCTAATATATCATGGAAATATGTTGGCCTTCCTGACTTGAAGTTTCCTTCGCCTCGCCCGTTCCGTTCAGGACAGACAATTGTCTTCCTCTAATCAACCAGCTCCCAACCTGGCTAGCTGCCACTTCTACCAGTCAATGGTATCTCTTTTATAACACAGTTGTTCACCCGCGGAACCGATGCGCAAGACGACGGAGAAAGCGTAGGATATTCACGGAATCAACGAGGTCAATGTCTAGAGTTGCCACAGCAGCCGAGAAGTCAACGGTTATTGACTAATGTGCATATTGTCAAGGCCAAAGATGGAGTCAGAGCAGAAGAGCGGCGCGACGACTGAAGTAGCAAGTAACGGCATACGAAAAGGTGAAGATTTAAGCTCGTGTAAGTTCGTCTCCAATTGGTTTGTGCTATTCGGACCCAACACGTGTACTCTTGTCAGACCTTATGACAGATTATGTAGAAGCAGTGCAACTGGCTCCCACGATCCTGCGATGAGACAAGTTTGGGAAGACGATTTAAGGCAGGAAAACGAAGGAGCGGACCAAAGCAGGCCGGCCAGGGTTGGTGTCGAAGCGGGTGCAAAAGCAAAAAGATATTAGAGTAACGAATGAATGTAAATATACTACAAGTCAAGCAACAACGGCTAGCCTGATGGTCTCTTGATGGGAGGTATCTTCGGCAAACTGTAAGGCAGGTGGCTAGATATATGTCCCGGCTCGAGGGACCGGAGACCGTGGAACAGGAGCTACCTCCTCGGAAAGGGGTGCTTTTGGCCGTACTAACCGGACCCAGCCTTGCTAGTGGAAGGGAATTAATTGGCTGGCAGACAGGTCGATGGTCTTGGACGTAATAATGTACGGAGTAATGTACAGTGTAATGTGATGTGATGGGCGTAGATGTTCAGCGGGTAGGAGGAAGTCAAAACGTAGAGTTACTTGACAGCATTCGACAGCTTGTCGAGACGCATGAATTGTGGAGTGTGACTGGAAAATGGCGGGTCCTTTCACGGTCTCTTTTTGTCTGTTAGTTAAGCTGGCGGCTGTTTGAGCTTTCACGCTGGAGGGCACATTTTTTATTGTATGTTCATGCCAGAGTTGGGAAGATCCAAATGGCGCTCAGCAGGCGCTTTTGACTTTTGAAGAGGGGATGTGAGCGCGTGGAGAAAGCTGCGGGGCTGCATCGGAGACATCGCTCTCGGCGATGGGGCCCTGGACCTCTCTGCAGTAGTTAACTAGTTAGTTACGCTGCGTAGCCCGTCCTTTGGGGAGCGGGGATGCATGGTGATCGAATCAGAAGCGAGGAATGGGCTGCTCACATTGTGACAACCAGGATGGCCGTCACGCATCCGAGATGGAATTTCCATTATTGCTTTTTGCCTTGGCTCTGAGACTCGATCTTTATCCGTTGCACCAGGCCAGGGCCAATCAGAAAGGCTTTGCCAGATTGATAGAGTGGCCTCGTTAAACATCTCCAAGCAAGGTCACCCTTCAAAAGTGCTGTTCTAGCTGTTCGTCAGTAGGAATGGAGAGGTCGGCATGTGGTGACGGTACATACATATACTTTCGGCCGCCATCTGCGGCCTGCTGCAGATATTGTGAAGATATTGTGAAGATATTGTGAAGGAGACAGGGTAATGAATGTTAACTTACCATGCAATTATTATTGGAACTTACAAGCAATCAATCAGGCCAAGCTGTGGGCCATCATCCATCCTCAATGCGATTAAACATGTAATAATGTACGGAGTACAGTACAGTAGTTACAGTACAGTATCTGACTCGCGTAAGTTAAACTTAGTCCTGCCAATCACAGGAGACAACAGGCGGGGCAGGCGAATGAGAGAGCTGTGTTTACCGCTGCCAACCATACTGTGTAACTAGTACTGACATAGTATGATATTTATTTTTTGAAATACATACATATCCATTCAGCTTCATTATTAAGAGAAAAATGTTATAAAATTCATGAATATATTTTCTCTGTTGAAGCTCTATGCTCTCTCTATCTTTGCATTCTTTATTCTGCAGTATTATGTCTCACCTTGTCATACAATTCAACAATTTAACAGATCTTCTGATAACTTAGTGATATTAATCTACTTCTTTCTTGCTATTTTGTACCATGATTCATCACAGATTGCAGTGCAACGTCTGCGGCTTTCAGGGTCATACATAATTCAATGTAGAAAGAATGTCATTCATTTTTGCGCATAAAATATTATCAAGAATTCAGAGTATCGCAGCGGTCAGCGGTATCTATTTACTATATACAACTTGATATCGATGTATCGATGAGGGTTTGGCGGTTTGGCGGTGAGCTACATCCGACCCTACCTAAGTTACTAACTAACCATTTAATTATTTAATATTTTTAGAAATAATTGGCTCGCCATCAGCGCTACCTTCACTTCTCAAACAGTCAAAGACTTGATGAAGGTGCACGGAGAACAAAATAGTGAGCGTGCATGGAGTATTCCATCATTGATTGTGAGTGAGTAACTGAACACATAACTACTGTAAGATCATACCTTGTCCCTTCTGACCTGCATTATTGCTGCGATGCACTTAAGGGACCAACCAACCTTTGTTTCCTTAATATTCAATCCACAAGCAGGGATTTAGACTATGATGTTTCAAAATGCCATACCTTATGTACTGTACGTGGAGCTTTTACAGTGGCTCTTTAAGTCAGGCTACATGACTTATTAGGGTAGTCATCCTCCTATTTAGCAGCAACTTTTTCTTTCGTTTGAATTGCTCAAATTCAGACCAGAGAGACGAGTCAGCACGATGTAAAAGGTGTACAACACGAATCAATTCAAAGTTAAGTACATTCCACAACACATCTTCATCGCAAAGGAAACTCCAAGGCAATACAACTAGAATGATGCAACTACAAATTCTCCTGTTCCTTACTCTATCTTGGACCAATTCGCATCCGGCGCATTCAGCTGTGCCACAGCATCCATGAGCCCATGCTCTACATCTAAACTCCGAATCCTGCGAAATCATACTCGGATCACCCAAAGATATGTCAGACTAACTAGTTAATTAAGTGTTAATAACTTCTCGCTTAGTTAGCAATCTTCAATCAAGCAATCTTTAACTCCGTACTCCGTAGTTACACCTTCCAACATGATATGGTTGATTTGGGAATGTTCCAAGTGCCAATGCTAACATTATTTTCGGAGTATTGAACAAACATTCCCCGGCAAGTTAGAGAGTCTCGCAGCGGATGATGAGTTAATCCGTGCCTAGTCATATAATATTTTCTTTTTTTTAGTTCCGCACGGGTCCCGAAGATTGCTTGGAGCAAAGTTATGAAGGGTTGTTTTCTCTCCTTTCCAAAACGGTGCATTTGCTGATCTACCGGGATGCTTACGAAGAAGTCGGAAGGACGATGAATACTAACTACATCACAGCAAGGGTATTGTGTGATTGCACAACATGCAATGCCGGCTAACCGTTCTTCTACATATGTACTCCATCCCTGATCGAAGATGTCTCAGAATTTGACTGATGCAAGATCGCATGTCAGAGGTGTGTGGTGCTAGCTATATCAGAGGCTACTACGCGATGCAGTGCAGGGCGGGCTTCGATGACGAAATCTAGTCTGCGCACTCTCACAGAGCCTAACAGCCATCCATGCCTAGCACATATACCGTGCATGTCCCCATTCCCGCACTTGCGGGCCTATCACATAACCACTGCCGGGATACTCTTTTAGCCTAGGTACATTGCCAGGGACAGGCCAGAGAGTGCACAGATACATCTTTTTTCCCCTACTGCTTGTAAATTTCAAGACCGTGCTTTTTAACATCTATTGGGCGCTTTTGATTTCCCTAAGCGCCGTCAGCCCCGGCCCCTTATCCTGACTCATCAATACACTCATCAAGGGGATGCTTTGCTGCGCTGTTAGATTAAAAGACGAGTAGGTCAGCCCTTCATCCGATCGGGACTGCCAGACGATATCACGGAGATCACGGAGATCACAGAGATCGCGGAAACCATAGACACATCCTCTCCATTGGACCGCTCTGTCCCTGTGAATAATTTGGTGAAAATGAGTTCATACGGCTTAGAACTGGAACTGACGCTATCTATTCATCAATTTGGCTGGAAATTCGATCTGTCGTCGGATTCAGGTGAGGTATTTTGTTATGGAGAAACCGGTTTCTTCAACAATGATGATATATTTCAGTCGAGTTCTAACCACTCGGAGAGATATCATACTTCCCTCCTCATGTCTATGACAGGATTGATTGCATAAAAATGGACAACGATCCGAGGCTAGTGGATATATTCAAATATCTAGGTTCTCACTTACATGCTACACTGGCCATTTGGGGCAGTGGTTATGTTATCGATCCTGCTCTGTCCTCATAAGCGTGACCCTGAGCCCAGGAATCGCAGCTGGGGTTCAAATCTATCCACCAACACTGAAAAGAGCGTGGGAAAGTATCCACTTGTATTTCTATCAGAGAACTCAACCATGTCTATACCCAAGGGCAAAACAATTGTTTCAAGCGGACAACATTTTGTTGATGTCCCCAACTACCAACCCATCACCAATTTTCTTTATTTCACTCCCTATCAGAGCTTAAATCTCCATTTCAAAGCACACAGATAACTCTGAGCCGATATAATGCCCAAAATTTTCAATAGGTCTATACCCTCCCCTCATGTAAAACAGGATCGCATCAGGCTGCAACTTGCCCGTCTCATACACCAGCTTCCGCCACCTCCGGACTCTGCGCCCGCTCATGTAGCGCCTCCAGAATAACCGAAGCAATTCCGAGACGCTTGCCCCTAAATTCAGGGACGACGAACATACACTTTACTTCGGCCTCTGCGGGGAGCAATGGTGGCGGTGGCTGTGACTGTGACTGGGTTTGGATTTGCGGATCGTCGCCGATGACCGTCGTATTATTGTTATCATCTACATTACTCAGTGCCCGCAACGCTCCACATCCCACCGGCTTCGCGTCTATATATGCAACGATAAAGGCAGTAACGTCATCCTTGGTCGGTTTGGGCCCATACTCAGAATCCGGCGTGTTATACCGCACGGCGAGTTCGCTGCGTTGCGCGTGGCGGAGCATTATGCTGTCGGGATGGTCCTAGGGGCGGTCCAGCACTTGAATGGTGGTCACCATGTTTGAGCTTCTATTTTCCGCTGAATTTGAAGTGTGTGAGAAGGGGATACACTGAACTGATATACTCTGATCTCGTTGCGGCGCCCGGGAGAGCTACATAAGCATAGACCCGAGAGATTACTGGTAGGTGCCTGCTTACATATTTTTTGGTCTTTTTCACGGGTTAGAGAAGTAATTTATTCGCTTGATAGATGTAGCTAGGTGAGTGGTTCAGGGGAATTGAAGATGTAATTGGAGTGCATCTCCCTTAAATCTCTATCCAGGAATATATGTCAGGAATCGCGGTGGAAAGTTTTCCACGTTACAATATATATATATATATAGCGGAGATGCAGGTTGACAGAGATATTCGTAATTGATAACTGTGCGAGTAAGGATTCCCATTTCGTGACTCATATGTGGGATACTAGGGAGACAAGTTACGCAGAGCAGAAGAAAACGACGGTTGCGAATAAAGTTGTATATGCAACCTAGCAGCGAAGAGAATTCTCTGAGATAAAGTTTGCGGGAGCAGTGCAAGGTCACGTGTAACTAGTTATATTCGCCCACCGCCCTTGTCCAACAGATTCTGCCGCATCATAATATCCAAAACGAAAAGCTCAAAAACATCGGAGCGCCGATGAGAACCTTCCACGATTTGATGGGCTGCTAAAAGCTCTCAATTCTGCCAAAACCCAACCTTATATGAATAACCACAACTTTAAAAACAAAGAAATACCCACTATTGTGTAGAAAATGACACCCTCACCAGCAACAACCTCCACCTCCACCACAACCTCAACCTCAACAACCACCCCCCCCAATTCTCCAAAACCCGTCCAAGGACCTCCTCCCTCCCTCTCCCTGCCGCCCTCCCAATTCGCCAGACTTCAACCTCATTCCTACCTCCTCGCGCACCTCTCACCTTCATCTCCAGATTCAAGACCCCCCCTTCGCGTAAACGGGCGCACACCATCCCAATTCCGCCCCGCATCCATCAACATCGGCTCGCTCACACATACCAATGCCAGCGCAGTGGTTCGCATGGGTGACACAGTCGCCGTGTGCGGTGTGCGCGGCGAAATACTCTCGACGGATGATATAGCCGCATGGAACGTGTCGTCGTCGTCAGATCCATCCACCTCAAAACGGAGGAAAACAGACAGTGCGCAGGCGGGGCAATTACAACACAAACAAAAACAAAACGAACCACTGGAAGACGAAGAAGATGATGACAACAACGAAGACGACTCCGAGATCCACGCCTTCAACCTCCTCGTCCCCAACCTCTCCCTCAACACCGGCTGTACCCCCAGCATAGCCGCCTCCGCCTCCCCCTCCACCCTCGCCCAATCGCTCTCCCACAAACTTCTCTCCCTCCTCCATACCACCCGCCTGGTCCGTGCCTCCGATCTACGCATCCTCCACCACCCACCTAACCTCACAGACATAACGACCCTGCATGCATCCACACCAGCACCAGAGCGCGAACCAGAAACAAAAGCCTTCTGGACCCTCTACATCGACATCCTCATCATCTCGCACGCAGGCAACGTTTTTGACGCCGCATGGGGCTCCATGATTGCCGCGCTGCGCGACACACGCCTCCCGAAGGCGTGGTGGGATATGGATAGCGAAATGGTGCTTTGTTCCGATGAGGTCTCCGAGGCGCGGCCGTTGAGGCTCCGGGGCCTGCCGGTTGCGAGTTCGTTTGGGGTGTTTGAGGCGGATGAGATGGAGAAGTGGAGGATTCCGATGCCGGTTGGTGAGGAGGCGGAGGAGAAGGGGCGAATGGGTTCTGGGAAACTCAAGGCGGTGGAATATGGGGGAAGTGGTGGCGATGGAAGACCGCGGCGATGGATATTGGCGGATTTGGACGGGTTTGAGGAGTCGTTGTGTGCGGAGAGGGTGTGCGTTGTTGTAGATAAGGAGGCAGGGGGGTCAGTGAAGATTCTGAAGTTGGAGAAGAATGGCGGGTTGGCGGTTGGGAGGAGGGAGATGAGAGAGTTAGTTGAGCTGGCGGCGGGTAGGTGGGAGGAGTGGAAGGGCTTGTTTGGGGAGCGGTGACTTCTATTGTCAGTCTTTTTTGCCTAATAGAGAGGATTCCGCGGGAGGTAATTGGAATAGAATCTGGAATGGAATCTTTTTCGAAACTTTGATATGTATGTAGCATGGCATGCCCATTTATAGATCCACGAGCATTTTTCATTCTAGAGTTCTTGCTATACACGATAAGTGTGAGCGTAAACAACTCATGAGCTAACCAGGGAGCCGAACGTTATGGTTCCCCGTAACTCCGGTTCTCTTTTCTCTCCTTCCATCCACTCAACATATCACATCATGTATTCAGCGAGAACTGGATAGAGATATGTTTCCCTCGAGGGCCGAGGAAGCCAGGACCAAGCAGAAACTGGTTGTATTAGTTACCCATCTCCCCATTTATCTCTAGCACGTCGAATCCTATCTATCACCAAGGATAAAATGTGAGGGCAAAGGCCAGAGAGAAGTAACTGTACAGCGACGGGGGAATATCTAGTCATCACAACTGAATGTATGCGTAAAACGGGTATTAACATAGATCATCAAACCCAGTCAAAATAACACCGTTATAACCCTTCCGCAATCCATCCCTATGGGGTTTCCTATCCTACCCAAACGCCTGTAAGACCCATTGAATGAAAACAATCGAATCGAATCCACTGCAAAAAAATAAAATAGAATAAAATAAAATAAAATAAAAAAGGAGAAGGCAACAATTATTAAACATTCATATATCTCTCTTACATACCATACCATATACCATATATAAAATAGCCCAGACACACACACACACGCACACACAAAAACAAAAAACAAAAATGGATAAAGTCATAGCCATATATCCCCTACGTTCTTCGCTTCTTCAGCGCTGGCTCTTTGACGTCCGCATCAGGATTAGCACCTACAAGGACGGGTGTAGAGGAGGAGGATGAAGAGGGTTCGCTTTCCTGATCGGAGCCGTCGAGGTCTTCATCTTGTTGCTGTTGTTGTTCTTGTTTAGTTTCATTTGCTGTCTTTGAATCGTTCTCCGCATGTTCTTCTTCGCTGTTGGTGGTCGCAGAGGAGGAGGAGGTATCTTTTCCCGGTTGCAGTTTTGACTTGGGGATGGAAATGGAAAGTGAAAATAGGCTTATAGACTTGGAAGTTTCATTTGTTGCGGGTTTCTTGGTCTTATCGTCGTTCTTTTCGCTGCTGTCCTTGGTGGGTTCAGGCCATTTCGTAGCTGAGGAAGAGGGTGAGGATGCGGAGGCCGGTGCTTTGGAAGTATCACGCTCGAAAAACATCCTACGGATGATTCCAGATGGGGAAATGGTTTCTTTCTCCTCCTTCTTCTCACTCTTATCGCCCGAATCCTTCCCCTTCTCCGCCTCGTTTTCCTCTTCCTCCTCAACCACATCGGAGAAATTCCACATCTCAGTGATATCACCTTTCACGAGGGCAGGTATCCACAAAGATCCAAGCACACATGGGACAAGATAGAGAAGAGCAGGTTGGGCATGATGGGAGATCTGCATTGCCAACAGGGTAGCCAGCATGCCAATCACATACCCAACAATACTCGCATGGAAGTATGTTTTGGGGAAGTTCTTTGCTTCGTGTGACGTAAGCTTCCCATCCAGGCGCTGGGGGAAAACGATAGGCTCATATCTGGATGTGGATGTGAACCACGTTGTCCAGAAACGCTCACCCCAACGACCAGTGGCGCTGACATATGGGATTTTTTCAGATCTCTCCAACCGAGCGGCCTTCGCCTTGTAGTAGAGGAAAAGGTCAAACCGCAGCGCTAAACCCATTACCATACCAGGAACCACAATATCGCCTAGCCCCAGCATAGCCATGCTCTCCAAAGCAGGATCCGCTCCTGGCGTCGCAGGGCGCGGGAAGACCAACTTGATGGGTATATCCAGACTTTTGGCAACGGTAACCATTAACGGGGTGAAGAAGACGAAATAAATATCGTAAAAGAACAAGGCGCCAAGGACCAGGGAGGCCGTCCCGAACGTCGTGGGCGACATGAACTGCATGGCGCCGTAGGAGACGCTGAAGCCGAGGAAATTGGTTAACCACCACGGCTTCGACACAAAAGTAAAGAAATACACGGCCGCGAGCGCGATAATAATGCTTATGACGTCTAAGATTGTGAAGCGGCTTTTGGCTTCGACGATGGCGTGGATGTAGGCTCGTAGCGTTGCTCTTGTATAGAGAAAGTTGCGTATGTCCCAGAGGGTATTTAGAAACGAGGCTGGCAAGGGAATGTTACCTAGATAACCTGGAAGAGGGGACTTGCGACGCTCCTCCTCGTTTATATCTGCCAGGGGCAAGTCGTCATCTCCAACGGGTACAAAAACCCTCTTGCGCTGGTTTGCTTTCCACATACGCCCACCTAGAGCGTAGCGGGATGGGAAAATCAAAGATTGCAAAAGCGAAAACCCATCCCGCATAAACGCGACGGCAAAGACAAGGGCCGCCTGCGAGAAATAAAAACCTAGGAACTTGTTGAGGATGGCTGGGTCCTCCACCCATTTGATCAGGAGATATAGGCCACACAGCGTCAGGCCGGCCATGATGGGGAACATGATGGCGTCAGATGGCTCGAGGCCTTCCATTCTCTTCACGCTTGATTCCTCCTCTTCATCCTCCTCGTCCTCTTCGTCACTGTCTTCCTGATTTTCCCCATCACTATTGTTTGAACGTTTGCGCTTGGGTTTGGTTGGCTTGGCTGCCGACGACGGTCTTGTCAAGGACGCATGGGCTCCGATGTAGATGGGGAAGAGAGCGGACACTACAAGATGGCTGTATGTCGGTATGAGGGGTTTGCACACACTGAATTCGAACTGGACGCGGTCTAGGAGTTTTGCGAAAAGCCCTGCAGCGTCCATCTTTGCGGAGAGCCCTTGGCGGAGGACACCTGGCTTGAGTCACTAGGTGAATAGGTGTTGGATAGCTGTTCCCTCATTCAAGAGTATTGTCGATAGCATGCGTTTCAGGATTTGTAATTACTAGAAAGAAGGATGACGCGGTGTTCTGTGACGGGGATTTTACAGCATATGTAAACTTTTGATTTTGGGAGCCTCAGTTTGATGTTGATAACGTTGGAAGTTTATCTGGAGCCGTTGCTGCGGGAGAAGAGATGGCGCCGTAGCCAATCAAAACACCTCCTTTCTGGTGCTGCTTTTACCTCCGCGCAGATTCAATGTTCATGTGTACATATCTTGATGCGATACAGCTTAGTTAAGTTATGAAATGATGAGTTACCTTGGACAACTGATGATGCTGGATGGATGGTTGTTTGGTGGAAGCTATTTACTTGAGAACTCTGTTTCTCCTCCTTCAACCTTGTCTTGCAACAAGAGCTCACTCACTCTCTCCTTAAAGAGAGTCTAAGTATCTATTTCCCACACTTCTACGCAGCGTATTATGGAAGACTCACCAGCATAGGAGGCTACTCTAGATAGTTCTTGTCACTGGGCTGATTTGGCATTTTAACTCCAGGTTTCTATTATACAGGTTATCAGCCTCACAAAGCCTAGGTGTAGTTCGTGTGTGCGGCCTGTGTTTGTATATCTTGTCAGGAAGAAGGAACTTAAATCGGGACTGCCTGGCACATATATCTTGCCGACATTATTGTTATCCATTGTAAAAGACGGAGTGTCTTTCCAAGGTTGAAAGATGATATTCCCTTCTTTGCGATATCTACGCTGTACGCTGCTGTAAATAGATAGGTTAAACGGGCGCCAAGCCCAAAATGATGGCTGACATTCATCCGGAGCTTTGCAAGCCCAAACTTCCAAGCCAAAGATCTCCCTATGTCATATGTTCAGAATATAACGGCACCAATGGCTACTGATGTGGTACTTGACACTTCGATGGTACAGTTGAATCGCATCCTTGGCGGTTTCATGCTATTCCAATAAAACTTGCTAACTCTCCCCAGGGCTCCATCACCCTCGAACTCTACAACGAGCATGCGCCCAAGGCACGAGAGCCCAATCCATCCCCCTCCTACCCTACCCATTGCCAGACCCTTCCTTCTCTTTACTAACATACAGCTCTCTTCTGCGAGCAATAGGCATGCAAGAACTTTGCAACCCTCGCGCAACGCGGCTACTACAACAACGTAATCTTTCACCGCATCATCCCTAATTTCATGATCCAAGGCGGCGACCCCACCGGCACAGGTCGAGGGGGCAGTTCGATCTACGGCGAGAAGTTTGAGGATGAAATCAGCCCCGCGCTGAAACATACAGGCGCGGGAGTTTTGAGCATGGCGAATAGCGGACCCAATACCAATGGCAGTCAGTTTTTCATTACGCTGGCGCCCACTCCGTGGCTGGATGGGAAACATACAATATTTGGCCGGGTGAAGAGTGGGATGAGAGTTGTGCAGCGCATGGGACTGGTGAAGACAGGAGCAGAGGATAGGCCGGTTGATCAGGTTAAGATTGTGAGGGCAAGGGTTGTGGAGGAATCGGGGGAGGAGTGATGGCATATCTCTCGGCCTTGGGCAAGGTTGAATATATGATAAAGGACTGGAAGGCATGATGATATACGATGAATAGATTGAGCTGCTCTTCTACTACGATGGTCAGAAGAGAAGGCTCAGGTATTGCTATATACTACGCATACCGGACACAAATTCTGCTACGGGTTTGGCCTCAAAGCTGGGTTTGAGGGGGGGACAGCCATGGTCATTCCCAGCGAAGGATCCCATTCCATACATGGGAAGGATGTCTTCCAGAGACACTTCCAAAGAAGACTTTACTCCAGATGTACACCATAAATACATGCCATAAACAGGCAGAATAAATAAAATTAAATAAATATGAAAAGAATGTATCACCGCAAAACGAACCGCTTCCATCAGACGATATATCCAGAGCAGCAGATACAGGGTGAAATAAGCAATCTACACTCCATAACGGACACAGCCAATGAAGGCGGATCCAGAAGACAAGCTCGCCAAAGCAACTACTAAAAAAGTAGGACGCGGCATGGTCTGCGCAGAAGCACTAGGAGTGAGTTGTTGAAAAAGAGAAAAAGAACAGGAAAAATTGTTTTGATATTTTCTGCTTTTGATGACGTTGGTCCGTATGCCAAGCCTGAGCCAGTCCCTATTGGGCTAACGCATCATGTGACTACGCTTCTTTCTCGCCATATATTTTTCTACCTCGAGTTCTCTCTTTCTCTTCCCTTTGGATTTTCCCACAAATGAAAACAGAAGTTGATTTTGATTTCGACCACTTGAAACAAAACATTCAAACCTGTCATTGCCAGTGGTTCATATTGTCGACGCTAATGGTCTTTTGCCCATCCTATGAACTGAGCATCTGATCCTGTAATGTGTGCGCTGCTGTAATGGAACAGCTCAGTGACGTTGACTGGGATGTGCTGATCTCCGGGACTGGCTTGCCCCAGTCCATACTTGCACTGTAAGTCATTGGCTATCTCCTCTGATTCTCATTCTGGTACCTCGGTTCGCTAACCTAATGCCAATATTCTCTAACAGAGCACTATCTCGCTCAGGTAAAAATGTTCTCCATATTGACAAGAATGGCTACTACGGAGGGCCGGATGCAGCCTTCAGCCTCCAAGAGGCCGAAGACTGGGTAACAAAGATCAACGAGGGTGAGACACTTAGCACTAACCATGGGCTCTTATGGCCAACTTGGTCGCGAGTCCCTTGACTCACAATTTATGCTGATCGGGTGCCGATGCTAACCAGCTCCGGACTCTACTCCCTTTGAGTCTGCTTCAATTTCCACTTTACCCGCTTCATCAGAGGATGAAGGAAGCAGCAAACTTTTGCCTTCAAGAGCATATACACTCTCTTTATCTCCACAGCTCATATACTCCCGGTCAAGACTTATCCCAAATCTGGTTTCATCTAGGATATATCGACAGCTGGAGTTCCTGCCCGTCGGGAGTTGGTGGGTATGCAGATATGGAGATTCAGTTAGCTCTTCCTTGATAACTCGAGTACCTGGAAGTCGGGAAGATATCTTCGCTGACGACAACATGTCGAATAAATCGAAGAGATCTCTGATGAAATTCCTCAGGTATCTTGCCCAAACGTCTGTGGATGATGGAAATGAGGCTGGTGAAGAGGACAGTGATCTAAATCTTCCCTTTGCTAAGTACCTCATGTCAAATTTTCATATTCCGTCAGACCTCCATGACCCCCTTACATCTTTATCTCTCTCTTCTCGACCGTGGGATGAGACGAGCACTAGATATGCGGTGCCCAGGATAAGAAGGCATTTGGGATCAATTGGGGTCTTTGGCGTCGGCTTCGGCGCTCTGCTTCCGAAATGGGGCGGTGGTCCGGAAATATCACAGGTAGGATGTCGGGCATGTGCAGTCGGTGGCGGCGTCTATGTCCTCAATAAGGGCATCAGGCATGTAGAAGTGCCAACGCCAGGGCCTCAAAATGGCGGTGATGATCGGGGACTACGGGTTCAGCTCTCTGATGGAGAGACTGTGCGGAGCAAGTTTGTTGTGGGATCGCCATGGGATTTACCAGCAGAAACTCAACGCTCAAAACCCACTTGTACAAAGATTTCTCGCTCGATCATGGTCGTGTCATCTTCGCTTCAGAGCCTCTTTCCGCCTACATCGGAAGGCGGCCCCATACCAGCCGGAGCGGTTGTTTTCGTTCCTGGACCATTTGGAACGAGGCAGCCCCCGATATACCTAATTGTCCATTCCAGCGATACCGGGGAATGCCCAACTGGCCAGTGTACGTATCTCTACCGTTATTTTCTTTTCCATATCCCCATGGCACCAAACCCAAGACAACACAAAGAAAACCCTCGCTCTCAAATGATGATTCCTCTTTAAACGAATACTTATCTACATTGTCTGCAATTTCATTGATGATAAACTTTCCTCTGACAGCCTGAAGAGAGCCACTTCAACTATTCACATGCTTTTCCGTTACATTTTATAGATGTGCATTTGACTAACAGACCCATGAAAACCAAAAGGCGTAATATACGGCAGCAAGCTCCTAACATACAACGACGATGGGGAGTCGCTCATTCAATCCGCAGCCACCAACTTTCTCACATCTGTCGACCCGGAAGCAAAAATCCTCTGGAGCCTCCGATATACCCAGTCGGGCGTTCTCGACGAAGAAACGTCATTATCTCCATCTGCAGAATTATCCCCAGTCTCAGACAGTTTCTCGGGACGTGTATTCTCGTTTGCGCCGCCAAACCTAGACCTATCATTTGACGATGGGATGCTTGAGCAGGTGCGAGCTGTCTGGGAAGCTGTTACTGAGGGGGATGCGGAGGGGGGGGAGTTTTTGCAGTTCGAGGACCGAGAGGGAACTGGAGGGGAGGACGGCGATGGGGAGGAAGCTGGTCTTAACTAGATGAGATAGTGTAAAGACAACGAGATTTTTGGATTGAACCTTCAACAGGAAAAACTGAATGAAGCGTCCTCTTGCGATCTTACGTATGTATTCAACGCCATCTTCGTTGGATTTTTGCCGTATAGATGAAACGCAATCATTTTGATATTCCGCTGCCGTTGCCATTGACCAGATCAGAGATAAGTTACCCACGCCAAGTTAAGCATCGAAGTCCCCGCCCAGGTGGGTGCGCTCTATATAAGATAGTTACCAATCTGATACATAGTTATCAGTCCCACTCCAACCAAAAAAAAGTTCCAAAAAGAAAGAAAAATGATCTTCCTTATCCGCCGCGTCACTCCTCCATCTCTGTTCCGTGCATAGGCATAGCCAGCCTGCCTTGGAAAGTTAAACGTGATAAACAGCCGAAACAGAGCGTTTGAAATTCTCTTTCCATACCTACCTAACCTACCCACCTTCCTTCCTCCAGACTTCCTCTCCTCCTTTATCCAGCGGTTCCAGTCAGTCTCGGGTCGAGGCGCGCCGGCATTCTCTTCCCCGCATGCTCTTTCTATTTTATTTATTTCTTTATTTCTCTCTCTCTTTTCCGTCCAATTGCCGAAACGCAAACTCAGAGAGAGATAAGGGGGGGGAGAGAACTGCGAGGAAAATAAAATCAGTGACTTGAAGCGACGCAGAGAGTCAATGAGTCATCGCATGCCGTGAACATTGCATGATGTGATGTACAAGTATGTATGTATGTGTGTATGAAAGGAAATATATATATTTAATGAAAACTACAGCAGACCTGCTTTCATATTAACTAAAGAAAAATATAAATGAAATTTTCAAGTTTGAATAAAAGTTAGTTTTTACTTTGTGAAATAAATCTGCAGGATAAATGCTATTAGAGAGAGTAGCTGATCATCTGATTATATAAATAAAAATAAAAATAAAGTGATGAAAATGAGAAGCATTCAAACAGCACTGATGATCTATTCCATACAGTGTAGTTGTCTGTGATATTGTCTATGAAGAGAGGGTAAGTAATATTAATATCAATATATACATGCCTTTTTTGCACAATAGTTGCAATCTACTAGCATTCTGCTGTTAAATTCTGAGTTGTGAAAGAGTAATAGCTTTGATGTGCATTGATTTATTAATATTTATTAGGTAACTAACTAGATGAGAAAAGGGTGAGAGCTGAGATAAGAGAGAGAGAGAGAAAGAGAGAGATTTAGAACAAGATGAAATAGTTATTTTATATTATATTTCAACACTCTCCCAAGTCACATTACACTGAGACACTATGAGAGAAGCATCTACTTCTAAAGAGAATCACAAAAGATACTACTTCCTCTCTCATACTAAACTGGTTGATACAAAGTGTCTTGTGTCATCTCGTCTCAGAAGACAGTGTGAAATACCCTTCATCTTTTTCTCCTCAAGCTCTTTTCTTTCTTTCTTTTTTCCCTTCCTCTCTTGAACTAGTTAACTAGCGTACTGTGTAGATGCACAAAATACTCCGGTGAAGACATCTCTCCTCCCCCTCTCACTCCCTTCGATCTCCATTCACCAGTGACTGACTGTGGAACGATGATGTCCATGTTACTACTGCGTATATGTCACTGTGTCTGGGACACGCGTCCCCCCCCTGGTAACCCCGGCGGCAGTGGCAGTGGCTGCGGGATATGCGGGGTCCTGGCTCTACCTGGGCTGTACCTGGGCTCCAGGGGCCCGCCATGGCAAAGCTTAAGATCGCAAGGCGTGTGGGGCTGGGCCGGGGTGGTGGTAGAAGCGTGTATATAAGGAGAGGAAGGGGTGGTTTTTTGGTTAGTATTATTATTATTATGATTAAATATGTTGTTTGTTCAAGGACCATGCATTGAATACATACATACATACATACATACATACGCCTACACCCAACATATGTACACTACATGTATGTATCATGAACGATGGATATATGCCCCCGTGTTTTGCGGAGTTTCAGAAATAGCGATCAGCCAGCGATCAACCCGTGCAGGTCGGGCGACTGGCTGGTGTCTCTCTCTCTCTCTCTCTCTCTCTCTCTGTGTGTGTGTGTGTGTGTGTGTGTGTGTCTGTCTCTCTCTCTCTCTGTGTGTGTGTGTGGTTTGAATTGAGGTTGAAGAGACTGCCGTAGAGGTGGTTGACGGTTCCTGAGGTGTTCTCCTATACGAGGAGTCTATGTATCTATGTCCTCGTCTTGGATGGTAGTGGATGCCTGGGAGGCCGTGTATCAGGGACACAGGGATTCAGGGGCGGCATAACCAACCGCCTTGATTTGGCAGAGAGCGTGTTACTCCGGGCAGCAGAGGGTTGGAATGCGCGTGTTTCAAGATAGATGATCGTCATGGCTATCATTATGATTATCCAGAGCAGGACTTGGCCGTCGTCATTGCTTGTTCTCGTCTCGTCTGTGAGTTGTTGGCGGGGGGGAAAGAAGAAGTAAAGTAAAGTATTCAGCGTAAGAAGTTGGTCTGCCGTTTCAGGATTTGGCCACCGTCTTTTTTTCCTTTTTTCCTTTTTCCTTTTTCCTTTTTCCCTTTTTGATTATGATTATGATTATGATTATGATTATGATTTCCTTATCTCTCTCTTTTTTACATACATACCTGTAACTAGTTAATCCAAATGTCGCCGTTTGGGTGTTGCGCTTTTACTTACGCTGTAACTGCTCGCCATTCGACAGTTTAGATGCACTGAGAAACAGGTTATGGTTATGGTTATGGTTATTGATTATAATTATAATTAACAACCGAGCTGGCGTCATCTCCTGGCGATCTCCTGGCGGGAGCGGGAGGGAGTAGTATCTGTGCCTGTACCTGTATCTGTACCTGCATCTGAACCTGAACCTGAACCTGAACCTTGCAATCTGAACCTGAACCTGTACATACATCTGTACATCTGAACATCCGTTCCGTACCTGGCAGAGATATCAGGATGGGGAGGGGAGGGAATGATTAGAGGAATACTGTCGTAACTGAGTATGACATTTCCTGCTTGTGTCTTCTAAGATACGATAATAATAATGTGATCTGGACTGTATTCTGTATTCTGTATTCTGCTCTTCTGTATTCTGTGTTCTGTATTCTGTGTTCTGCTCTTCTCATCGTCACTCATTCCCGCCCTTTTTCTCACCATCGCCAACTTCATCTTCTTCAACGTTGCTCATTGCCGCTGGTAGACGCGTGTCCCCTTTTCGTTTCTTTCTTTCTTTCTTTCTGTCTTTTTTCTTTTTTCTATATGTTTTCCCCTTTTCTTTTTTTCCCTCCCCCTTCTTTTGACTGTCCTTCTTGATCAGTTTCACTGTGTGACTTTCCAGTCACTTCCTTCTCCTTTTCCCAGCTTTCTTTTCTCTTTCTCTCCTTTCTCTCCTCAGTAGCAACATTCCCCCAACGCATCGTAACTCTCTGGGAATTAGGGACCCTGCTATACAGAGTATACAGAGTATACAGAGTATACAGAGTATACAGAGTATACAGAGTATACCCTTTCTACTCCTTCTGCTCCAATGTGCGAAGACGCCGATTACAGATCGGGCTGCGCATCGTGAAGACCCTCACCACGCACCTCTCATAGAGGACAAATAAAAGGGAAACATAAGAGGACAGGCAGCGCCGTCTTTTTCACAATCACACTCCAATGCCTCCCGTCAGGCTAAAGGCGTTGACTCCCATCATCGCCATCGTGGTCATCACCCTCTTCTTCTGGGCTGTCGACCACTACGACCGCGCTGCCCTGACCCGCTTCACACACCCTCTCGACAGACTCTCTCCGCCGTCGTCGCAGCCGCCAAAGGACCACAATGCCCGGCCCCCTCCCCAGGCAGACATCCAAAAACCAAAGACTCCGGACCAGCTGTGTGCCTCCGGGAATCACCCTCTGCACCGTTCTCCTCCACTCCCTCCCTTGTCCTTCCCTGAGTGGCTGATGGGTAAGAACTACACCCGCACATACCTACGCCCGCACCATCTGCCGCCCGACACAAAGTTCAAGTCCATGGAGACCATCGGCCAGCAAGTTTTGCAGCCCTTCCGCCCCCTGGGTCGTGGAATGAGAGCCCCCGTCATGGATCCCCACGACCCCTGGCCCTGTCCCAACATCATCGACGTGGATGTCGCGGCCGACTACGACGTCGAGGAAACGAGCAATATCCTCTTTGGCCTGGCAACCACCGTCGACCGCCTGCACCGTCTCTTGCCTGCCCTGCTCTACTCCTATGGCAGCACAAAGGCTAGCCTGCTTGTTCTCGTCCCCGGCGATACGCAGAAGATTGAGGAAAACGAGGCCTATTTCAGAAATGCGGGTTTGGATATCACCTTGAAGAAGTTCCCGTTGGCTTTCACCGCCCGATACTTTGGCCTCGTAGAAGGCTTCACCGATTTCATAAAATCCCACCGCCCAAATACCACCTGGGTCAGCTTCGTCGACGACGACACTTACTTCCTCTCCCTAGCTACAGTCGCCAAACAGCTCTCCACCTTTGACCCTTCGCAACGAGTATACATCGGCACCCTCTCCGAAGCCAGCTGGCAGGTCGACACCTTTGGCCAAATCGGCTTCGGTGGCGCCGGCGTCTTCGTCTCCCTTCCCCTCCTCGAAAGACTGCACGGCGCCTACGAAACCTGCCAGTCCTGGGGCGAGCAACCAGGCGACCAGAAACTAGCCCAGTGCATCGACAAATTCGGAGAAACCTCGCTCACAATCTGGGACACCCTGTACCAAATGGACATGAAGGGCGCCGTGGACGGCGTGTACGAGTCCGGCCGCCAAATCCACACCCTCCACCACTGGAGCAGCTGGTACAAAAAGGACGTCGTCAAGATGTCCACCGTCGCCGCCGCCGCGGGCCGGCAGTCCATCCTGCGCCGCTTCCGCTTCGACGAGTACCACACCATCGACAGCACCACGGGCACGACCATGCACAGCTTCTGGGTCCTGACCAACGGCTACTCGCTGGTCAAGTACACGATGAACGCGCGACTGTCGCCCAGCGCGGTCGACTTCGACAAGACGGAGAAGACGTGGGATGAGGACCAGCGCGGGTACGAGAAGCGGCTTGGCCCGATGCGGCCGAAGGATCAGCCGGGCATCAAGAAGGAGAGGTGGATGTTGGCAGATTCGACGGTTGTGGGGGATAATGTGCACCAGAGTTATGTTAATGATGAAGGGGGGATGCACAGTGTTATTGAGCTAGTCTGGCTAGGGCCCAAGGGCGGTGGTGGGGGTGCGGGTGTTTAACTTTTAGTAGTTATAAAAAATCCGAGAATCCCCTCCACTTAACCCTTTTTTTTTTTTTTTTTTTTTTTTTTTTCGCTTCCCTTCTACTTAACGGCTTTTGGGGTTTGGGATTGTTGGTGTCTATTTTTCTTTCTTTTTTTTTTTTTTTTTTTTTTACATTACCTCCATTTTACGTGCAATTTTTCTCTTTGCGGGGCGAAACGGGGAGTATGAGGGAGTGTTGAGGAAGTGTAGTGTGGAGGAGTCCTCGCTAGTTACGGCTACGGGTAAAGAACGCGAAAGAAAGCCTATTTTGAAGAAAAAAAAATTTCTTTAATTTTTCCCTTTCTATTTTCCCCTGTATTTCCCTTTCATTTTATGTGTTAACAAAGACTTTTTCTTAGTTTATTTTATTACTCTTTTTTTCTACTTCTCGATTCTCACCACCATAAAATGAGTTGATTGTTTTATGTCAAAGAGAATCATATAATTGTTTTTTGATGGTCTCTTTTCTAACTACAGTAGATTCCCTGCCTGATCTTCCACTGGTTAGTCTTTGTAGAGTGAGATTTGCCTTGATTCTGCGGCCAATCATTGATAGTTAAGCGATCCGGGCGCTAGGGGCGCTTAATTCGCAAAGCTAGCCATATATTTCGCGGCCATCGCATACAGCGTAGGGACTTGATTCCAAGCATCTTAACTTTACTGTTAAAGTTGCAGGCCCGGCCCCCATCCATATCAATTCATCCCCAAACCAAAATCTGCTCACTCCACAACACCTCCACACAAACCCAGAACCCCAAGGACGACCGAAAATAAATAATAAATAATAAATAATAAATAATAAATAATAAAACAGACCATGCCCCTCAGCCCCCCCTTAAAATCCTGGGCCCTGCCCCGCCTCTCCGCCCTCCTCCCGGGCCTCGACGAAGACTCCCTCACCCAATTGCTCGAATATACCTTCTCGCTGGGCGCGGAGCAGGGCGCGGAGCATCTGCGGAATATCCTGGGCGATTCGGCGCGGGCGTTGGAGTTTATTGTTGCGTTTGGGGAGAGGTGGAGGAGGAGCGGTGGGAAGGCGGGGAAGATTGGGGAGATGGAGATGGGGATGGGGGAGGGGAGGGGAGGAGCGCAGCGGGAAGGGAGGAAACAGCCGCCCTCGGCTTCTGGGCCGTTGATATCAGAATATCTTCCGAATGTGCGCTCGAAGGCGGCGAGGGTGTCGGGTGGTGCGCGGAGACAGCAGCAGCAGCAGCAGCAGCAGCAGGGTCAATCGTCCTCGTCTCCGTCGCGTAACCGTCCGTCTACATCTACGTCGTCTACATCTACAAAATCAACGACGGCAACAACGACAACATCAAACATAGCCGACCTAACCGCCGCCATCGCCCAGCTCGAACTAACCACAAACCCCTCCCTCCCCACCTCCTCCTCCTCCTCCTCCCCCCGACCCCGCAAAAAATGCAACTGCCAAGCAACCCTCCACCCCCTCTTCACCCCAGCCCCCAACTGCCTCAACTGCGGCAAGATAATCTGCGCCCTAGAGGGCCTCCAACCCTGCTCCTTCTGTCAGCAGCCGCTCCTCTCGGCCGGGCAGGTGCAGGAGATGATCCGCGAGCTGCGCGCGGAGAGGGGCAGTGAGAAGATGCGGGCGCATAATAATGGGAAGGGTGCTGCCCGGCGGGGGGAGTTGTATGACGAGACGCCTGTTGGCAGCAGTAGCAGCAGTAGCAGCAGCCACGGTGCCGGTGGTGGCGGCGGTGGAGCTACGGATGGTCCTACCACCACCACCACTAGTAGTAACAGTAGCAGGAGTAGCGACACAACCACACACCGCGACCTCGCCGCGGCAAAAGCGCACCGCGACAAACTCCTCCGCTTCCAAGCTCAGAACGCGCGGCGGACCAAAGTCGTCGACGAGGTGGCTGAGTTCGAGACGCCGGACGTACATGCGGCGAGTACGCTGTGGATGAGCGCGGGACAGCGGGCGCTGGCGCTTAAGCGGCGGAGGAAGAAGAAGAAGAAGAGGAGGAGGAGGAGGAGGAGGAGGAAAAAGGAGAGGGCAAGGGTGGTTTCGGGGATAATCCGCTGCTTGCTGGTGGGGGGTTGGTGAGGCCTGTGTGGAAGGGGAAGGGGGTTGATGGAGATCAGAGCTCGAGTAGGGGAGAGCGCCGGCAGAGGCAGACGTGGCGGCGGGTCCAGGATGATGATGAGGATAATGAGAGGTGGATTTTGGATGGGGGATTGTATGGTTATGGGCGGGAGGGGAGAGAGATTGAGGGTGGTGGGGAGTGAGTTTTGCTTTTTGTGTACAATACCTTAATGGCCTTTAGGTTGGATGGGGGGGGGTGTGGTTATAATATGCTATATTATGAACTATTTGTCGATATTTCAGAATGTACAGGACCAGATATACCCTGCTTTTCTGTTTTGTTCATATGTATATTCGGCAACCGGTGGAGTAACCAGTTATATATTATTGAAAACCGGTCTGAAGCTTTTCTTTCCCATAAATAACTACCTTGCATGCCATATGCAAATTTTGGGCTCGGGATTCGGGAATACTACTATCTTAGCAACTTGAATTCAATCAACCACAACAAGTATGTACTGTACTGGACATAGATATATGTTCCAGAGTCATTAACAGCAAAAACAGTGAAGAAAAAGCAGACAAATCAATAATAAAAAAGAGACATGGATATAACCCATCTATCACAGCTGAAACTTGCCCGTCGTCGGCTATTTCTACTCTAGCTACACTCTTTTCATCCCCTTAAACCCATCTTGAGACGCTAGTTTTCGCATTAGAGCTTAGATCAGATGCAAAGGGCTCAAGCAGGTCAAATGGACCCTTTTTCCTCCCTCTGTTTAGCTCTAGCCTAGTAGCATCCAAGTTGTGTCGCTGACATGTAACTTGTAGCTGTAACTAACTGACAAGTCAACTTACTATTTAGTTAGTTATCTTTCGTCCTCGGGGGCGGAGATTTTATATTATATCTTCCCCTCCTTGGTATATTTACACAAATCAAAAGAAAACCTCCCCCCCCCCCTCGGTTTTCTTCTTACCTTTTATTTTGAGTTTTACTTTTGAAGTTTCCCTGATAATATATATTATAGGATCAACATAACTAACTTTTTGTATATTTTGAGTGTCTATTTGGAGGCTAAAGGGTTATTTTATGTTATTTCTATAACCATTCTGCCCCGCCGACGTCATCCGAATAAGCTTTGATATAGTTAGAGTTAACTAGTTGGTTGCGGAGAAACAAGACCAAAGGAAGAGAGGGAGGAACAAGAACAAGAACAAGAACAAGATCTAGGTTACACTTCACGCCTTTGACCGGACTTCTTACTACCCTCAACCCCCCCCCCCTTTTTTTTTTCTTCTTCTTCTTCTTCTTCTTTTATTCAATTCAATGACACTATCTATTCCTCTATCTTTCCCGCGTGGCTATTTTTCCGCAGTCCGCCTGCACTGATCAGACACATACCGCATCCGCCCCCCCGATACATCTACCGCAAAGAGGATAGGATAGCAGCGGTATACGCTTCCAACGCAGCCATCCCGCAGCCCTCCGAAGGTTCAATTCTCCATAACTTGCCTCCATTGGGCTGAACCTGCACACACGCACCATGGCCTCCTCATCCTCGACCTCCTCGCCCGTCATAGACGAGGCCCACCGCATCGCCGCCCTGTTTGAATATCCCACGGAAGAAGTCAATCGCGGGGTTAAGGAGTTTATGCGGCAGATGGACGAAGGCCTGGAGAAGGATGGAGCTACTTTGCGCCAGATCCCGTCGTATGTAACTTCGGTGCCGGATGGGACGGAGAAGGTGGGTGCTTTTTTCCATCTTAACACACTCCAGTGTTTTCTTGTCTACAATCCTTCGTCTATGTGTGTTATGTATGTATGGACCATGCTAATCTGGGGGCTGTTTTATATATTTGTAATGTGTAGGGCGTCTATCTAGCCGTGGATCTAGGAGGGACTAACTTCCGCGTCTGTTCCGTACGTCTACACGGCGACTCAACCTTCTCTATATCACAATCCAAAATCGCGATCCCTCAAGAGCTCATGGTGACCCAGCATGGGAAGGAGCTGTTTGCATTCCTCGCGCTGCAGGTCGAAGAGTTCCTCAAGACACATCTATCAGACCACTTCGCAGCACACGTCGAGAAGAAGAGACAGGCCGGCCAAGTCACCGAAACGTATGCTGAGGACCAAATCTTCGACATGGGCTTCACGTTCAGCTTCCCTGTCGACCAACACGGGATCAACAAGGGCTGCCTAATCCGCTGGACGAAAGGGTTTGACATCGACGAAGTCATCGGACAGGACGTCTGCAAACTGCTACAGGACGCCATCGACCAGCGCGACCTCCCCGTGCGCGTCGCGGCGCTCGTAAACGACACCGTAGGCACGCTGATGGCGCGCTCCTACTGCTCCGGCCAGGGCAACAAGGCGTTGATAGGCGCCATCTTCGGCACGGGCACCAACGGCGCCTACGTCGAGAAGCTCGCGCGCGTCAAGAAGATGGACAAAATAAACCTGCCGGGAACGAAATACGACAAAACCACCGGCGAGATGGTCATCAACATCGAATGGGGCAGCTTCGACAACCACCTCTCCGTGCTCCCCAACACCCGCTTCGACGCAGCCCTGGACGCCGACAGCGTCAACCCGGGCATCCAGATGTTCGAAAAGCGCATCTCGGGCATGTTCCTCGGCGAGATTCTGCGCCGCGCCCTGCTGGCCATGAGCAAGGATCCGGCCGTCAACCTCTTCCGCACCAACGAGGCCGGCACCGCCATTACCATCCCGCCGGACTCCGGCCTCTACCACGCCTGGGGCATCGACACCAGCTTCCTCAGCACCGTCAAGGCAGACCACCAGCCCACCCTAGACGCAACGCGCGCGCAGCTGAAAGGGGAACTCGACATCGACAACGCCAGCACGCAGGATTGCCGGGCCGTGAAGATCCTGGTGCACGCTATTGGCAAGCGGGCAGCGCGGCTGAGCGCCGTCGCGCTGGCGGCGGTGATTATCTCCACGGGCAAGCTGCGAAATGGGGGCGTGGCGGATATTGGTGTTGATGGGAGTGTTGTGGAGCATTATCCTGGCTTTGAGGAGTATATGCGCCAGGCGTTTAGGGAGATTCCGGAGATTGGGGAGGAAGGGGAGAAGAGGATTACGTTGGGTGTTGCGAAGGACGGGAGTGGGGTTGGCGCGGCGCTTGGGGCGGTTGTGGCAAGGGAAGCGGCGAAGAGGGCTTAGAGGGAAAATCTAGAGTATTTATATTGAAGTGGGGCTTTTGTTGGTTTTTGTGTTGAAAGCGAGTTAGATGTTTTGATATATTTACATGTACAGACTGTAGATCCGTGAAGATCCTTAAGCATGGTGTTATTTTTGTCCTTTTACTATATATTTGAATCTATGCATGGATATATGTATTTCTCCTTACGCTATGAGAGGGCATCTCCATATTTCACTAACCTAGTTACCTGGACTTGATCCTGCCAACCTATCTCCTATCCATCCGTCTTATTCTATTCTGCATATATATATGGCTTGACAGCAGAAGAGTTAACGAGCGGGAGAACGAGGGAAGCTTAGGCTTCGCCGTATGCTGGACATTGTGATGAGCCAGCGTCAAACCCAGGTAACGACCACTGAAATAATAGCATCTTTCCAAGCGTTGAAGACGTATGAGATGAGGATGGCATTACCCAAACTTTTGTATGCGAGTATGGCTATGTATTTATTTCCGTTTATATGTCTAGGTATTGTATTAGTATGGGATGTGTCGAGGGCTTGTGAAGGTTAGTTACTTCAAAAAGGTTATGTATATAGCCAATACTACTATATAATTGCATTAATTACTTTACTATCTTATCCTTTAAAATTTATCATCTGTCTTTATACCCCCTTGTCACCAACTCCGCCCAGGGCCACAGCGTCACATGACTTATCCACAGGGATCACATGACTTCCCATCTCGCGCGGGCAATCGCGCAAAACCTCCGAGAACATCCAACTTTCCTCCTTTCTTTCCCGCCTCCAATTGAATCCAAACAGACGGATTTCTTTTTCTTTTTCTTCTTTTTGCTACCAGAAGCCAATTGACCAAATCATCTCTTCGTCCAGTCAACCGTTCCCCATACCACCCGGTTCGCTACACAAAAAGTATATATAGACGGCACAGAACCATCCACGGCCGAAACCGAGACGCGGGTTGTCCATTCCCGGCGACATATAGAATACATAAACACGGCACACATTTATACCGGTATATACCGTTGGAGATATCGAATAGGACAAGATGGGAGCGGGCGGATCGAAACCTGTGACAGCGACGGGGGGTGGGACTAGACATGTGTTCTCGAGGTGAGCTGGGGGCTTTTTCTTTTTTTGGGAGAGTTGGGGGGGGGGGGGGGGAACGTTCGCATCTGCGTTTTCTAACTACAGTTATTCTTGCGGTGGTGTGTTGGCTATGAGATTGATTGATTATGGGTATTACTATTTTGGTGGGGATTGTGGTCGTAAGGAAATTCAATTGGATTGGATTGGGCCGGGGAGGGTATTTGATTCCTTTGCGGGGAAAAGGGATAGAGAGAAATTGTCGATATGATAACGAAGGAGGAGGAGGAGAGTGTTTTCCGCAGCTGGTCATGATATGACGACGGCACTTGCGAAGTTGAATCTTCGGTTTTCATATTGCTGGGTTATCAGCCCGGAGCTTGATATTTCTTTGGATGATGTTTTTCAATTGTCTCCGTCTATTTTGATCACGAACGAAACAGGTCAACTAGCTAACCCGGTCGGAATTGATGAATTTATAGTGAAACCCCAGTTCAATTTTCACAAGAATTCGTCGAGTCCTTGCAAGCGAGCTCAGAGGTATGTACAAATGCATGGCTTTGATAACAATCTATTTCCCCCTCTACCCGGGAGATCTCACTCCGCTCCCTGAATACCTGCAAAAGTCCAAACGTCTGGACAACCAATACTAATTCAAAGCAATAACCCTATAGACCGACTCCTCCCGTGCCCAAACAATAGAACTCCACATCCAGAACCGCATCGCCGCAGAACTCGAACGCATCCGCGCCCGCGAAACACAAACCCTCGCCGACCTCGAAAAGCGCATCGCAGACCAATCCACCCCTGCATCCCAAAAACAATCCGCCGTCGAAAACTCCAGCTCCCAGGAACCCTCTCTGTCTCTCGACGCCCCGCGCGTTCCCTTCGCCGGCCCCGGCCCCGCCGCTGAGCTCTCCCCGCAATCCTCCGCACAATCCACAGCTACCACCGCCAACGGCACACCGATACACGAGCTGAGCAGCGCGCAGGTGCAGCAGGAGATCTCGGCGCTGAGCGCCAAGTTGGCGGAGAGGCGGAAAGTGCGGGACCTGGATGAGGGGGTGGAGAAGGCGCGGGATGCAGTTGTGAGGTGTTTGAGGGGCAATGAGAAGAGGCCGTTGGATTGCTGGAGGGAGGTTGAGGGGTTTAAGAGGGAGGTTGGGCGGTTGGAGAGGCTGTGGGTGGAGAAAATTGTTGGGTAGGTAGGTGGTATTTTGTGGCTGGATGTTGGTAGTTATCATTGATAACTAACCGTGGTGGTGATTATGTTGGTACGGGTGGGGGCATTTTTCTATAGATGGGAAGATGGTTATTTTTTTTCACTCTCAAATGTATACATACATAATGTTTTGATTGCTTTTTTCCGCTCCATGTTTTGTTTCGTGTTCAGCAAGGGAGGGTTAGAAAAATTACATATTTCGTGTGCTTTTGCAGTCTCTTCATGGAGTGAAAATTATAAACCGTATTCATCATGTGAGAACCGAATAGGTTTTCTATGTAAGTGGTCCCATTTTGCAATCTAGCAGTAAGTAGCTGCCTCCTTTAGATGCCCTAATACATTCCATAGTAAATCAGCCTTACAAACATATACAAATATCGTCTAAAAGCTCCTGTAGGTCAGTCAGTTCACACAACCTCCCACACACCTAATCTCCCAACCCTCTCCCCCGCAGACCTGATAATACACACCCGAGCCAAATACTCCTGGGAAAAACCACCACCCTTCCCATTCCCCTTAGCTCGCGCAATCCCATCACCATCACCACTACCACCACTCTCCTCAGAAGAAGAGCCGCCTAGTTTCTCAACGTCAGAACCATCATACACCCCCACCCTCTCAACCAAAATAGACGCGACTCCCGTCCCCCTCCCCGCCGCTAAATTATAATTCCCCGTCGTCACAAAGCCAATCAAATCCTCCTCACCCGGCATGGGCAGGTGGGCTGCCGGCTCAGGATCGGCGGAGAGATTGGTGGGGAGTTGTCTGCTGCTGTCTTGTGCCAGCGCTGCCGCTGCCTGCGGCTTCTGCTTCTGTTTCTTGCTTTGTTTCTGGCTGCTGGGTGTTGGTGCCGAGGGGCCGAGGAGGGCTAGCCATTCGTTGCGTAGGGAGGGGTTTGTGGTTGGGAGACGGTAGAGGCGGGCTCGCGGGGTTGGGGTGCCGCGGTTGAGGAGGGTGAGGCTCACAGTGGCGAGGGCGGGGTGGGTGAGGAGGGATTGGAAGGGAGTGGGGAGTTTGGCCGTGGGCTTTTTGGTTGTTTTTATCCTGAGGATGGTAGAGGCGGTAGGGTGTGGGAGCTGGTGGATGTGTAGAGGCGGAGGAGGCGGTTTGGTATGTACATATGTACAAGCGGTGGATGATGAAGTGGATTTATGCTTCCGCTGTTTACCTTTCGCCTCTCCGTCACAAACGCCTGTTTCCTGCTTTTCTGCCTCCTGGGTTTGCTCCTCCGTTTCACTGACGGTAGCGGTAGCCTCAGTTTTTGCCTTTACTTCCTCCGATTTAGGGGTAATAGGCCGAACAAGTCGTTCCCAGTCACAGGACCAACCCTGTCCGATCTCCCCCTTCTTCCCCCCTCCCAGATCAATACTATCGTAAGCAACACGTTTCTGCTTCGGTTTACGCTCCCATTCCCCCCGTCGAATCTCCCTCTCGCGCATCTCCCACGCCCATCCAGCGTTGGTCCCTGGGTAGTCGCCCGGAAACCAAGGCTCCCCACATTCAAATGCAAGTTGCTGTTGTTCCAGCAGGCCACCGAAGCGAGGATTCCCGCCAGAAGACAGAGGGTAGTACATGATCGAATACCAGACTGGGACAACACATTTCCATGGCAAAAGAACCGTGTAGGTACCCTGGGAGTTTCCTCCCTTGGATATAGATTTCGGCCGTGATGCGATGACTAGAACAGGGATATCCGGATCTGAGGGTTTAGGTGAGGGATACTCGCCTGGATTAGCCAGGGATTTCCGACGGTTAATGGCCTTTTGGCTAGGTAGAAGGCGGGAGGCTGTTAATCGTGCGGGGCGGGAAAATATGTCCGGTTTAAGTTGTGTAGAGTCAGGATTCCATGTCGAGAGGAGAACTGCGAGTTCACTCAGATAGGACTCTGAAGCGGGGGGTTTAACGGTTAGAGGGGGGTGTCGTAGACGAGGGTCGGATATATTGAAAGCCAAGAGAGCATTCTGCGGAAGCGATGCTGCATTCGTGAGCCCCGCAAGGGAAGCCCATGTCGCTTCAGGTGAGCCCTCGGGCCATTTCTTCCCGTCAGATAGAGGTATGGGCTGGAGAGCAGCGAGCAAAGTCTCCGTAGCACCAGGTCCAGTAATCTCAATACTTCCAATATCAAATCTAAGATCCTCAACCATAACCTGCTGGCTTTGCAGTTTTGCGGCTTTCAACAGCTCCTCCCACACCTGCAAGAAGGCTGATGGGTGAACTCTTAAAAACATCTTCCGCCTAGGCTTCTTCGCCTTCCTCCCGGCATCAACCATCTCGATATTACCATCCCCATCCGTCTTCTCCACACACCAAATGAGCGTAACAGGCGCAATTGGTCTTTTCCATCCTCCTCCCCCTCCCTCCCCGTCCCTCTCAAACAGCCAAACTTCCAAACTCCTCGTCCCAGCCCTCCACTTTCTCCCTTTATTCCCCCACGCCTCCTCCCCACCAACACCCAACGCCCTGAACAACCCTTCCAAGCTTCCCTCGACCCCCTCCAACCCAATCGTCGAGATATAACTCATATCCCACGCAACCGCACCTCTCGCTCCACTAGCCCGATGCGTAGGTCTATAACTCTTCTCCGTGGGACTCAATGGCACCGCAAACCGCCACAGCGGCTCCTTGGGACTCGTCATGTGCGCTCTCTTCGCATGGAACATGTGCGTGGGTAACCAAGTTTTGCACCGCTGGCGCTTTTTGAACTTCGACTGCGGTCTTTCGGGGTGGGAGAGTCTGTTTTTCTTAATTTTGGGTACTCGGGGTGCTATGTTGATGTCGTGGGGGGGCTTAGTTTTCGCGCCCTCTGCACCAGCATCCCCCTCCACCTCCATCGCAATGGCGGGAGCTTGTGCGGACACCGCAGCTTTTTTCAACGCTCGTCTAGCCTTGGAGCGGGCATTGAGATTCTGCAGGCGTCTAGCAGTCTCTAACCGTAAGCGTAGGAGCTTCGTAGGCTTGCGTCGACGCGCTGTGACAGTGGGCGTATTATCCTCAATCATCTAAGTCCTCCCGCTCAAATATGAACAAGTAAGCAAATTCAATATCCGCAGAATCAAAACCAGTAAAAAGGAAAAAAGAGAAATATATGAATCCCCACCTCCCTCCTCGCCCTCGCCCTCAACCGACTCGGCACCCTCTTCACATTATGACTCGCCGTCCGCCGCCTCAAGTTCCGCGGAACCTGCTGAAACGCCCGCGACGCCAACGCAGCTTTCGAATTGCGGATACCCGCCTCCAGCGCACGGATCTCAAATTCCCGCGCTGCTACGAAAGCGGACACATCGAGCTCGCCGGTCTTGGAGAGCGCGGCGTCGGAGCTCTGGACCGCGAGGGTGCGGGCATCGTAGGTCCTGGCACGCTTTCGCGCTGTGGAGTTAGATGGGGGTGTTTTACGCTTTTTTGTTGTGGTTGTTGTGGTTGTGGTGGTACGGGTTTTTTTTGGGCCCATTGGGTGTGAAGGGGCGTCTGCGCGCGTTATAAGTAGAGGAAGCTTGCTTGGTGGTGGTTTGTTAGGTTGCTTGCTATTCTATCGTTGTTTGAATTATTTTTGGCTTGGTTGCTTTTTTAGCGGCGGAAGATGAAGCTTGGTAGCGTAGCGGTGACCAGGGAAGATCTGATAAAGTATGGAGAAACCAAAACACACAACGCTCATATTAGGATTGCTATTCATTTATTTATTTATTTAAGAAGTTTTTTTACTTCAAAAGTTCAATTGTCCTGAAAATTTATTTAGAGGGATTAACAGCAAGAGTGAGTTCTGTAGTCCAAACAAATTATCCCGCCACTGTACCACAAGTTGCACGGCTTGAATTGTATTGATTTATATTTATTATGCTTTCTTACCGTTCGGCCTCTTGAATGAAAGCATTTTTATATAAATAACCGTTCAAAATTAGATATGGGGTAAATTATCAAGTCCCCCAATATCAACAAAGATGCAGGCCCTCAGCCACATAGGGTAAACCATTTTAAACCTAGCATCAATCACCCATGTTCCGGCATTCTACAGCTTGGCCAGGACAGCCTCAGCACCCGAGACCTAAAATTCAAACAATTATCCAGTCAGTACTCTCGGAAATTACCAAAACACACACATGAATTTCTTTCGCACGGCGCAAATCTTACCGTGACACCCCGCCCAGGCTCGTTCTCGGCATAAAGCACCTTCCCATGGTCAATGATAAGAGCATATCGACCCGTCCGTTCGCCCATGGTCCAGCCAATGTTTTTGGAAAACGCAGCATCGCCATCGCTCAGGAAGAGCTAGAAAAAGGGAAGTTTGAATCAGCCATTTTGCCCTGTCACTGACTATCTTTGCACGGTGTCTTTGGAAAAGGGAAAAGGAAACCAAAGGAACAAGGTGTGTAGGTGAGATGTGCAATGTGGAGGTCAGCCGTACAATATCATTCCCAGTAACCTTATTCGCTTTCCCCCAAGCGCTCATCACGAACGCGTCGTTGTACGCAATGACGGCAATGACATCGACGCCCTTGGCTCTCATACTTTCCTGGTTCTTGATGTAGCCGGGGAGGTGGTTTTCGGAGCAGCTGGGTGTGAATGCGCCTAATGTAGGTATCATTAAAGTCCTTATTAGTGCGGGGCTCTGAAACGTATCTCTTTGTTCGACTTCGGATTTAAGGATGGGAACGGCTGGAATTTGAACATGGGGGATTCAATTGACATACCTGGAACAGCAAAGAGGACGACTTTTTTATCGGCCCATTCCTTCGAGGCGTCGTATGTTTGCGGAATACCACATGCGGTGATATCTTCCTTGTCTTCGCTCCAGGGGATGTATCTATCGAATAGCGCATCTATCGTTTAAGAGGATGTTTGTGGATTTCAGGGGAGGATTACTTACGAAAACTTGACGTCTGCGGGGAAACTGTCTCCAGCCTTGAGAGGAGCCATTGTGATAATCCGTGGGTGGTGTGGTGAGAATTGCGGGGTTGGTTTGTTTATGTGTGCAAAGTGGCGGGTTGAGAGCTAGGTGTCTGATTCAGGGAACAGGAAATAAGTTCCAGCGAGGTGCTTCTGCAAGAGTATTTTATAGCTAGAAGAACGATGGATTGTTTCGTCTGAAAGAAAGGAGAGGGATCAATTGGCGAACAATAAACGGGCGTAAATATCCGGCCGGCCGGTCGTTGGTCTCGAGCCGAGAACCAACCAATGATCACAAGTATCTCTCTGCCGGTTTTGTACGGAGGGGTACTTCGCTCGGTTCCCCGGCTGAGCTCCTTGTTTAGCGGTTGACGACATACATCCTATCCTGTACATAAATGTATGTGCAATGTACATGCACAGTACCTCTAATACTCAAGGGAGGGGAGGTCATGAAATCTGCTTTGGCGCTGGACTTAGAGGGGCATGTGCATGGTTGATATATCATTGAATAGACAGACACCAATATCTATCATTACACTTCAGAAAAACCGATAAAATCACCTCATTAAATAAAAGTTGAAAACCTATATTTATTTTGTTGACATAACTACTTTTCACTCTACTAGATTAACTGTCTGAAAAATCTATTTTCATATTTCAGAGAAATTGATGAAATCACCGCACTGTATGAAAGCTCAACGCCGGTGCACCCTCGACACTCTAGGTAATCCAATAGGTATTAGGGGTTGAAAGGAACCAAAGGAAACCAAATCGCGGCAAGAGCCACAGTGGTGATGACTCTGGAGGAGTCTAGCAAAGCAATGCATGTCCGCCGGACGAGATCCCTTACAGTCAGGGGTCGCCACAGCCCAGAAACATCACGGTGCGCGCGCGTAAGCCCCAGTGCAGTGAGTCAGTATCAGCCACACAGGCAGTAATGAAGGAACCTGGCCCTGCAGGACCTCTGCTACCAAAGAGGCACAAGCGCTCTAACTAACCGTAAGCGTCTTCTCCCACCGAAACCTGTTCCATTGCGGATTCGGAGGAGAGTCGATCGGGGATGAGTGACACCGGCAACAACCCGGAGAGCAACCCGGGCGGGACTGCGAACTATGAAGCTCAAGCACTCCATCCGACCTGCTTCATCCTGCAGCCACCACCTCTACCCGCTGAAGCCTGTCCCGTCGCGGATTCAAACGACCCGGACAATGGTCAGGAGAGCGATGCGGATGCCTACCGCCCTCCCGTCCAGACCCCTACCTAAGCGCGCCGCTGCGAGCCCTGCAAGCGCCGGCAAATCCTGAAAGGCGACTCCCTCACAAGCTGACCGGGGACACCGTTGTTCCGGAGGAGGGAAGGCGATGGGATTATACCCATCCATGGCCTGCTCATGTTCCATGCTTGCCCGTCAAGACCATTTATACAGCATCCTTTGTCTGCGGTGAAGCTCTCTTGCCGCAGCTGTCGGCACTGTTGACAATCCCGCCCATTTTGCCCAGAAGCAACCACCAACTAGCCCAAAACCGCAAAGCCCCCCCCCCCCCCCCCCCCCCAAGGGTTGAAGTGGTGATTTCTACCCTCCGCCATGCTCGCGATCCGCCAACCCTTGATGTCCCAGATGATCAGGGCTCCATCCAGCAGGGGCCAACCTCAGTACATGACCGCAAACGTGATGGCAGTGCCGCAGAGAATGAGTGGTCAGCACCACATGCAAAGCAGCGAAGAGTGTCACTACAGCCATCCACGCGCCGTAACTAGCATCAGTCTACAGTGTCCGCAGTGAGCCCTCCAACAGAGGTCCAACGACAGGCTGCTGCCGAACGTGCCCGTGCCTGCATACATGACAACGACGCTGAAGACAAGAGTGGCGAAGGAGACGATACTGGTTTTGGTCCGAACAGATCGTGAAGAGAGCGGTAGGGAGCCCGGGCGAGTAGGTCATACTTCACTGCCTCTAGAGGCGATGACACTGGCTTCTGCTGTTGCACTTGAACTCTACTCGCCCCTTATGCGCCCTTCAACAATGGGCACCCTTACTGCCCGCCCCAGAGGGTCTGGAGAAGGGTCTGGCCCGCCACACGCTGTCGCGGGCTGTGAGGAGAGGATCAGCGATCAAGAAGCAAACCGGTCCCGATGGTCTGAGGAGGACGAAAAGCTTCTTCTGTCGATGAGGCACCAGAACAAGACTTGGGAGGTGATACAGCAGAGGTTTCTAAACAAAACGCTGTGGTCATTGTGGCAAAGGTACTCGATTCTCAATAGCCGATCAACACTAATAAGTAGCTAAAGCAAGTAACCCTGGGCGGACAAGCGTTAGTCGGCCAAAGGAGAAATAGAGCTGTGCAGTTTTCTGCCAAACCTTTCTGTGCTTTAACAATGTAACTTCACGGGAATATTCCTGTGTCATTGACCCAGGCTACTCATCAGGGTCGGAGGTATAGTAGTCAAGCGGATGCCCCTCAAGTGAGTTTTTTAAAACAGTAGTGGTTGGGCCTCGAAATCACGTAATACAAATATCTGTCTTGTCCTGGGTCTTGCAAGCGAAGATAAACAAATAACAAATAATGGAAGAGAAATTTACAAGATACCTTTTCATAAATAGAAATATCCTCCCTCTGATTCATATCAACCAAACCACTTGAATCATTTAATCGTCTTTGTTGTAGTCATCAAAGGACCAATGCTGCTCAGTCATCCGCCTCAGCCACGGGTCATCATTGACTGCGCGGCAAGCCCGTCCGCCTTGATCGACCGTGATCTCTCTTTCACTTGCTCAAACAATTCATTTGATGTCCATCCATCAGACCCAACACCAAGGAACATATTGATCTGTTTCAATTCAGTGTCCACATCCCTCAGTGAATCATTCAGTGCTGCCATCTTCTGGGGATCCTGCTGGCTAATTATAACCGGACATGCAGGAAAGCTTCCATCTGAACGGAATGTGGGCAATCTTTGACCAATTCTGCGATGCCTGCGCGATATCCACTTGCAATGGGGTGGGTGTTGAGGACTTCTCACGGACTGTCTGTATTGTCAAATATCCGAGGTCAGAGGAGATCAAATTTCTGTTCAAGGGCCTTCGAATGTGCGTGATTCAGTTTCTGAGTGAAACCCAGATATAAAAAGCGCACATGACGGCGGCGGAACTGCTCATCACCATAATTTTGAAATGATCGTGGTATGCCAGCAGCAAGAAATATTGGAAGCACTAAAGAGTGCTGCCAGTCAATAAGACCTGTGATCTTAAAATCTTCAGAGATGAAAATGTTGTTGGGCTGAAGATTGGGATGGCGGAGAATGGGAAGGTTGAGCTTCGGACATGTAAGAACAGGGTACGGTGCAAGCTGAGGAGATATTCCAATAGTGAATTGGAGCGTTCCTCCGGGTCTTTTTTTTTTTTTTTTTTTTTTTTTTTTTTTTTTTTGGAACCCAATGTTTCCTGTAGGCACGTTGAAAGGGAAAACGAGGGCTTCCATATGTCCGAATCCAGGCCAATTCTTTTTCAGCTGGAGCTTTAAAGGACAAGGCACGGATCATTATCTATTATTGTGAGAATCAGCAAATAATAATTATTTTTTTTCTTTCCATGGCCTTCCTACTCACAGGGGCTGCGGATGTCAAGACTTGCGCGCTCATTAAACCACCATCTAAGCTTCGCGTGGGGACCAATACACAGTCCTTTCGAGTAGGTACATTAGGAGTGCTAGGAGGTAGGTCGCGGGCGAAGTACGCAGTATATATAACTACCATGCGCCGAATACCCCAGGACACGAGGGGGTGCAGGAATGCCACAAGTGCCAACAAAGACTAGTTACTGTTGCGAGCTCACTAGCTACTGCAAGGCGTCGTCGACTGTTATGGAAGTCGGGCAAGTAGAGATGAGCCATCTTTCATTGTATCTATATGTGCAATTCCGAACAGGAGTCTCTGGTAGTACACCTGAACATACATCTATCTCCCTGAAGTGTATTCGAACAGTTCGTCCTTGATTCCCTTGCCTTCTTTAGCTGCAACTTGCGATGGACTTGTTTTGCCGGCACACCTCAGCGGTGAAAAGTTCTGCTCACGAATCTAAGCCAGCGTGTGTAACTACAGCAATGGCCCACGAGTAGTCATGGCTTTACTGTGCCATCCGATGTGATGTCTTGGTGCCTTGGAGTTTGACGTCGAAAGGGCCAAGCAAAGAATGCTAATAAGAGGTTGCTGGCACGGTACAAGTAACTGCCTAGAACTATTCGGGGTCATTACGCTACGGACGATCTACTAATATTTAACTACATGTGTAGTACCCACTCTATCTGTAGGATTACTTTGATGGATGAGCAGGTAGAATACAGAGTAGGGTTCTCGTTGATCCATCATCAGTGCATCTCAGAGGTTCTTGTGAAAACCTAGGTGTGTCCTCCAGGAGTTTGTTGACATCTTGCTTTTGCTTATTTATTCCAGAAAGTGTGTAACTTAGCCATCATCAACTCCATGATCAAATCCTTGAGCCTTTGATCGTGTTTGTCTGTTGAATAATACGCTTCTTCGCTTCTTCAACAGCGGTGGAGAATGAATGCTTATCGCGCCGCCCCAAACAATGATGTCCGAAAGTATCCCTTTGCAACTAGTTTAAGCCCATAAATTTGGAAAATATTCGCCTTGAGAGTACATGTACTGTGTGCATGAAGGCATGAAATATACCACTTAAGGAATTCCTCTGTGATCTGGTGAGTTTCGTCTGCTGCCACATCAGGCGTCTCCTTGGATGCTGACTCTGTGGTGCCATCGAAAGAAGGCGACATTGTACAGTTGCCAGTGTATAGATATCAGATGGATATATATATTTCAACCAGTAGGTATCAGTTGACCGTCCTTGAGCACAATTTCCCTGAATAGTCAACCAAGCCCCCAACAGCAACCGCCTATCAATTGACCCTTCGCATGTCAATCAACGTCCAAAGGTCCTCGGGCAATGCGTGGCAGCAACCACTCGACTTTGGCTAAGATGTCATGACCAATATCACTCTCCCGATACCCATCTGCGATCGAAAAGCTTTGAGAAGTCGGGATTTATCCAGACTCTAAAATGTGGACTTGAAATATTTCCGGGATATGCTCCTGAGTCACAAACTCTCCCCTCCTCCCAGCTGCTGGCATCCGTATCAGCCGACATCGAAAAGAGAGAAATTTTGCTGCTTCAGGTCCGATTTCTACAATGGTGGTCAGATCGGGAGGTTTGATGTCGGGGCATTGTCATGGCCTGAGTAGTGAGCGAGACCGGTGCTGCTTGCGTTGATCCAGAATCCAAAGCACCGTCTATCGGGGCCATGGTTATGCCACTTCCTGACTCTGTGAGGGTTGGCAAGGACAACTCTTTTCCCATTGCCTATCGATCTTTGCTCTTTCATATTTGGGATGTTCTACCAAGGTACTGTAGTTCTAAATGAAGAGAAGGCCGACATCCGCCTACCATAACGTGACCTGAGAAGGATATATCAGTTCATGTCCCGCAAGGGTTCAGGGCCTGGTTCTCAAAGATCGCAGCAGAGGCTATTCATACCAAAGGTACTCGGCATATAGATATCATATCATAAAACTCTAATCTAGGACATCCCGGCGTTACTATGTAAACTCATTTCAACATATATCCTGGTAACTTTTTTTTGGGACATCAAATGCACCCCCCCCCCCGTCAGTGTGCAGCTAGCCACTCTTCATAGCCTGCTGCGAGGCACCCCACCCTCCAACTCAGCTTGAACCATCTTCAAAACCTCGTCCGCCACCCCCCAGCTCAACTCAACCCCTCTCCCCGCAAGCCCATACGCATGAACAACCTTGCGATTACCAGCAGGAAGCGTCTCCAGCTCAAGACGCATGCCGCCTTCCCGTGCCGGCCGTCGGCCTACCACATCCCGGACTACTTCGAACTGGCCGTCTTTGTTTAAAATGGCTGGATACAGGTTTGCTGCGTTTTGAAGCAATTGGTTGCGGACAGCGAGGGATGGTTCCGGGCTCCAGTCGTTGGGCTGTTTTGTGCCGCCGACGATGGTGCCGCCGTTCAGAGGGCGGGGGACTAGGAATGACCAGGTGCCGTCGGCGTTTTGTTTTGTTATGGTCTTGTCGCAGTAATTTGACACGAGGCATGTTTGTCCTGGAGTATCGCGTCGACTAGTTTAGGCTCAATAAATAAAAGGTGAAATGCCATTTGCTCGCTAGACGAGCGTGCTGCGAGATGACGGAGGAGGAGGACGAGAGAGAAAATATATAGGGACACGTTTTTAGTCCAATACATACCTCTAATAATGAAAGATTTCGGATCATCAATCCCAACCCCGGTGCAATTAACCACCATCCTCACCCTTCCATGCCGTCCCTTGATCTCGAACCCCTCTTCGACAGACTTCAACCGCATCCGCCTTACCTCCCCCCCCACCAATCTTAAACCGGCGCAGCATGTGCATCATATATACCTCCGGGTCAACACAAAACGCCTCATACCTAGCCCCAAACTCCACGCCCTCCGGCACCTCACTGGCATCCAAGACACGGAACCCATCCGTCTCGACATAATCGGGCAACAGCGCTTTATAGGTCGGGGTAGCCTGCCCAGATACGTAATCGATACCCTCCATAAACTCTACCCCGTACTCCGGGTGCGCGGCCGCGAGGGCCTTGAAGCGATTGTAGGTTGCTTTCGCCAGACGGGCTTCATGTTTCAGCTGTGGTGTTGTGGCTGGGATGGGCCGGTAATGGGCGCCTGAGAGCGTGGTTGGGTAGGAAGGGTTGGGTCCGTCGTCTGTGGAGAAGTACTCGGAGGCGAGGAGGATGTGGTATTGTTGGCGTGGGAGGGTCTCGAGGAGGATCAATGCTGATGTCACGCCGATGATTCCTGCGCTGTTTTTCCCGGAGGCAAATGAAACGGAGCAGTGTTAGTACTGTATGTACTGGACAATGTCCATTGCTTCGAATCAACGGGATTTCAATACTACTGGAAGAGAGTATACCGACCCGATCACCACGATGGTTTGTTTCTCTGAGTTAGCCATATATTTATGCCCAAGTCCTCCGTTATTTACCACACAGCCTGTTGTATGTCAAGATTAATCAGGAGAAAACGTAAAAGGAAAGGAAGACACAATTGTTGTCCTCTGCGTCAATTCATCGATTTCGGAATGTGAGTTAGTCGGGCCATTTTATTTTATTTTATTTTATTTTTTTGGTTCGGCGAGCCGAAATCTTAAATAGTTATTTAACTAACTACGGGCAGAGCGCCAATGTCCCGGTTTGTTTTCGGGTTCCCGAAAATTGATATTTAATCCATCTTTGTCTGCTAGATCCAACGGGTTCAGACGGGCCTGAAACCCTTTGTTTAGCTGACTGCTGTTGAAAAGCGGAGGGATTTATGCTTATCATTAAATTAAGGGCTGATAAAATTTAGAATTTGTCATTTTCCTGGTGATTCCACTAGTTCGTTTACGTCATGATCAATTGCTCGATGAAGCCTTGGGACAATTGTTCCTAGAAAAAGGGAACATCCATCTTGTATATCTTTAAATCAAGAACATCGAAGCTGGGCCAAAAATTTTATCACCACCATAATTTTATTCCTTGCCCAATCTTAGATACTTAAGTTTGGGTGGTCATTTGGGGTTACGCAAGAGAGGAAGTGGATGTCACGCGTTCAGAAGATAGATAGATTACCTTTTTAGATTCCCAGGAGCATTAAAACCTATGAGTCCTTAATCTTACCGAAGAATAGCTTTGTCAATAGACAGCCAAATGCCATGAATTCCGTCAGCTGGAATAGAAAAGAGCGGACAGAATTGAGGGCGCCGCCCAGGAAAATTAAGAAAAGGGGCCCTTGGAGAAATGAAAAGCCTACCAAGAACCCTTCACACGTCCCACCACATATTTCAATTTTGGGGTTGTATCGCAGAGTTATACAAATACGCACGCATGCGAAAAGAAAAACTATGCGCAAAAAGCGGAACCCTCTCAACATGACATTTCTCAAAGTTACTTTTCAACGTACGGCTCCAATCTTTCGATCAAATCTTCCACTGTCAAGTTCTCCCAGGCATTATCATCATCATCATCATCATCATAATCATAATCATCATCATAATCATCATCATAATCATCATCATCATCGTCCAAAAACGAATGCTGAATAGTTCGACCACCGTCCTCACATGTTTGGCTCTCTGGACGGCATGGCGGAAGCAAAACCTTGTTAAGAATGTGGATCACGCCGTCTTGCGTAACTAGATCCGGCATCGCGACGGAGGTAAAGCCGTTGAGCTTAAGTGTGACGAAGCGACCAAAGCGCGCGATGTCTACGCTAATGTGGCGATCTAGTAGGAGGGTGGGCAAATCGATCTTTTATGTAAATAGCTTTAGCTACTGGGGGGTTTGTTGTTTCCCCCCCCTGTGTCCTGTGAAGAGGGGATGAATTTGGAGAAGAAAAAGTGGGAACTTACATGGACCGACGCAGGATTGAGTCCTTCGTCTTTTTTTGGTTTGTTATAATCATCCGAGTAAAGCGTATGGTTATATACAATATGATATTTCAAGATAGCTTCCAGATATTTCTCACCCCTGCGACTGAAGAGCACAGAAGTGACGCGATGGCCAAGTTTCTTGAATGCGCGATTGGTGGGGACGAAGAATGTTGCCCCTGAATGGGTAGATTTGTCCTCGATATTGTCAAAGAGGCCAGTTTTATACAGGCCTAACTCGAAGGTGCTGAAGGTGGAAGGGCGGGTATTTAGGGCATCTATAGCCGTAAACGGCGGGAGTAGAACGCTGTTCAACCCGTGGGCAACCCCATTCGTGCCATACTACGGCAACACGGAAGAGTGAGTATCGATTTTCCTAACAGTAAAAGAAAAAATAGAATAGAAAAGAACAGCGGAAACGGGGTTGCTCACAAGGTTACCCTTGATAATGGAAGCATAAAAGTTCAAGGTCAACCCCTTTGGCCCAAACTGTGTGCAGATTCGCTGAGGGTAAGGACCGAGACCGGTATTTTCGAGCATCGTGGGGATTGTGTTCATGAAGAATAGCTCTCGCCTCGAATATTCGTGTGGCATAATATGATACATGATCACCTTCTTTAGAACTTTGTCCGGCAGGTTCGGATGATGGTATCTCAACTTTTCGAAGGCTTTATCTGTGGGGACGAACACTGTATGCTTTGACGAGGTGCTTTTGAGAATATCGGCGACATCGTAGAACTCGGATACTAGCCTGGCAAAGGTTTTCGTGTGGGTGCTGGTATTTATCATTTCGTAAAGGGTCATATTAAAATGCCTGTGTCCTGGATGGTGTCCTCTTTCGTCGTGTGTCTCAGACTGTGGCTGTATGAAAAAATCCTCGTCCCAGCCATCGTTTCCATCATCGCCATATTCAATATCCTCAAGGTCTTGATCTGGCGGTAGTATTCCTGCCCCTTGCGGATAGTTCGCCATCAGACAACCTAGACCTTCAGTCATCGCCGCCATTTCAGCGATGTGAGGTATGAAACTAGCTTCCTCCTCCCGCGACAGTATATTGTCAGACGGCTCAGGAGCATTTTCATGATGGGAATGAAGAGGTAACTCGGCAAGTGCCGATAACTGCTGCTGATCTGGAATAATGAAGGCTTCAGCAACAGACGCAGCAAGGAAAGCGATCGTTGTCTTCATGGTTAATGTAAAAGGAACAGTCGTGATTTTTGAACTATAGGCTCATGGGGTATTAGTAGACGGATCAATATAGTATTGATTCATTAGCATGGAGGACGTAGTGCGTAGTGAGTATGAAGCTGCTCGCAGCTAGATAATATATAGCAGTACTCAATGACCCGGTCTGTTAGAGTTCGAAGCCATGTGTGCGAATGAGTGACGTGGAATTCTGTTGCGTCAATTTAAGAAGAAAGTCATCCGCGAAATCGAAGCTCATCATTGGCAATCCAAGAAATGCACTTGGAAGGTTGACGGTTAAGTTTGCGGGGATTATATGGTGGAAAATCTCGCAAAAACCAAATTCCCAAATCCCAAAGGTGTTGTTCTTCCTGGGGACCTTCTGGCGGAGTCGGATAAGAAGAAAGATTTGGCGCATGAAGACGACCCTACCGGCTGCCCAGGTCTGTTCAATTGTCCATAATGTTATTTAAGTCGCGTATAAGCAAGGCTGTCTCGAGACCCTAATCAATCTATTTTGGCTTGCTCGTCCGAAGCCCCGTCGTGATTCAGCCTCGATACACGCGACACGATACCTCATTTCGCTAAAAGAAGGGAAGGGTCTCCTCCTCGTGTGTTTCCACGTTAGAGAGGCTTGAAACGCGGTCTCCTCACAGTAGATGTACATGTACACTTCTGATCCCTGCGGCTCTAAAGCCAGACTCTTATGCCACTGAAAATATCTAGTTATCGGTTAGCCATAGCCACAGTCCGTACAGACCCTGAAGTAATCCGTAGTGTTTAATACTCGACTGTCGCGTGCGGCAAAAGGGAGTGCAGGAGCAAGCATGTTCTTAATATAGCATCCGGTTTACGATCCTCATTCTCATTTGGGATGCCTGTTCGTTTCAAATATATCACGAGAAAATTGCGGCGTTCGTGAGACCAGGAAAAGTTAAAAAGAATTGTCTACACGAAGAACTATCATCAAACGGTGTCGCTTGTCTGTCGTACTCTATGTGTAATGTTATAAGTTAGCGTTAAACCCCCTGGAGAAGAACCTGATGCGCCAATCCATGATAACCACCATGAAACGGCAAAGGATGCTAGTCCGGGGGCTGCGCACGGGACACAGCAGGCTGGGGTCTGTTGGCATGGCACAGTTTGCATGACTTGAATAACCTGTTCCAACATGATCAGATTGATTATCATTTTGACACCTGTGTTTTTCAAGAGGGTCGCCCATCTTGAAGAAGTCAAAAGTTGGTACGGTGTAGTTATCGAGAGATAGATTTGGTTGGGCGAGTCGAGGCTCAACACTCATCGCGCCAGGCGTGAGTTCGGCCGCCGTATCAATCCTTCGATTTCCTGAGGGTTTCAATAGATGTGGGTTTGCAATAAATATGACACGCAGACGCTAAGACGCCTTTTATTGCCCTTGAAGAACAACGGCGAGGATGGTGGTTGTTTTTGGGTAGTTTCTAGCGGCCGATCATGCCCAAGTGCCACCATCTGAGCAGCCTTCGAGTTTGTCTGTCACATCAGCTTAAAATTTAAAGTTATGGCAGTGAGGAAAAAACTGCAGAAAGAGATCAACGAAATCATCGAATTATGTCAGGCATTGGTGATGGGATCCCACATACAGATTACTTGATGGACTGGATGCGCATTCCCGAGCCTTTTTTTGGCTTCGCCTGATTCGTGTTGGGAGGAGTTCAGCCAGAACAGAATACGAGAGCTAGAAATAGTGGGCTAATCTTGTCCTATTCCATTCCCCCCTTTTTGTTCTTCTTGTGCTTGACTACCGACATTCCGCTCTCTGAATCGCGACGACTACAGGCTTTCTCGTCCGGCCGGAAATGCGTAGCGCTGCTAGTATAGCGAATATGGCAGCAATTGTCCCGTATCCCAAGCATCCCCCCTGATGCTGCCCTGGGCCGGGGTTGAGTTGAACTAGGAGTACGAGCTTCAGTATGCGCCAACATGCTTAACACCTCCTGTTTCCCGCTTAAAGCCTGTCCATGAACACGAATCTCGTGTCCGAACAACGGCATGTGTTGCGAATCCCAATGAAGGGACTCTTTACGCTCTCAGAACATATAATAGCGTAGATATTTCAAAGTGTATAAATGAGAGGCAATATCCTCAAACCAACTATGTCATTCACTCTGAGTTTTGTATGACACACTCTCCCTTAGTTATTTGAATAGATTTCGATCCTTTTTAACTTATTTCTTTATTTCTTTTTCCTTTTTTCTCCAATTGAGACACCAAAATCCTGAAGCGCCAAAATGCGCCTGTCTACTTTTTCGCTGGCTCTGCTTCTGAGCAGCGTGGTATCTGCCACGCCAGCCTTCGAAATATTTGAGCGCAAAGTGGGCTCCAGCTGCAAAACCATGGACGGCATGGGAGTTTGCATGGCCAGAAGCAAGTGCGACGGAGTGTACTACGATGGAGCTTGTGGCAGGAACTCTGGAGAAACCCGCGTATGTATACCCTGGAAGTCTCATCTCGGTGGTGATGTATGTATCCGATGCTAATACTTGCTGTTGCAGTGCTGCGTTCAAGTGAAGTGCGAAGTTGGGGGGAAAACAGGGCAATGCCAAAATATCAAGAGGACTAAATGCAAGGGTGGGAAATACCATATCGGAAGTAGGAATGTACGTGAACCGGCTCATATCCCTTCTTTTTACATTCAAGGGGAATCTGTCGCCTTTTTTGCTATGGAAAACATTTCACACTAGCGGACTGACCATTTTTTCCTTTTTTCAGACTTGCCCCGCTGGGAAGAATGTTCGGTGCTGCATAGAAGACAATGATAAACCCAAGAAGCCCAAGCCCAAGCCCAAGGAGCCCAAGAAGCCTAAGAAGCCTAAGAAGTCCAAGAAGCCCAAGAAGCCCAAGAAGTCCAAGAAGACTGTCGGGCAGAAGATCCTCGCCGTCGCCATGAAGGAGAAGGGAACGAGGTACGTCTGGGGCGGTGGCTCCTGCAAGGGCCCTACCAAGGGAGGCTATGACTGCTCCGGGCTCGTCGCCTATGCTGTATGCAAAGTTACGAAACGAAATCTCTTCAGAGAAGGTCTGCGTGTGACGTATTCTATGTACTGTGCTTCTAGCAAAAGGCTGGGCAAATTCAAGTATGCAAACTCCCCCACCCCCCGTTTCAGGATTTATTTGCTTCTCGTCTTCGTCATCAAAAGTGCTAACACTATTTTCCTTTTCTCGCTTTCTAGGAAAGTCCCCTTCTCCAAGCGCCGTGCCGGTGATGCTGTCTTCTTTGGGTCTAACTGCAGCTGCAAGAATCAAAATATCTCCCACATGGGCTTGATGATGTATGTTGTCAATATTCCCCATGAAAAAAATCCCCCGCTTAAAAGCCCACCTCCCTCCAATCGAGTTTATTTTTCCCCAATCTGACAAACTAACGTTTGCGTAGCAACTCTGGCGACCGCATGATCCACGCACCAAACCGAAGAACTGTGGTCAAGGAAGGCAGAGTTTCCCGGCAAGGAAGCCTGAAGGCTTGCCCGTATGTGATCCGATTCGGATAAGCTAAGCTTTGGATGCATGATGCGTGGGTATCCACTAGTTGGCAGTTTTCCAATATAGTTCCTTCTATATTCCTATTTCGAGTTATTGACTCGCCGTTAGTCAAGTTTTTGTTTGTATACTTCTTCTCCCTCTGTTGATCATGAGCGATTTCGTGTTGTACTTTTTTTGCTTACTTTCTCTTCTCCTTATTTTCACATATATAGTTAGACTGTACAGGTACAATTCGATATTTATTTTTGCATATCCCCTAGAATGAAGCTCATGGCCTGGACATGGACATCAGACACTTGTGACTTCTTAAACTACGAAGGGAGGGATCAGGAAGATTGCGTAAAGGTATATTTAGCCCTCTGATATATTACTGTGACTGTTCAGAGGTAACTGCCCCTGAGCATGCTGAACTGCAAGGTCTGGCTGAAGAAGCATGCATTGTATTTGGCGCATCTCATCCATAAATAGCAAACCAACAACTGCAAAATCAACGAGTGACTCTAGCACACTGAACTCGCACTTAATAGGAAACACAAGGCGGAAAGGGGAAGGGATCCATGGATGGAGAGCAGAATCACATGACCGATTAACCCTAAGCTGCCCCTTTCCAATGGCACCGCTTCACAATTCGGCGCAGTAGATCGTTGTGAAGGGATGGATGAAACGAAACCTGTGTTGCGAAGCCTTCTCGGCGCGAACATGCGACCTCAGCTCTACGTGTACAGAGTACGTAGAATTGATAGTGTGGAGGGGAGGGGGGGGGGATGGGGGTTTGACAAGGCACAAGTACCTTTCGAAGTGCTGAAACCAAAACAAAGACCAATCGTTTCGGTAGTTATTTGAATGATTGGCCAGAATTACTATTTTACGGCGACAACTATGGCAAAAAATGAAATAATGGAATGACGAGGCAATGGTACCTAGGTAATCCTGGCGTATGCCATATACCCTATCGAAATTCGCCGGGCGTTTTCATGAATCTCCATGGACAAATTAGTTTAGGCAGAGCAGCGTCTAAACTTAGAAAGCAGAAGAAATCTGTCCGAGATAACTAACTAAGTGAGGGCTGAAAATGAGGTGATGTTTTGATTGGCGTCTTAGTGTGAGCTAATGGATAACTAACTATATGTCCATAATTCCGTTACTAGACACCTAGAACACCAAGTACGGGGATTTATCAAAGCCGGAGAGATATGTTCAGCTGTCATCCACCCTCGCATTCACTGTAACTCCAAATCCAGTTATTTAATGCGTTGAGATCCCCACCGTGGATTATTTCTAACTTCTAACATGACTTTACTTTATGTTAGCTTTGATAGAGGTTGGAATTGATCCTTCAATATGACTTCTCCGCTGGTGCTGGCCTTGGGCATCATACTTGGAGCCTATGTTATTCTGTCCGCGCTGCTTCACTTGACGCAAGACGCGAAAGAACCGCCCATGATCGAGACGTCCATACATACCATTTGTAAGCCCGCTGTTTGGGCTCATTCTGGGCATGTAAAAATTTATGGTGGAACTAAGGTTAGCTTCCTCCACTGGTTCATTGTGCAGGCAACATTTCTGCATTGTGATTTCAAGTGTTTGACCCTGCTATTATTAAACTTACAAAAGTTTTTCCTGTCTGGAGAGACAAATATAATCTCCCAATATATACCCTACGCATACCAGGACAGCGCATCTATATTGCCAACTCCCCATCACTCATCCCGCAACTACAGCGGCTGATCAAGACCGTTGTGTTTGCGCCCGTCGAGGCCCAGGCAGCGGAGGCGGTCATGGGGGTCGGTCCAGCGGGCAATGCCATCATCGGTTCGGACAAAATGCTCGAAAATGATTCTTACCTGTCAACCTTTGTGCTGTCGACCCATCCAGCCCTGGCCCCTGACCCTGGACTCGACGCTATCAGTTGTGCTATAGCTCGACACCTCTCAGATTCTATAGAAAAGCTTAGCCTAACGGTTGAGTTATTTTCATGGGTCCGCGGAGAGATATTCAGGGCCATCACAGAGTCCACTTACGGGCCAAAGAACCCGTTTCGTGATCCCGCGCTTGAGAAAGCATGGTTGTATGTTCAAGCCCCTGAGCAGCGTCGGGGCAATACTCCGCTGGAGGATGCGCTAATATTATTTTTGATAGCACTTTTGAGCACAGCATCTTGACTCATATGGTCAAAGCATGGCCGAGTCTCCTGGCATGAAAAAGCTTACATGCTTGAGAACATCTTATAATACCTGCTTTTGAGAAATATTTCACTGAAAATAGCCATCTCCAGGGCTCGCTCCTTGTCCAGTGCTGCTACGAGCATAACACGAGCCATGGCTTATGAGGCAGAGATATCGCAGTCACTGAGATTGGCCAGATGATTGCGTCTCTGACTAACAGCATGGGGACCGCCTTCTGGATGGTCTACCATGTCTTCTCTGACCCCATTGTGCTTGAGGAGTGCCGAGCAGAAGCAGAAAAGCTTGTGCAACTTGATGACAACGGCGTCCAGACTATCGACCTGGCTAAGATCAGATCTTCATGCCCTGTTCTTTTCTCGACATGGGCAGGAGATTCTGTGATATATGCACATTGGCGTCGGGGCGAGGGTGGTCATGGAGGATACCATTCCTGACAACAAGTACCTCCTGAAGAAAGGCGCCACTGTCATGACCGTCACTCCAGTCCAAAACACTGACACTTCAGCATGGGGCCCGACATCGGGTAGATTTGACCACCGCTGATTTGTAGTCAGTCCTGATGAAAAGCGTAAAACTCCCTTCACATTCCGCCCCTTTGGCGGCGGGACAGTCCTCTGTCCTGGGCGCCATTTTGTGACCGCTGGGGTCTTGTCATTTGTGATTCTTCTGTTGCTCCGCTTTGATCTGAAGCCTGCAATCAAGGATGGTAGGTGGTTGGAGCTGCGAAAGAAGATGTCCATGACGGCGGCTATGCCAGTGCCCAAGGATGAGATGCCAGTGAAGCTTGCCCCTAGAAACACACAAAAGGGGCCTGTGAACATCTCAACAATCGGTGGGAAGCTGTTTTACTAGATATTGCCAGGATAACCAGTTTAAATAATAAAAAAATGTTGCTGTTAAACCTTTGCAGGAGTTAACTATTTTGAAGAGGTAAAATTCTGCCATGCTATCAATAGCCACTGGCAGCACATAGGGGGTAAGTCAGGGTAGGCTCATACGAGACCAGGTTGTAAAAGTGCCAGCTGCTGCCGGACGAACCACGAACCTCGGGAGTCGAACGTTGGTTGACACACTCTGCATAACTAACTAACCGTGCCATGCTTACTCACTCTCTCTAGTGAGTGTGCCACACTGTACAGAAAACCACACTGTACAGAAAATATTTTGAATATAGTGATCTTCAAAAATTAATTAATAATCATCACCACATCTATCTATAATATAAAGATTATCTATATACTCATTAGAAGACATAGAATTCACTGTAGATTGAGATTCTATAGAATTATCTTGTTATGATTGAGTGATTGTAGATTTTATAGATTTGATTTCAATTGACTGAAGATTCTTATTAAATGTCTTTTTCATCTTATCTACTCTACAGATTGTGATCTTACAATTGACATTCTTAATAGTAAGAACTTCATCTATTTACATCTGTCTGTGAGAGAATTTGATAATCTGATGTCTATTTATTTAATAATGATCTGTAAGTTCACTCTTACAGTGTATATTTAATTTTATCTGAATCATGCTATTTTTGAAGATCTTGTTCAACTATCTTATCAAATTAGATATAAGAGTATTCTTTACATCTTCTAAGGTCTTGACTGCTGTATTAATTTAATGATATAGTTTTACAACTGTCTCTGAGAAGATTAATTATAAGAAGACAGTTAACAGTTAATCTGTAGATAACAGAATAAAGTAATTATATATATTATCATTATCATTGTATATATTGAGATTCAGAATATTATCAATAATAAGAGGTCTTAATTAATTGAGAATTATATCATGATTAACTGAATACATTCTATAATTGATAAAACTAGCTCTTATAGTATTAGATTTAAATACTTACAGTCAGATACTCTTCAGATTAGTAAGAAATTATCTATTATTATACTACTTATATCTGTAGTAAACAGTCTTATTAACTGTCTTTATATAATAATGCTTATACTGCTGAAAAGATATATTATTAAGAGATTATAGAATATAACTTATATAAGATAAGAATTTAAATAGAATAATCTTATAAAGATTACAGTATTAAATGAATTCTTCTATAAGATAAGAATTATAATTATTTATTAATAACAGTTAATAACTGCTTATTTAATACTTTTTTATTATCTTATTAAATTGCTTAATTCATTTAAATTCAATCTTATTATTTATAAAGTCAGACTTAGATATAATACAGTAATAATATAGTTATTAAATAAGTTGAAATATATATATCAATTCTCTAGATAAATTTTTAATTTTATTATAATTAATAAATTCAATACTGTATTATTCATACTAATATACTTTATTACTGTTATTAACTTACAGAAGTATAATAACTATATAACAGAATTTATATCTTTAAAGATAATTATAACTCACTATTTATATTCTTCTTCTTCTTGAAATTCAATCTTATTAAAGTTATAGATATCATAGTGAAAAAAATAATATTAATTAAAGATAGCTTTATATTAATTAAATCAGTTAATAATGAAGCTTATATTCTTATAAGATACTTATTTTGAATTCATAAGCTTTTGCTTAACTTATTTATAATCTGATAGATGTTTGATAAATTAATATACTTATATCTTGCTTATTATAAGAGATACAGTCTCTGAATCTGTATAATACTGTCTTAACATACAGTTTATAACAGCTTTGATATACTTGATAGTGAACAGGTAAAAATTAATATTCAACTGATAAATTCATATCTTAATTATCTCTTTCTAACTATCATTTAATGCTCAATTCAGTGAAACTCTTATAGTTCTTAATTTCTTTCTATTAATTCTTTCATATAAGATAATATATAAGACTTTGAATTCTTATTACAGAGATGTGATTTTTAATTTTGAATTATTTTTATACATGTTAACAGCTCTTTGCAACTGCTCCTCAGTATAATTAGAAGATTTAGATATGATTATAATTAATGATGATTATTTGAAGATGAAGAATGAAGATATTTAAAATATTTTCTATACAGTGTGGTTTTCTGTACACTGTGGCACACTCACTAGAGAGAGTGAGTAAGCATGGCACGGTTAGTAGTTACAGAAAGTGTGGGCCAGCAACCAACCCACTTAGGGCGAATTCGCCGGCGCTTTGCGGAGGCACGCTCAGGATTGTCAGGGGTAGGGCAATTCCTGCGCAATTCTGTCTTTCAGGTGTTGTGCTGGCCAACCGATGGCCGTATATTGCTCATGTCACTCATGTGTCGTCAATGCATATCTAGCGGGAATATCCACGGATGGAGTCGAACTGGAACCTATCCCAACTGCTTAACTAGCTAGCTTAGATAACGGAGCTGTTCGGCTATGGACAAAATTCATCCTTCAACAAAATTGTGCTGTTTAGCTTGGAGATGCATGGGAAACTAACAATAGTTACCCTTGTTAATGACCTATCTACTGACATCTATCCGCATCTCCCGGCATTTCCATCAAATCGCAACCCTCTGGTTGAACAACACATCGCTATTTTTTGCCAAGGGGAAAGAATTATTAAACTGCGGGGTGCAGCCGCCAATGCAGCCAAAGAAATCGCCGAGAAACCAGCCATGCTTCGATGGGGCCAGGCGCTGGTGGGCTACTACGGTTGCTTGCCGATCACATATTATGGATCCCAGTTGTATAGGGACGGATATGTGATAAGTCGCTCAGGGAAGAATGCCACATGTAAACCGAACCGTATTGCTATAAACTATTAAAGAGCCGAGATGTCGCGCTTTTTAGATGCCTTTGTTCCAAATGGGCAGTAACAGGGCAGCAGCACGCTGAGCTATCGCCATCGCCATGCTTCAGTCCACTACTACTGTTCTTCTCGCGCTCGCGAGTACTTCTCTTGCTGGCTATGCCGGGAACTTGAATTACCGTAGCCCGTCTCACAACCATCCCGGCCTCGGTATCTCAATTCCCAAGGTGCTGAAGCGCTCGGATCCGGTGCTAGAATATTCAGCGGATCAGTTGAAATTCACGCACGGCGTTGCCTCTGGAGACCCTTATCCCAACTCTGTCATTTTATGGACACGATGCGCCCCTTCGACGGACAATGTTAAAGAGCCTGTAGACTCTGAACGCGGCGGCGAGCTATATGACTCTGTCCCTATCTATGGGGATAACGAGGGCAATGCACCAGTGTCTAAGGCGCCCGTGTGCGTGGAGTACTGTGTCTCCCCGGACAAGGACTTCAAAAGGGTTGCTGACCATGGTACCGTTTACACGAGCTCTGATGTTGATTTCACTGTCAAGGTAAGAATGAAGCTGTAGCCAATGGCATCTAGTTAGATATGCTGGATGCGATGCTGACCAGATTAAACAATTAGATCGAGGCATCTCATTTGAAGCCTTTCACTATGTATTACTACAAGTTCAACGTCTGTGGCTCCGACAAGTCTAGCCCTGTTGGAAGAGCCAAAACGTCCCCAACGGAACACGATGATGTCACGGATATATCACTCGCGGTGTATTCTTGCAGCAACTTCCGTAAGGAATCATGTATCACCAAATAGCTGTAAACCTCCGTTAACTTTGATCTTTAGCCAACGGATATTTCAATGCGTACGGAAATACGGCTCGCAAGGACTCAGTTGACTATGTTGTCCATCTTGGGTAAAATAGACCTCTAGCCCTCTATTTCAAAGATGTTTAACTAACTTTTGAATAGTGATTACATCTACGAGCTGGGAGGGTAGGTTCACCTCTTATGACCCACTGTCTGGGTGTGAGTGTTCTATGCTAACAACGCTCTGTAGTGATGGCTCCAGCATCGGCCGTACGCAGCACCCAAAGAAGATGATCTATACTCTTTACGAGTACCGGAAGCGCCATGCAACTTATAAAACTGATGAAGATCTGCTTTTGAGTCATCGTACCTTTACATGGATTCCTGTGTGGGATGATCACGGTTTGTCCATCTCCTCCATTAGATCCACAGCTCCCACTAATATCTTGATCAGAGGTTGCGGATAATTCCTACCGCGACGGATCCTCGCTACTCCAAAATAACGAAGCGTCATTCATTATCGATGGAGGCGTATCTGTTGACCAGCGCAAGATGAATGCCGTCCGCGCTTACTTCGAGTGGATGCCTATCAGGTATGGGAGAATTCCGCATTCAACTATTGCATTTATTGTCTCAATGTCTTAACCTCTATTCTCTTCCTTTCTTTGAATAGGCAAGTTGCGATGGACGACAACCTCAGAATCTGGAGAAACTTCAAGATCGGCAACCTTCTCGACCTTATCATGCTTGATACGCGCCACTACGATCGGTCCATAACCGATCTTTACTTGAACAACGGTTATATCAAGAAAATTGCGGACGACATCGGCCGATCTATGATGGGACCCCGTCAGGAGCACTGGTTTTATGACAACTTGAAAAGCTCTGCTAAGAGACAAGCCACCTGGAGAGTCATTGGCAGCCAAACTGGTATACACATCTCCCCTCCTCTCAACCTTTCCAAGTGAAAAACTGTTGAGAGACAGATAGTAAACCTTGATTCTAATCATTCATTCTAGTTTTCTCCCGCGTGGACGAGCTTGGATCAATCGGTCTTGGCGTGAATGTCGATTCCTGGGACGGCTACAGGGCCAATCTCAATCGCACCCTAAGAACCCTATACGAGAACAACATCGGAAACAACATCGTCATCGCAGGCGACAGCCATGCCAACTGGGTATCCGACCTCACTTGGCTGGACGAGTATCCATACGACCCCGTGACAGGTGAGGGAGCCATCGGCGCCGAATTTGCCGGCACGGCAGTGACCAGCAGCGGGCCCGCGGCCCACGTTGGTATCGGCAACTTGCAGTCGAAGACACTGATCAAGAAGAACAGGGAGCTGCAGTGGTCCGAGTTGTACTACCGGGGCTACTTCGAGATGACGCTCTCGCATACACGCACGGATGCCCGGTTCTTCGCCATCCCCGACATCAAGAAGAGAAACCCCTATGAGATCTCGATGGCCAACTTCACTGTTATTGCGGGTGAGAATCGGCTGTCGCGGGCCGATGGGTCGCCCACGACGAATGGGCAGGGAGTGCATAATGGGGCGTTGAAGAATGGGAAGCTTGAGAAGCAGACTGTTCAGTTTAATACAGAGACTAAGGAGTGGACTAGTATTTAAAAGGTGAAAATGATGTGAGAACTCGGAACGGAAGTTTCCTCATCCTTTTTCTCTTCCAGCGTCACTCACCTCTTTTTGATTATTTTGATTATTTTGATTATTTTTTGGCTTTGATAAGTTTTTTCCCCTTCTATCCACAACCACTATATAATACCAGCAAACTGGTTGGTTACCACCCTAATCTATTTGTATGTATATATTTGATCTATACAACTTCTGGACACTTAATTTATATTTGATATATATATGCATATATAGCTCTAATTTGCAGGGCATTCAGGGGGTTTAACCCCCAGAGGCACAGCAGGAGACTAAAGAATAAATTACTAAGCACGGTGACATCTTGGCACACGAACTCTATTTCAACGTCGCTCCTTCTCTCTTCTTTCGACTCTTCAAACACGCCAAACAAACACACCTGCATTATCAGATTATTATTGTTGTTGTTTCCGTTATTGTATTGCGTTGGGTATATATATATATATATATATATATATATATATGTATGTATGTATGTTTCTACCATTGATACCGTTCTTCTTGTCGCTCTTCAAATCTCATGTATCATTCATTTCATATTACTCCCCATGATATGATGTGATATGATGTGATATGATATAAAGAAACACAGCTCATCAAGAGCATGTCGAACAACTAAATGCCTTAGCACAAATTTTCTCAGCCTTTGTATTCATCGTAATTTCCATAATTCCCATCATCATCTGGTCAAACATTCTCTTCACTCAGTCATACCATGCTACTAGTCCCAATTCCCCTGGGAAGTGGTCGGAATTATGCCGTGTGGATGTGCTGGAAAGGAAAAAAAAAACTTTCCTTGAATTCGACTACTTTTAGTCTTGAGTGAGGAACATGTTTCCGTTGTGAATTGGCTTGCATGGCTGGTCTTGATATACATACCCCTGGATGCAATGTGCTGTACACATCTCAGGCCATAATAATGCCTCAATGCCTCAGGGAGAAAATCTTCCTCCATATGCATGCTACTACTCTTTCCGCCTGCTTGTCTTGTATCAGGATCAATCGTTTTCCTGCCGGCAATGGATGAGGTGGGGAATAACGCAATTGTTTTTGTTACAATTCGCCTTCAGTCGTTTAACTTCCATGTTTAAAAAGAAATACGTAAATGTGTATCTTTCTGTGTCCATGAGTGCATACTGTGTATATCATACTCGTGTCCGGGCCAATCGCAGTCTCCCTCGAGCCATTACCGCCGCATCTTCCTCTCCTCTCCTCTCCTCTCCTCTCCTCTCCCGGCGTCGCGGGGCAACCAAAACAACAACATCCCTCACTCCAAGAAAGCCCCCTATCTCATTCCCTTGCACCGTCCCCCCTACCTTTCGTTGCCTTTTCATCTGCACTCTTCCGCTTCTTTTCACGCGTTCCCCCCTTCACGGGAGGGAAGCCGAGATTCATTCGTATCTCACGCTAAGCGGGGTGGATGTACAGCAGCACACGCTCTTTCTAACGGTCTCGGAAAGGTGCTATGACGAGGCGAATATGAATATACCAACACGACACGGTTATAAACTCTTCTGCACGTCTTTAACAGCGTCTCCAATATAATAAATTCGTGTCTGTCAATTCGATAAATTTGGTAGCTAACATTTGGTTATCCACGTTTGTGTGTGTGTTCCGGTGACGCGTTGCTGTTCAGGAGAAGTTTCCCGCTCCACACTCCACGCTTTCTACTCAAACACCACCCAATGTGAACGGTGTTGAATGACCCAGGCTGATGGACTGGCTAACTGTCTTGTTTACTAGCCAGGTACAATTCCGCCAGGATCCTCATCGAGCCTACATGCTATGAAACTTCCTATAGGGAAATTCCTTCTCACTGAGTTCCCCCTTTTTACCCCGCTACACTCGAATGATGTACCACGACTCCACTAAGACTCGTTCCCGATCTGATCGGCCTCCTCTTCACGAAGCCAGCAACAGAGCCAATATTCTAAGAGGTGCAAAGGAGCAGTCGCATGTGCCACCGAGTTCTCCCCCAGTACATAAATATCCAATGTCTATCCAATCCTCAGAAGCTCCCACCACGGACGACACGTTCCACTCATCCCTCGCAGCAGCACCCCCCGCAACACCTCCGCCGACTGCATGTGCTGCCGCTGCTGAGAACAAACGTGTGTCCATGGTGGCAGAATCACAGCCAAACTCCAACCGCAACTCCGCGATATCTACGACCTCTACCGCGTCCGGAAAATCCAGACGCAAAACTCACATTGGGCCATGGCAGCTGGGAAGGACCCTGGGTAAGGGTGCTACAGGGCGTGTCCGTCTGGCGAAACACGCGCTCACGGGCCAGACGGCTGCGATTAAGATCGTCTCTAAGAAGTCGGCTGCAATGGCGCAGAGTCAGAGTATTGCCGCGATGGACAAGAACATGGAGCATACATCGTGCGTTCCTGGGGGAAGGGTGATTCCATGTGGGATCGAACGAGAGGTGGTGATAATGAAGTTGATCGAGCATCCTAATATCATCAACTTGTATGATGTGTGGGAAAATCGTGGAGAACTGTACGTCCGCTTCATTTAATTTATACCATGAGCATCATTCCTCGTTTTGCTAACCTGGGTGAACACGCTATTGTCTCCTTAGATATCTTGTCCTCGAGTATATTGAAGGCGGAGAACTGTTTGACTATGTTTCCGAAAGCGGCCCTCTACCTGAGATAGAAGCCATCCGCCTTTTCCGACAAATCATTGCCGCACTCTCGTATTGTCATCGTTTCAATATTTGCCACCGCGACCTTAAACCGGAAAATATTCTTCTTGATTCCAACTGCAACATCAAGCTGGCGGACTTCGGGATGGCTGCTCTCCAACCCGCGGGCCATTGGCTGAATACCTCCTGTGGAAGCCCTCATTATGCCTCCCCGGAAATCATATATGGTCATAGATATCACGGTGACAAGGCAGACATTTGGAGCTGCGGAATAATTTTATTTGCGATGCTAACGGGGTATCTTCCCTTTGATGGGGGCGACCTGCCTAATACACTCCGCCTTGTCAAGAAGGGAGAGTATATTTTCCCACCCTGGCTAAGCTCAGAAGCGATGGATTTGATTCAGCGTATATTGCAAAAGCAGCCGCGGGACAGGATCAGCATCAGTGAAATGTGGTCTCATCCACTCCTAAAGAAGTATGAGAAGCACCATATTATAATGGCTTCAGAAGGAGCTTCTTTGGGACCTCCCCCACCTTTATCGGAGAAGGACTGTGGGAGAAAAATCACCCGCCGCCAGGATATCGACGTGGAACTACTGAGGAGTCTCCAAACCCTTTGGCATGGGGCTAGAGCAGAGGAACTTATCAGCAGACTGCTGAGCGACGAGTAAGTCCTCCCCCCTGAAACAAGTTAATGAGTTCCTCTGAAGCTGACATTGCTCCTGTAGGGTCAACCATGAAAAAATGTTTTACCATGCCCTGGCAAAATTTAGGGACGACCAACTTGAAAATTATGAAGGCCCTCTCGGGTGTTCTGCCAGTGACTACCACCACATATCAAGGGGCCATTCCAAAACCCAGCAGCGAATCCCAAGTAGCCGCCACGCCAGCCAATCCTGGCGACGATCCCAATTGTCTATTGCAACTGGTCGATCTACTTTCAGAGAGACGTCCTACCCGGAACCTAAATCTGCCCGAACAATTGCCAGCTATGACCCGTACAGATCCTCTCGAACGCCTATATCCAATCCTCAGGTGGAGTTTGCCAATGTAACCATCCACCGTCATTCGTCCGGCTCTCAGAAGAGTAAAAGGGACGATAGCTCATCTCAGGCTTCCAATTCCCCAAGTCATTTCACTCTCAAAAGACAGCTTTCCAGGGATCGCCACTCATTTATTCCCAGCTCGTCCATCGGTCCCAATAGGTGGAATAGAAAAGGTTCAATTTCCTCGTTCCAGTCCCGAAGCTCTATCGCAAGCTCTCGCCGACGCGTCAATGGCTTCAGCGGTTCACGTTCAACTAGCTACAAGAGAAATGTCTGCTTTAGGCATCCACGCAACCAACGCTCCAGCGGGAGACATACTCCAAAACAGAAGGGCGTTGCGCGAACACATTCACAGTATTCTATTTCTCCTAGAACGGAGATGAAAGTCAAGCTTCCCTCTGATCGATTCAGCAGCCCCACACTCCCTACACCACCGCCTCCTGTCCGATTGCGGCGAATCACCGATCAGGAAGCCGATGCGAAGACTGCAGAACACCGTGTTTCTTGTCAATACTGGAGAGATGAAGCAAGGAAAGTATCAACTGAACTTGGGAAAATCTGTGAAGAAGCATTCAATCGAACCTCCGTCTCGTCCGGTTCACCCTCTGTCGAAACTACAAAACAGCCTCCTGAATCTCCTCCAACTTCAATTTCGGCTCCAGGGGAAATTGGCAGTTCTGAAGAGCGATATAACATGCGTCCACTCCCAGAGCCACCTGCGGAATCATCTAACTCTTACACAATTCGCGAGTTGGCTGACACCCGCCGTAGACTTATTGAACACTCCGTTCAGGCAACCTCTGACGATCTTCCCCAATATCTTTCTGAGGTCATTGCGCATCTTGATCGTCTAATAGGAGATGAACTTGTTCCTAGTAGTGAAATGATGGTCAAACCCTGCCCGGAGCCGCTTCCCCAAGCCCCAGAATCATTTCTACCATCCATCGCCGAGGGTGACATATTTCATGACTGCACAGCGATTATAGAGGATATCCAACGCGAACCAAACGCCCTAGAATCCAGAGCTTCAAAGAGATGCAACTGGAAACCAGAAAGGACAATTCGCATGGTGCCACACGACTCCAGTATTTCTGAAATTGGCACGATAAAGCCGTTGACAATTCGAAAAAAATCGGGTGCGTCCTCAACGCACAAGAAGAATCACTCCGTGGACTCGTTCGGACAATACAGATCTGCTTCAAGCTCGACTGACGACGGGCCACCTGCCAGTGCTCTTCTTAGCAGACGCAGTAGCAACACACGCTATTACACCGGACTAGAGCCAATAGAAGAAAATCCAAGATCTCCAAAGGGTAACAATGACGCCCGTAATTCGGGGGAGTCAAGGAAGTGGTCATGGTTCAAACACAAGACGCAGAGCCAGGAGCAAATTCCACCTCCACTTCCATCAAAGGATACGGCGCCGTGCCTAACACCAGTTAATGACGACAATAATCGTGAGCTAGGGAAGAGGAAGAGCTTCCAGGGGTTACTGGAACTTGGTAAGCGGAAGAGCTTTCAAGGGTTATTAGAAGTGGACGAACAACCGAAAGTTATCGAGGCGAGCCAGCTGCAGAAGAAAGGAGCAAAAGGCCGCTTCTGGCGGTTCGGGCGGAGGAAGGTACAGAAGCAGAAACCGGTGCATGAGATAGCCAAAGGAAGTATGATTAGCCTTTCACTCCGCTATGCTTGTTTCAAAGGTCTCGAATTTTTTTGGTGTGTTACCTACCATACTAATCAGAAGTTGTAGTTAACGATCCCAATGATGCAACATCGAGTGTTCTCAGTGTGCCTGCGACTGTAACCGAGAGCGAGGCACCGAAGTCTCCTCTTCCCAGCAAGGCTGATAAGCCTCTTAAGCGCAACGATACCAAGAAGACGGAAAGTCGCCGTTCAGGGGGCCAAAATTGGTTTGCGAGATTTTTCCATATCAAACCTGCCTCGAAGACCCTAGCCTTTCAAGTCTCCAAACTCCGCGCGAGAAAGGAGGTGGTCAAGATCCTACATGAGTGGAAGAAATATGGAATGGAAGACGTACATTTCGACAGGGAGAGTAATATTGTGACCGGAAGGTTGCGGAGGTAAATTGTAAGTTTTGTCAAATACATCAGGGGCTAGAACGGAGGAGAGAAGCAGAAACGAAACTTTGAAAATCGTCAATGAAACTAACCTCATCCCCCAAAACCAGTCCTTCGCCTCAGCCCCGTTGAATTCTGCGGGGAATTCTTCACCGTCCTCGAGCAGGGCAGACATGCAAATCTCAGCCTTCTGCATCTGAGACAGGAGCGTGGAGCAGCATCGTCCTTCCACAAAGTCGTTGATACGCTGGAGATCGTGCTGAAGAAGCGCGGCGTGTTGGTCGAGGATTCATACCGGGCTAAGAAGATGGCTAAGATTCTTGATCTTGCTTGATTTGGCCCTCTCTATCTTTCTTTTCGATTTTCTCACTTTTTGTTTTCTGGTGTCCCTTTTTTTTTCGTCTTTGTTTTGGCGTGGTTTTGCGCAAGGTGTGTGCTATGCTGAGCTGGCCCGGAATTCTCGGAGTTGTTGAGCTATGTAACGTGTTTCTCTTCCCTCCGCATTTATCTTATCTCGGATTTAAAGCACTTTTTGTTCCCATGTGTGGATTTACTGTCTTACTTTTTTCGGAGATGTTTTGCGGAATTTGACGCAAAGCTCGGATGGTCGTTTTCTGTCCTTTTTTTATCCTGATTTACTCCATAATCCGATCTTGTATCCTCGTTATATGCTCTTCCACTACCTTATTAATCCCTTCTTTCCGTCCTTCCATCAAGATTGGCTACCCCTAATAATTTTGTTTCCTTTTTTTCTTTTGTGTGTGTGTTTTGAGTGTTTTGATCCAAGTTTGGACTGGGATGATGGATTTTTGATAGTTAACTACGTTAGTTAGCGATTTGTCCTGGATTACGTACGGCCTGGCTATAAGTTAACTAGGCACTTCTACTCCCGCATCAAAACATAATTCTGTTCTCTCCCCCAGATCAGATCGTGAACGATGGCCTAGCCTGACCTTCTCCTTCAGGAGTCAACTGGTTTATTAGCTGTTATATATTTTTGTTGCCCTGCCTGCTTTTGGGGTTTGCGAATTGGTGTAGCTAAGCGGGGGTGGGCTAACTTATTTCTTTCCCTTAATTTCGTTTTAACTACTACCGGGAGTACGGATTAACAAAAATTAAAAATACAAAATAAAAAATAAAAAATAAAAAATAAAAATAAAAATAAAAATAAACTCATATAGTATGAAGTAGTGAGAAAAAGCACTTAAAAGACTTTGTTAGAGCTCACTACAGTAGTCTATATTAATAAATATGTAAAATAAGTTCTTTGTAATTTTTCTCTGTAATTGCTTAATTTCACTTATAGACACTCATTACTAGAAATTTATATAAAAGTTTATTTATAGTAGAAAGATCTCATTTTATTTTAATTATTTTTTTTAAAAAAAAAATGAAAAAAAATCAAAAACTCTGAAATTTATAAATATCAGTAAAAAAATAAAAAATAAAGTTATTATTATTATTATTAATTTTTAATTATAAATATATATAATCAGAGATTATATATAATATTTATCTAAAAACTTTCAATTTTCAGAGTTTTTCTAGTATTAATAAAACTAATTATTATATATTTATTAATTTCAGATATATAAAATCAGAAAATTTCAGCTCTGAGTACAGAAACTTTGTATAAATTATAGTATTTTTAATATTTTCTAATACTTTTAAAAGTATTTTAAAAATAACATAATAAAAGAAAAGAAACAAAGTTTTAAAAATAAATATATTATTATTATTATTATTATTATTATTTTATTAAATAAATCTTATAATAAGTTCTTATATAATATTAAATACAGATTAAATATTGATTATATAAGAAAATACAGATATTAAAATTATATCAAGATAATAAAAACATAGAAAAATATAAAAAAGTGACAATTAAATATATATAATAATAACTTCTTAACTTAGAAATATAAAGTAATTTATTAAAGTAATTTATACACTTCTGTATTTATTAGAAATCTGAAGTACTTAAGTTCTGAATTTAATATATTCTCTGCAGATTTTGAACTTATATGTCTTAATTTCTCACGCCAAGGCGCTATCAGAGTAAGATAGATATATTACATGAGTAAATAGAAAAGAAAAGAAAAGAAAATATAAAAAGTATTAGATTTTCTCTCTACAAACTGATTACTTCTGTATAAGTGAGATGTTCACTGATCACTTAGTAAACATCTACTATATATAAAAAGCTACATAATAGCTAGATCTTGATAATATAATTAACTACTACACTATATCATTATTATCTTTATCAGATTATATTTCTTCTTGTATATAAGAATCTACTAATTCTATCTTAAAATCAAATTTTTACAATTCATGCTTAAAATTAAAGATCTAATTATATTTTGAAATACTGTATTAGTAATTCTACAGCTGCTTATCACAAATTAAAAAGAACTCTGTTGATTTTGAAATTAATTAATCTACTACAGACTTTCACAGCAAGTTCATAAGCAATCTCTGCATTCTCACATGAATAGAAATATAGATAGTGAATATATCTCTGTAAGCAGCTTCACTATTAAAGATAATACTGTCTTACTTAAATCTGTACTAATTACTAGAAGTAGAAGATATCTGACATAGTTAATATATACACACAATACTCTTAAATAAGAGCTGCTTAAACTGACTGCTGAGATTATGAATTTCATATTTAATTCTATTTAACCTGATTTCATACATTTCTTGATGTGAATCTCACTGAGACTAATCATTAAAAAAATATACAAAGTAACTATTTATCAGATCTTAAAATAGAATCATGACTTAGAAAAAATAAGAAAGTAGTCTCATTTAATCTTATTTAGTTTCATTCTTAGCATAAAGTTACTATTTTTAGACATTTTAAGGTTTTTTTTAGACTATTTTTAATTTTTTAAAAAGTAATGCTTTTTGATAATACTCAAATGAGATTTAAAGTCATTTAAAGCAATAAAAAGAATTTAAATTGAGAAGTGAAAATCATGATCTCATTTGAAAAATGTGATAAGAGTAGATAGTAAGTCTCACTGAAATAGTATGAGACTACTATCTAATCTTAAAATCATGTAATGAGATTAGTTAAATTAATAATGAAATTATCAAATATTCTGATTCTAGTTTCAGACACAGTCACACAGTAAGTTTAGAGCTGCTTAAGCTGTAATTACTATCTCAGACAGCTCAGAATATTCAAATTATTATTATTATTATTATTCTTCAATTATAGATGTATACAGTCAGAGACTATGATATCTATCTGAGAACTTTTAATTCTCCGAGTTTTTCCTATATCTATAGAGATAACTATTATACATTCACCAATTTCAGATATGCAAAATCAGAAAATTTCAGCTCAGAATATAAAAACTGTTTACAAATTACAGTATTTTAACATCTTCTGATACTTTGAAATCATTTGACAATATCATGACAAAAGAAAAGAGAACACAGTCTTAAAGATAGACACATTAAATGAATAGATAGAAAAAAATAGAAAGAAAAAAGTGAAGTAAAGAGAGACTGTAATAAAACAAATTATTAAAAGATAGTATATAGCTGTTTTAACAGACTATATCTGATCAATTTTCTTCTCTTCATATTCAGATATTTCTGAATTTAGCCATTTTCTTATAGCTACTTGAGTTTCTGATAGAAAGTTTATTAAGTATTTAATTCCTGTCTCAGTTAAGAATAAGAATCTTATATTTAATTGATTTAGATCATACTTCTCTTTCAATCTAACTCTGAGACTATTGTATAATACACAGTGTATTATAATATACTCAGAATTCTCATTTACATTGCAGAATGAGCTTTTTATTAAATCAAATCTATCATCAAATCTTTGCATGTAAGATTTGAAATAGTCATATTCTAGTTTCAGCTGTATTATAGATAAGAATATTTTCTTTTTACATTTAATTGAACAAGATTTTCACTTAGGTTTTATTTCAAATCTTGAATAATGTATACTCTTCTTTTGTTTCTGTCAGCTTTTATTTCACTTATCTAAACAAGATTCTTTTATCTTTCTCTTTATAAAAGATCAGGACATAATTTTTTGAATAGATCTGCTTAATTCTGAACCTCTTTTTACAGCTGAATCAGTCAATTCATTGTCATGAATATTTATATAAGCAGAAACTCAGTGTAGATAAATTATCAGCTTTAATATTCTTCTCTTTTGAATTTTCAAAACAGAGTTTAAAATCAGTTCAAGATTTATTTGATTATTATAAATATGACTATTTCTAAGTCTTTTTAAAGTAGCTTGACTATCAGAGAATATTCATATCTCTTTCAAACTATTTTCTCTTTTATAAGATTTTATTTCAATGAGTTTGAAAGCTTTCACTATTATAAATAGTTCAGTATCAAAGACTTCAGATTCACAGTCTAAATTTCAGAAATCTGAGATAAAATTGATATTATCTTCAGTATAAGCAATGCCTGTGTCTAATCTATTTAAATTCTCATTTTTTAAGTTATCTGAATAAATCAGAATAGAGTCTTTTATATTGATTGTAGAAATTCTCTTCAAATGCTGTTTATATTCTTTCTCTTTAGATAGTTTACTTATTTATAAGTCTATAAGAGATTCAAGCTTTTCTCTTTAGAGAGATATCTTCTCATGATCAACTTTTTCAACATTTAAAGAAGAAAATTGATTTTTAATTAGTAAGTATAGTTTGTATAGTTGAGAAGACATTTTCTTTGAAGAATTATTTTCATTTCAATCAAGAAATCTATTTTAATCTAGTTCATTTTCAGAGTTAATTGATAAAAATGAAGAAGAGACTCTTTCTCTAATTATATAATTTAAACTCATCTTTATAACTCTCAGAGCATAGTTCATACTAGACTGGCCGCCAGAACTATGAATTTCACATTTAGTCTCATTTGATCTGATCTCATACATTTCTTGACGTGAGTCTCATCAGAACCAAGTCTTAAAAAAATCTGAAAATGAGCCATTTCTGAGAGAAATGGCATGAAAAATGACCAGATTTAATTCAAGAACAGTGAAATGAGAGTAATTTCTCAGAATAAACTGTGAAAGATAATCATTCTTTCAAAATCAGAATGAGACTGAAACTGAAGATTAAAATCAGTCTCATTCAGTTCATTCAGTGATTGCTTATATAATCAGAATTTGGTAACAATTATTGATAACACTTATAAAACAACTAAATACATTCTTGTATAAGTTTATTCTTCACTTTCTCATGAAAACTACACTTCTCTAATATACTGTGATCAGAGGTATTAAACTATCTGATAATTTCATGTTTTATAATCATGAGTTTCTTAATTATTTCTTCTTATAATTGTTCTTAGTAATAGTGATAAATATCTCAACTTGAGTTGAACTTTCACTTCATTTTCATCTCTGTCAATGAAATTGTCAGAATATCATATATCATCAGTGTAACAGTTGAATATATACTCTCAACAATTTTCTATAACTTCAGAATTAATTTGATGTGTAAATTCATTGAATTATCTTGAAAATAGCAGTTAAATTCAGTTTTACAAGTATATAGTTTTGTCTGATTTTCAGTTACAATTAATGTATACAAGTTCTATTTCAAAGTTAGTATTATAGTTCTATGTAATATGAAGTATTATTAAAAATCATTACTTACTAGAGAATTGTATTTCACTATCTTTACATCTTGAACATCTGCTTCTTCAAAACTCTAATAGTTGATATTATAGTAGTCTCAGATTAATTTAATATACAAGTCTCATTTCTTCTCTATTCAATCTTGAGAAGTGTAGATATTAACTTAATAAGAGAAATCTAGTAGAGCTGCTATAGCATAGTACTCTGTAAAAGATTATTCAGTTTTACTGCAATAATATATCAGTTTATTTCTTATAGTAATAATAGCCTGTACTATAACATTATCTCAGACTGAATTTCTTTTTAAGTGATTTAACTACTTCTTAAGATAAGTAAATAAACTATTATACACTCATCAGACTGACTGCAGTATTGATGTATAAGTAATTAAGACTGTCTTTATTATCTTATAAAACTGAAACAGTAAATCAATCACATATTTCAACTGAGTTTACTTTATATTAGAAAGTTTTAATATCTGAA